GTAACTTGACTGTTTACACCTTCGAACATGGCCCGCCTCTCCAAGTCCCATTTTTTGCATGAGAAGAGGGTGTGCTCCGCGTTGTCCTCAGGGAACTGGCAATATGCACACACCTCGTTCTCGCGTAATTTAAAGCGACACAGGTACGAGTTAAAACACCCGTGACCTGTGAGCGCCTGAGTCAAATAATAGGAAACCTGACCGTGTTTCCTATTTATCCAGGTGGCGAGTGCCGGGATAAGGCGATAGGTCCATCGACCTTTTCCCTCACCATCCCATCTTTCCTGCCATCTTTCTATGAGCCTGTGCCTCGCTTCTTTGCGGATCAGGCCCTTGCTTGGTCTTAATTCCTGATCCCAGGAACTGCTTTCTTTAGAAAAGAGAAACATTTCTTCCCTTTCCCTCGCCAAGAGATCTGCTGGCGGGACACTTGCAAGGACCTGCACAGCACTCGTAGATACCGTCTTATATGCTGAGATGATACGCGTTGTTATCGATCTCTGCGCCGACAGTATCTTTTCACAGATGGTAACACATCTTTTACTCCTCAGGGATGGGGCCCACGCTGGTGCTGCATAGAGCATTTTAGCGTGGGCGACACTCGCCACCAGTCTTCTTTTTTGTTCACGGGGTCCGCCAACATTTGGCATTAACCGTGAAAGATTAGCCGCACACTCGATCGCCTTATTCGACGCCGTAGCCATGTGGTGGTGGAAGTTTAACCTTCCATCCAACTCCACACCAAGGTATTTAATTTGTTTACTCCACTTGACCTCGAATCCGTCTATCACGATTCGTGGGAGCTCATAACCACGTCTGTCTGTGACTAGCAGTGCCTCGGTCTTTTCCAGGGCCATTTCAAGACCTCTGGTATCCAGCCAGCTTTTTGCTAGTCGCAGACATTCGTTCACCAATGTCCCAAGAGCCTCCTCACTCTCGGCAGTGCACACGAACAACGCGTCGTCCGCAAAGCCGATGATCATCGCACCTTCGGGCAAATCCATTCGCAGAAAATCATCGTAAGATACATTCCATACAAATGGACCCACCCTCGAGCCTTGAGGAGCCCCACGCTGCATCTCTTCCCTGAGAGTGCAGGTGTCTCCCTCATATATAACCCACCTGTCGCTAAGATAATTATCCATTATCCGCAACAAGTAGGGCGGCATGTTTTTCTTTTCCATCGACTCGATGAGATCTTTCCATCTTGCGGAATTAAACGCGTTGCGTATGTCAATTGCTACCAACGCGCAGAAGCACTTCTTTTTCCCAGGTCCCAATTTGTTTTTTCCTGCTTTGGCTATGTCCACAACTGCCTGGATGGCATCAACTGTGGACTTGCCTTTACGGAAACCAAATTGGTAATCGGATAGACGATTCTCTTCGGTCAAGTGGCCCTGCATTCTCTGGAGAACCATATCCTCTAGAAGTTTACCCATCGTATCTAGCAGGCATATAGGCCTGTACGATGAAACCTTATCTAGAGGTTTTTCACCTTTCCTTAGGAGGACTAACCTCTGTCGCTTCCAGTCGCGGAAGAACTCTCCTCTCTCAAGGCAAAGATTGAAGCATCGAAGCAGAATCTGGGGTGAAGTGTCGATTACCAACTTTAGGATCTCGTTACTTATCCCATCGATTCCAGGCGCCTTGCCTGTTTTCAATCTTTTGCCTGCTTTTTGCAGTTCACTAAGTGTGAAGAGTTCTTCCTCTTTGACTTTGCAATAACTCCAGTCCCTTCTAAGGTATGGCTCTGCAGGAGGAAACAAAGAATTTATTATCTTTCTGACCCAATCGGGATTGTCCAGGCCGGGGGTCTTTTGCCTCGTCACTAATTTCTTAGTAACGAGTTTAAAAGCCAGACCCCATGGGTCCTTATCGACTTCCTCGATTAGGTCCTTCCAGCTACGGCGTCGCGACTTGCGGATCTCTTTCTTGAGGTTCTTTTTCGCCTCTTTAAAAGCCTCTTTCAGCAAGGGATCTCCCTTAGAACGGGTATATGTCCTTCTTGCTTTGAGGCATTCCTTTCTCAAGGAGGACAGTTTTTCTGACCACCAGTGCAAGGATTTTTTCCTTGGAAAGGCGCCTTTGCGACGTGGCATCGACGCATTGCAAGCGGTGACGATTATATTTCGCACCGCTCGCACCTCTCCATTTAGACTTTTCGGCCTCCTCACCCAACCAGAATCCTCAATTAAGATAGATTCTTTTAGGGACCGGCTGAACTTCTCCTTGTCGAGTTTCTTAATGTTCCACGAGAAGGTTTTGCGACTAGGAGCTTCCTGTCTCTTTCCTCCTCGTGTGTCTCCCATTGAGACTGAGAACTCAATGTACTGGTGGTCACTTGCTGTATATTCCTCAGAGACCCGCCAGTCGCTTATGCGGCTAAATATATTAGACGATGCTATCGTTAGATCTATTATCGATCCGATCGCACCTCGTCTAAACGTCCATGTTTTTCCCCGGTTTACAACTAATAAATCGTTCTTGGAGATCATTTCTCCAATCAGAATTCCTCTCTTGTCGAGCCTCGTCTCACCCCACTCTGGCGACTTTGCATTAAAATCGCCAGTGATGATGACATCCAGCTTGGATTCTATGAGGCTTGATTCTAGGTCTTCTATATTGGCTTCGAAGGTGGTCAGCGGGTCGTTGGGTGAGAAGTAGCAGCTATACATACGTATGTTAGCCACCTCTATCCACACAAACCCGCTGCTTGTCTCCAAGAACTTGTCAACCCGCAATTCTGGGTTGCACAGCTTGATGGCGGCTCTCTTCGCCTTATCCTGATACCAAGGTGCGAGGTCGCTTCCTTGATACTGCTCACTGCAGAACAGGATATCCACCTCATTTTCCCTAGCTGTTTGCATCAGGAGCACCTGTGCATCCTTACTTGTATGCAGGTTGACTTGAAGGAGCTTTAAGGATTTGCCCTTTTAAGTTTCTCCAGTTCCTCCTTGTAAACCGGGCAGGAAATTCTTCCAGGGATATGGTTGACTTCCGTTTTTCCCAAATCTGTACACGTTATGCACTTTGGCTTGTCATTAGTACACTTTTTGGAGAAGTGTCCCGCTTCGCCGCATCTCCGACAGTTTTTTGTTCTGTCGGGGCCCTTGCAAATTCGGGTCACGTGTCCATAGGCTAGGCACTTTTGACATCTTGTCACTTCTAAGTGCGTTCGGATGGATGCATTTATCCAGCCAATACGCACTTTGCCCAGCTTAAGCAGACTCTCGCTGTCCGTTTCATTCAAGCGTACTAGTGCCACTTTCGTACCACCAAAACGTGTCAGAAGTCGGCAAGTCACCTCTAATTCGGGCTTTTGCAACTTCTGCTTTAAGACGGTTAAAACGTCCTCCTCTAAAGTTGTTTCGACAAGATCCCGAATTTCGAGGGTCTTTTTACTGACAAGAGCCGTAACCTCGGCCTTGTCCAGAAGAACGGAGGTAAGATTCTGAGCGAACTTTGAAGTTTCACCCCCCTTTTTCACAACAACAAGAACCTCTTTTTTAAGAGTTCTCCTAATTTTCACAATCTCTGTTCCAGTTTCCTCTGGCTTTACCGAAGTTGTTGCCAGTTTTATGAGATCATGGTAGGTCTCTGGATTCCGGGCCACAATTTTTATTGCCTCCGTTGTTCTAATTTTGGGGGGGCGCTTCTGAAGTCGCTCCCTCTCCTCCGCTTTCTTCAAGGCCTTTTTCTTACGGGCCTCCCGTTTCCTATTGGAGACAGTTTCAAAGTCTTTTTCGTTTTCAGGCTTATTTGCCACAGTTGCCTCCGAATAAGAAGCAACCCTGGCCGAAGCAGCCTTACTCACCTCCGTCTCCATAACAGTAGGGTTTGCCTTGGTCTCCTTGCTCTTAACCCTCTTACCCTTGGGAGTGGTCACAGAAGAATCAGTCTCCGGACCTTCAAACTCTCTAGGGCGCTTCCTTGGGTCGATGGACTTGCTCTCGCTGGATGTGGCGTGCGACATCGATCTAGGAGTTTCAGGATTCGACCTTGGTTTGCTTGGGCTAATGAAGGGCTTAGGTATAAATCGCAGGTTTCTGCAAAGCACCTCGTGCACCTTCTCCATTGCCACCATTCCATCCTTAACATCCTTGCTAATGTTTTTTTGCTTTTTGCAAGCACGCCACATACTATCCAGTATTATTGGGATCAGATCGACCTGTTCTAAAACATTTTCTTCGAATCTGCTAAGTCCCACATCCTCAGAATTTTTTATTTGGCTCCCTCCAAAATCCTTGGAGCCGTCTGCACCGACTACCGGGGCTTGAACCCGATCAGAATCGGTGACGGGATTACCCTCATTTGAGGTACCCGCTTGGAGTAATTTATTTGAATCTTTATCCATTTCATTCATTTTTTTTTGGTTTTAGAATCAGGGAACCACCCTGTTGGTTGCCCTTTAGTGAAAAGCCCCGCCACCACGGCAAGGTCTACCGAACATATCCATGATGTCAATCATGTCTGGCAGTGGATAAGCATCCACTTCTCCCAGCACATCAAAGACATCGATGATGTTCGGTAGTGGACAACCATCGGCGGGGTTTATGTAATATTTATTAATATAAATATTTATATATTTAATATTTATAAATATCTTTTTACATTAAGTAATATTTTCATTCGGTTATCATTGAGGATTTGTCATTGTATATGACATTTTGATTTTATGTATCGGATAATAGAAAATGCAGTAGGTTGACGAAGAATGGCGTCATTCTAATTAATATAAAATAAAACGAGACAAATAGTCTATAATGTGGTTTGTCTACTTTTTTTATTTTTATTTATATATATAAATCTGTCTTTTAAATTGATCACTCTGTAAAAAAAGTAGCACAATTATTTACGTGTGAGATTCGATGAATCCTATTATAGTCGACTTGTTTTTAAAACAGGACAAGAATCTAGTTCAATGTGCCGGCCGATGATGCATCATTAGTTGTTATGCAATAATCCCTGTTATTTAATTCAAAAATATTTCTAATTTACAGGATTCAAGGATCTGAGGAATTCTTTGAAGGAGAAAAAAAATGACCTTCGATTTGTTATTGCCGTGAGTGATATTCGTGGTTTCCTCAGAACTTCCGGTTTAATGCGACAGGAAGCTGCAACACGTTTGGCAACAATTTTGGCTGAGGTAAATAAGTTTTTATATAAGATTTAAAAAAAAAACAATTTTTTTAATTTCTTCATCAATAGCACGGAATTTGTCACTCACATTCCTTGATTCTTGGAATATTCCTGCTATTGGGGATAATGAATTTTAGAAAATTAGTAATTAGTTGCAATAAATAGGACGTTTAAAATTTTATTTATTTATATGTTTATTTATATATTTATTTATATGTTTATTTACATATTTATTTTTTATTTATTTATACGTTTGTTTAGATACAAATTATATTTATTTAATTAATTTCCTTGTGTTTATTTTTTTGCTTAGCAAAATTTAGAAAAAAATAAAAGTTAAAAATATGAAAAAAAATACAAAAATTGAAATAATTATTTTTAAACAATGTTCGAAAATAACTTTTATTTATTGTAAATTAGCAATGACGGTAAAAAAATAAAGAAAAATAGCGAAAAAAGTTAATAAAATGATATAATTTGATGTAATCTTGACAATATAATAATTATGGTAGCTTCTTTAAACGTGATTAACTGATCGAGACATAATGATGAATGATTTGTTATGTCATTTTACGTTCTGGATCTAGTCACTGCTGGATTTTTTTTATTTCTTTTTTTTTATACTGATTCTGCACGACAACCGGAACTCGCGATCTTGGAATTGTTAGAATAACTTTCTCAAATATTTAGTATAAAACTTCATTTATATTTTTCTCTTACTTCACAATTTGATTTTTTGTTTCGTGATTTATTTTATACAATTATATGTATACGCCACAATAATTATTTTGTTGAGAATAAGGAAAAGTGACCGACAAAGAATCTTCAAAAGTGAAGCAAACGTGAAAAAATAAATTCAAATTTTTTAGAAGTTAAAAAAAATTATTAGCATTTTCATCTCTAAAAATTATTTTTTATGGAAAAGGAGAAAATTTTTAAGAAAAATATTGAAGAAATTAAAGGGGAAGAAAAAATGAGGGAATGAAGCAAATTTTAAAAATCCAAACGAAGAAATTGAGAAGAAGAAAATTACTGCCGAAAATAAGGAAAAGGAGAAGTAATGGAATAATTTAAATTTTGAAGATACGAATAAAAAATGGAGAAAAAGAAAATTGCTACCAAAAAATGAAGAAAATAAAAAAAAGAAGTTTTATAAAAATATAATAAATTTGGAAAATGCAAACGAAGGATTGAGAAGAAGAAAATTGATAACAAAAAATAAAAAAGAAGAAATACAAGAATATAATGAATTTGAAAAATAAAAAGGAAAATTGAAATGAAGAGAATTGATAACAAAAGGAGGAAAAAATAAAATACAAAAATTCAAGAAGAAAGTAGAAATACTAAAGAAATATAAGAAAGTATATTTGGAAAATGAAAACAAAAATACAAAAGAAGAAATATATTGTAAAAATCAGTGAAGAATCTAAAAATTTAGAAATAAGAGAATTTTAAAAATGCGAACCAAAAACAGAAGAAGAAAAAGTTTACAATAAAAACAATGAAGAAAATAAAACAATAAAAAAGGACATTTCGTTATTTTTTTTATTCCAGATTTCCAATCTGTTAATTAAAATTAAAAAACTGAAATTAAATATTTTTTTAAATTTGAAGATCTCTAAATTTATTAATTTAAAAAAAACAAAGACAAGAAAAAAATTGTTTCAGAAAAAATGAAGAATTTCCAAAAACAGAAAAATTAAGAAAAATATACTTAATTTTGAATAATAAAAAAATAAAATTAAAAAAGTGAACAAAATATTGAAAAGAAAATTGCCAAAAAAGTTGAAAAAAATCAAAGAAGAAAAAATGAAGAAAAAAAATAAATTTCATAAGTGGAAATGAAAAATGATGAACAAGAATAATGACAAAGCAAATACTCAACAAAGTAAAGAAAAGGAAATTAAAAAAATTTGCGAAAATTTTTTCCAGACAATGGAAAAAAAAGAAAATTGTTTAAAAAAAACATTGAAGAAATAAAAAGATTAATTTAAAAAAAAATAAATTCGAATAATGCAAATCAAAAAATGTACAAGATAATCAACAACAAAAACAGGAAATAAGATTTAAAAGAAATAGAAAGAAAATTCAAAACAAAAATTCGTAAAATTTAAAATAATTGAATTCCTAAAAAACTTTTTAATTATTTATGAAAATAATTGAATTCTTACGAACGATTTATTAGAAATTTTTAAAATAATGGAATTTCCAAGAAGAAATTTATTACTTTTAAAAATAATTGAATTATTGTGATGAATCTTGTTATTTATGAAAATAATTGAATTTTGAAAAGAATTTTATTAAAATACTTCAAAATAATTGAATTTTCGGGAGTAATTTTTTTATTAATCGACATAATTGAATTCTTTCGAAAAATTATTTTTGTAAATAATTGAATTCTTAGAAAAATTTTTATTGACTTTAAAAAAAATAATTGAATTATTTCAAAAAAGTTTAATTACAATTGTATTTAAAACAATTAATTTCTTTCGAATAATTTTATTAAATTTTTTAAAATAATTATTCAATCCTTCCAAAAAATATTCAAAAAAAACATTTTTTTAAATAATTGACTTTTTCGAGGAATTGAAATTAAGTTTTTAAGAATAATTACATTTTTTGAGCAATACCTGTAAAATTGTATTAAAAATAATTGAAATCCTGCTATGAATTTTATTATTTATTAAAATAATTGAATAGTTGCTAGGAATTTTATTATAATTCTCAAAAATAATTGAATTACATAGACGAATTTTATTATTTTTGAAAATAATTGAATTATTGCGGAAAAATTTATTAAAATGTTTAAAAATAATTGAATTTCTGTGAAAATTTTTATTATTTTTGAAAATAATTGAATTCCTTATAAGAATTTGATGAACGTTGTTTTAAATAATTAATTTTTTCGAAATATAATAAATATTATGAAAATTTTATTAGTTTAAATAATTGAATTCTTGTGGAAAACTTAATTTGTGAAAATAACTGAATTTTTCGATAATTAATTTAAAATAGTAATAAAAATAATTGTAATTCTTCGATGAGTTTTATTATTTATGAAAATAATTAAATTCATGCTTAGAATTTAATCACAAATTTTTTTTTGAAAATTGAATTTTCATGAAAAATTTTATTATTAGTGAAAGTAATTGAATTATTGTGAAAAATAAATAGCATAAAATTTTGTTAAATAATTTTTTTTCGAAATTTTTTTGAAAATTCGCGAATAAATAAATAAATAAAAATGATTATTTTTCTATTATTATGAAAAATGTTTACTTCTATCAAATTTCGGAAAAAATTCCAATTTTATTAGCTTTACAAGAAATAAAACAAAAAATAAGAAGAACAAGAAGAAATTCTTATATATGCAAATTTTTTCAATTTATTCAAACGCGATCTAAAAATAGAGGGGAAAAAAAGGGTTTAAAGCTATGGTAATGGAATTATGTCTACTTCTAGTCTGACGTATGACTTTAAAATCGGAACAGAATCTTGTTGCATTAAATCCGTTTTTGCTCTTCTTGACAGCATTCCCTGTAAAGTCGAATAAGAAGAAGAAAAAGAAGAATAAAAGGGAAGAGAAAAAAGAAGAACAACAAGAACAAGTAGCAGAAGAAGCTACTTGGAAATTGATCGTAAAATTTATAAAGTAAGGAAGCATTCCATGGGCAATTGCGCGATTATGAAAGTCGACGCGCTCTGAGCATTCGCCTTGGGGTACTTTGCGTTTTTACTTTCTTTAATTGTTTTTAAGAGACTTCCACTTTCGTGTGTGGGAGTATTTCGTTCCTACTTGAAGATAAAAATTCCATCTAAGGAAAACAAATTATTATCAAATAAAAACAAATAATTTCTTTTTAAACTAATACTTTTTTCAAATCGTAATTTTTGGAATATTGTTTTATTTACGATGCAAAAAATTGACAATTAATTGAAGCAACTATTTTCACTAATAGTCAAATTTATATCTGTTTTAGTTAAAGATTTTCAAAGAAAGATTTTGATTTTGAATTGATTTTCAAAGTTTTTCAAAGAATTTTGAATTTAATAATTATTAAATAAATAATTTACTTTTGTAAATAAATAATTGAAAATTTTTGAAATAATTGAAATTTCCAAAAATTCTATTAAAAAGAATCGAATTTTTTTTGAAATTTTTTATAAGGATTTGGGGTGGAAATGAAAATTTTCTCTGGAAATCAGGGAAAAACGGAATCAAATTTTTCTGCGAACCTTGAAGAAGAAAAAATTATTTATTAGATAACAAAAAAATAAATAAATATTATTATACACTTATAAATATTAAAAATAAGAAAAGGAAAAATGCTGAAAATAATAATAATAACAAAACAATTCCGAAATTAATAATAATTATTATTGTATGGACGAAATAAATGTTGACCTATATAATCATCCCTAATATCTAAATGATAAAAAAAATATTCTCAGTAAAAAAGAAAGGTAATTTTTAATTATAGTAATTTTGACTATTATTAACATTTTTCCTTTGAAATGTAAAAATAAAATGGTATTAATTTTTTATAGTCAACTTCATTCCTCAAGTTCTTCACTTTTATGATTTTGTTCAAGGTCGATGGGGTTGAGTTGAACGTAACTGCCGGCTCAAAAGAACGACTCGTCCACTTCGTGAAAGGGTTGAAGGACGAGATGATCAGAAAATCCAACGAGAAGGTCATTTTTCTTGCGTTGCCCGCGAAACCAGAACTGTTGGCAAAGCAATTCGATCTTAAGGAGCTTTCCAAGTGAGTTCGATATCATATTCATTTCAAAGATGGTTCTTTTTTTTATTTTTTTTTTAATTTCTTTTATTATTATCTACTCCTATAATAATGTAATTAAAAGGAAAAAATTAATCCTACTTTGCTTTTATGATTACAGATCTTAATTTTATTCATAATAAATCTTCATAGTAAAATTCTTTATTTTTAATTCACTAAATTATTTCATTAATTTACTTAATTAATTAATTAATTAATTTAATTTAATTAAATAATTAATTACTACATTAAAAATAATTTAATAATTTAATTACTTTATTATTCAACTAATTTATTAATTTATGTTATTAGATATATTTTATTATTTATAAATATTTATTAATTGACTTAATTTAATTAATTCAAGTTTAAAGACAAAATATTTGAGGGATGTAGAATAAACTCTTTTTTAATTTTCTTAATTTATTAATTTAATTACTACTTGTCTATTGTCAAATAAATATTTTGAATCAAATAATTTTTTTTAAATCATTTAAATGATATTTGAATCGAATTTACTAAAAATTGACTTTTTCAAAGAGTCACAATCGACTGTATTTATGTTTATTAGTTAAAATTTTTATTTTTTTAAAAAAACGGGATATTCAATTTATTATTGTTATCCAAATTACAAAATTTTTTATTTTCAAATATAAATTTTTTAAAAAATTTCATAATCAAAATTTAAAAATTTCACTTATTAAGTACAAAACTAAATATTACTGTTCATAATTTCAAAAATTTGAATAAAATTTCACGAAAGAATTCAATTATTTTCTAAAATTTTTATAAATCCTTCTAAATAATTCCATTATTTTTTTAAATAGTAAAATCTTGACAAAAATTCAATTATTTTTAAAACAATTTTAATTAAATTCCTCGAAAGAATTCAATTTAAAAAAAAAAAATTTAACACATTTCGAAAAAATTCAATTTTTTCTAAAATTTTAATAAATTCTTCGAAAAAATTCAATTATTTTTATAGATAGTAAAATTCTTCACAATAATTCAATTATTTTTATAAATAGTAAAATCGTTTGCAGAAATTCAATTCTTTTCAAAACAATTTTAATAGAATTCCTCGGAAGAATTTAAATTTTAAAATATTAACATAAAATTCATTTATTTCCTAAAATTTTAATAAATTCATCAGAACAATTCAACTATTTTTATAAATACTAAAATTCTTTGCAGGAATTAAAATTTAATTAAAATTATTTACTAAATAAATAAATAAATAAATTTATTTAAATTTTTTTATTTAAATAATTTTAAATAATTAAATTATTTTTTTTTAAATAATTTAAAAATTATTTAATAATTTTTATTACAATTTAAATAAAATTACACGAAAGAATTTAATTATTTTCAAAAATTTCCATAAAATTCAATTTTAACAAGATTTTGAAAATCTCTAAAAATAATTCAATTATTCTCAAAATATTTTTAAAAAATTCTATATAAAAATTAAATTACTTTCAATTAAATTTCTAAATATATTCGTCAAAAAAATTGAAAGAATTCCATTATTTTCAAAAAATAATAAAATTCTTGTGATGAATTCAATTATTTTCAATATACTTAATTTTAATAAAATTCTTTAAAGAAATTCAATTATTTTTGAAACAACTTTTATTGAATATCTCGAAAAAATTTCATTATTTTTAAATATTTCTATAAAATGCTTCATAACAAATAACAATTTAATTATTTCTTAAAATTTTAATACATTCTTCAAAAAGTTTCAATTATTTTTATAAATAGTAAAATTGTTTGCAGAAATTCAATTATTTTCAAAACAATTTTAATAGAATTCCTCGAAAGAATTCAATTTTTAAAAAAAATTTTAACAGATTTCGAAAAAATTAAGTCTTTTCTAAAATTTTAATAAATTCTTCGAAAAAATTAAATTATTTTTATAAATAGTAAAATTCTTTACAATAATTCAATTATTTTTATAAATAGTAAAATCGTTTGCAGAAATTCAATTCTTTTCAAAACAAGTTTAATAGAATTCCTCGAAAGAATTTAAATTTTCAAATATTAACATAAAATTAATTTATTTTCTAAAATTTTAATAAATTCATCAGAACAATTCAACTATTTTTATAAATTACTAAAAGTCTTTGCTGGAATTAAATAATTTTTAATCAAATTTAAATTAAATTACACGAAAGAATTTAATTATTTTCAAAAATTTCCATAAAATTCAATTTCAACAAGAATTTTAAATTCTCTAAAAATAATTCAAATATTCTCAAAATAGTTATAAAATATTATCTATATAAAAATTAAATTACTTTCAATTAAATTTCTAAATATATTCGTCAAAAAAATTGAAAGAATTCCATTATTTTCAAAAAAATAATAAAATTCTTGTGATGAATTCAATTATTTTGAATATACTTAATTTTAATAAAATTCTTTAAAGAAATTCAATTATTTTCGAAACAACTTTTATTGAATTTCTCGAAAAAATTTTATTATTTTTAAATATTTCTATAAAATTCTTCATAAAAAATAACAATTTAATTATTTCTTAAAATTTTAATACATTCTTCGAAAAGTTTCAATTATTTTTATAAATAGTAAAATTGTTTGCAGAAATTCAATTATTTTCAAAACAATTTTAATAGAATTCCTCGAAAGAATTTAAATTTTCAAATATTAACATGAAATTCATTTATTTTCTAAAATTTTAATAAATTCTTCGGAACAATTCAATTATTTTTATAAATAGTAAAATTCTTCTCAGGAATTCAATTATTTTCAATAAAATTTTAACAAAATTTTCAATTAAAATTATTAAAGAAACTCCCATTAGTTTAAAAAATGCAAAGAAATTCTTCAAAAGAATTTAATTAGGATTTTACAAATTTTTAATAAAATTTTTCGCGAGAATTCAGTTATTTTCTTAAATAATAACATTCTTTGAAGGAATTCTATTATCAAATTAAATTACTATCAAATTATTAACAAATTTTTTGATAAAATTCATTGTATCAATACATTAATTTTAAAATTGAAAATATTTGAAAAGAAAAATTAGAAAAAAGTTAAGAAATGAAAAAGCAAACAAAGTAACTAACTTCAAACTGCGAACAGATTACCGGAACATGTACTTTATTATTAATTATTATTAATCAATTATTTTCACTCAATTTAGTAATTTACTTAATTTATATTTTATTTATTATTTATTTAAATTATTTAAATTACACAATTCATTGAAGTTAATTCTATAAAGAAATATTCACAAAACTGTGTAAGGGTGGAATTTGCAATATAGAATTTTTTCAAAGAAAAATAAAACGTCACAAATTTACATCTCGACCCGTTACTCCGAAACTAACTTCACCACAACAAAATCTTCACAAATCTCATCGGGGAGTTCCTCTTCTCCAAGCTGCGATGTAAAAACAACTTTGTCAATGGACCATTCCTTTTTACACAAATGACCGTTGAGACGCTACCAAATTATAACGACTTTGGCACTCTCAACCGTTTACAGCACAAACAAAAAATAGAAATAAAACACTAAAAACTCTTAATTCATAAAAATAAAACCCATTTATTAATTAAACCAAATAAACTCTAAATTAAATAACAAAATATAAAATAAAATATCTTTAACAAAAATCTTGATAATTGACACTAGTCAAAAACCACGTCGCGACTACTTGAACCTCTGCAAGTAAGTGACAAGCAAGTGTAAATCCGATCTCCTCATCACCGGTTGGCTTCCTCATCATATTTTGCTTCTTCCTTTTTCCTATGGAAAAATTGGGAAAAACCCTTCTTTCTTATCCCCACTGTACAGCACCTAAAATGGTCTTGGAAAGGGTCATTGGTCATGTGACGGTCTCTGGCAATTAATCATGCGCGAAATCATTTAAATTCAGATTTCACGAATGACACAGGTCTCGGGTTGCTGAACCAAGGACACACACAAGGGACTTGACAAGAAAACAAGACAAAACTATGATAAGAGAGAGAACGACGAACAACTTACTATAATGAAATTTACTTTTCCTACACACGACAGATTTGGAGAAATAAGTAACGATTCACCTCGTTACAACTGAAAACTAAATAAATCTTGACTGAAGTAAGTGAATTAATTCTTATTTTGAATTTTTCCTGGGTGATGTAAATTTCTCTGCGAAAACGAAAGAAAATAAATTCAAAGACTCTAATGTTAGTCTGTATATTAAAATTTATACACTAGTATTTATATTCTTTATTTCTATGTCCACCTTGATGTTATTAACGAGCGAAGAATATACTTATGCGTTAGGAAAAACATTTTTACTGTCTTGTACGTCTATAATGATATGCAATAATATTTCTTACGCTCCTCTCTTTTTGCAATTGAACTTACTCTATTTAAGGAACTGCAATAAATGGCATGAGGCACACGTTCAAAACCACAAAAAAAAGAAAAAAGAAGAAATGACTTTCAATCCTTCTCATTATGGGCAGACGTTACGCACTGCAATTCTTTTCCTGAATCATTATTCAAATTAATTCCATATTATTTTATATAGACGACAAAAAATTTTCCTGAAAAACTAAATTTTTAAATCAATTTATTGTCTAGAAGAAGAAATTGTTCGGAATCAGATTTTTTTTCATCCGAAGAACTTTTCTCGTGGTGACAATAAAAATATCTAAAAGAAATATAAAATAATTAAAATATTAAAATTAGATTATAATATTTATAATAATAATTATTTCATTTATTTTACATTATTTTGCACATATTTTATTATTATATTGTTAATATTATTATTATATTTTATTATTACATTTTACATGTAATTAAAAATAATTGTTTATAAAAATTGAATTTTCCGTTATCGTAAAAATTACATTTTTGATTTTCTTCTTTTGTCTAGATATGTTGATTTCTTCACGACATCGACACATTATTTGGTGGATGAAGATGAGGCCTTTCGTACATTTCATCCCTCACGATTGATGGGCTTGTTCGATATGCTCAACACTGACAGTGTAATCGATTTAACAATAGGTTTGGGAGTGCCAAAATCAAAAATCATCATGTCAGTGCCAGCGAGTGCCTATAAATTTGCTCTCAAGAATGAAGGTGAAAATACTCCCAGATCACCGACAAATGACGAAAAGCCAATTATTCTCAATCGAAAGCAGGTAACAAATCAGAAGCCATCAATCAAGAAACTATACAATAATAACAATATTTTTTTTAATACTGAAAGAAATTTTATAACAATTTTAAATATATTTTCTTAATTTTTTAAAGAATTTTTCCAAACAAAGATCTTTGAAATAAAATACTAAAATACATAAAATAATAATAGAATAATAATTGCATTTTGTAATTTAATAATAAAAATAATATTTAAATTATTTAATTGCAAATTACAAAAAAAAATAGATAAATACTATTTAAAACGAAAAATAAAAAATATTTTATTTTTTAATTATGATTAACTATGTATTATTATTAATTATTGTTTATTATTCTTGTTATTATTTTGTTATTTTTATTTTTATTAAATATCTTCTATATTCATATTCGTTGTAATCCGAATATCTGTTCGTAGTCTGAATTTGTTTTTTTGTTTGCTTTCTTGATTCTTAATTTTTTGATAATTTTTCAATTTAAATATTTTGAATTTTAAAATGAATGAAATTCTACTTTAATGTTCTAAAGATTAAATAAAGATCAATAATAACAAATAATAACAAACATTAAATAAACAAAATTGTTTTTAATTAAATATCATAATTTAATTTGTAAACTTAATTTTTAACATTCTAAAAATCTAAAACATTAGAACAATAATTCTTGCAAAGAATTTGATTAAAATTTTGAAAATTTTTTTAATAAATTTAATTAAAATATTGTATTAAAAATAATTGAATTTTTATAAAGAACTTTACTATAATTTTTAAAACTAATTAAGTTCTTTCGATAATTAATCAAATTGTATTGGAAATAATTGAATTTTTATAAAGAATTGTACTATAATTTTTAAAAATAATTAAGTTCCTTCGAGAATTATTATCAATTAAATGAATAAAATTAAAATTGGAAATAACTGAATTATTTTAAAGAATTTCTTTGAATTTTTTGAAAATGGAGTTTTTTAAATACTTTTTATTGAAAATTTTGAACATAATTGAATTTTATGAAAAATTTCTTTCAAGCTTCTTAAATAATCGAATTTTTTAAAAATTTGAATTAAAAATTTTATGAAAATTTTTACAAAATAATGTAATTCTCCTCAGAATTTTATTATAATTTTTTAAAATAGTTGAATTCATTCAAGGCATTTTATTAAATTTATGAAAATAATTGAATTCTTTAGAATAATAAATTTTTTTAAAAACCTAATTAAATTCTTTTATTTTTTTTATTTATTTTTATAAACTAATAGAGTTTCTTTAATAATTTTAATTGAAAATTTTGTAAGCAATTGAATTTTATGAAGAAGAATTTTATTAAAATTGTATTGAAAATAATTGAATTCTTGCGAAGAATTTGTTTTAAAATAATTGAATTCTTTCAATTTTTTTTACGAATACATTTAAAAATTGCATTGAAAATAATTTAGTTTTTAAATAGAATTTTTTAAAAATATTTTGAGAATAATTGAATTATTTTTAGAGATTTTCAAATTCTTGTTAAAATTGAATTTTATGGAAATTTTTGAAAATAATTAAATTCTTTCGTGTAATTTTATTTAAATTGTAATAAAAATTATTTAATTCCTGCAAAGAATTTTGGTATTTATAAAAATAGTTGAATTGTTTCGAAGAATTTATTAAAATTTTAGGAAATAATTGAAATTTATGGAAATATTTTAATTCATTCGAGGAATTCAATTAAAATTGTTTTGAAAATAATTGAATTCCTGCTAATAATTTTACTATTTATAAAATTAATTGAATTCTTGCGAAGAATTTTACTATTTATAAAATTAATTGAATTCTTGCGAAGAATTTATTAAAATTTTAGAAAAAAATTGAATTTTTTCGAAATGTATTAAAAATTGAATTCTTCTGAGAAATTTTATTAAAATTGTATTGAAAATAATTGAATTTTTGCGAAGATTTTACTATTTAAGAAAATAATTGAATTGTTTAGAAACATTTATTAAAATTTTAGAAAATAATTGATTAAAATTATTGATAAAAATTGAATAATGTAGTGTTTTAATAATTTTAATTGAAAATATCAAAGTAATTGAATTTTACGAAGAATTTATTTCTTTTAAGTTTTTAATAATATAATCGTGTTTGTTAATAGTTTTAATTAAAATTTTGATTATCGAATTTCATTAAAATTTTTATTTTAAAAATAATTGAAATCTTTCAAGAAATTTTTAAAAATTCTTGTAAAAATAATTGAATTGCTGAGAAGAGATTTATTATTTATAAAAATAATTGGATTATTGTGAAGAATTTCCTTATTTATGAAAATAATTGAATTATTTTAAAGAATTTTTTTCAATTTTTTGAAAATAATGGAGTTTTTTAAATAATTTTTATTAAAAATTTTGAACTTAATTGAATTTTATGAAGAATTTCTTTAAAGCTTCTTAAAATAATCTAATTTTTTAATAATTTTAATTGAAAATTTTATTATAAAATTTGTAGAAAATTTTATTACAATTTTTTAAAATAGTTGCAATCATTCAAGGAATTTTATTATATTTATAAAAATAATTGAATTCTTTAGAATAATAATATTATTAAAGTTTTTGAAAACAATTTAATTCTTTGATTTATTTTTTCAATGTTCGTAATATAATCGATTTCGTTAATAATTTTACGTGATTAATAATTAATAATTTTATTATTAAATTTTATTAAAATTATTGATAAAGAATTGAATAATTTAGTTTTTTAATAATTTTTTTAATGAGAAATTTTAAAAGTAATTTTTTCTCAGGAATTCAATTATTTTCACAAGAAATTTTACAAAAATTCTTGTGAAAATAATTTAATTCCTGAGAAGAAATTTATTATTTATAAAAATAATTGAATTATTGCGAAGAATTTTATCAAACTTTTTAAAAATAATTGAATTGTTTCGAAGAATTTTATCAAATTTTTAAAAAATTTTAAATAATAATAATAAACAATTTGTTAATAAGTGGATTTTTAAAACTTTCGAACCTGTAATTAATAAAAAACTAAAGTTGATATTTAAAAGTTTGCTAGTTATATCAACAATTTAGAAAAGGTTTAAAAGCCAAGTTAAATATAATCGATAAATAAAAATAAAATTCTCAACTCCAAACAATCGAACTAGACGGACAAAAAGAAGAGATGTAATGCTGTCATCGGTGATTTTTCCATCGCATCTTATTCAATGTTTACAAAAAAAATTCTATTTACAAGAAAAGTCATCGCTGAAAACAAAATCCGTTAGTTACAGTAAACAATTTCCTATATATAGAGAAGAAAAATAATACGATTCTTAAAAGAAAAGAGAACTTGTGGTTTTTTTTTTTTTAATGAAAAAAAAAAATTAATAAGATAAAATGATTGTCGATTCTCCTTGAATTTTACAAAAATTAATATTTATAAACTCTCTTATTTGATTTATTATTGAGTGATTGCATTATACAATATTATATTTTACAGGAAAAATATTTCCCCGTCAATCTATCAAAATAAGGAAATTATAAAAATTTCCAATATATAAATACAGTATTATAATGTATAATCATTATTTGAATAAGCGTTTTACTTATATTATTCGTGAATATATTAAATTTTACAATGCAATTTTGCAAATTTCACTTATGTAAATCGCTATATTTTTTTTCAGCTGTGCGATTTAATGAGCGTTGATGAATGGACTTTAGAAAGGGATGATGATCTCACAGCGCCCTATGCTTTCAATAATAAAAATTGGATTTCCTTTGAGGATCGTACGTCGATTGGAATTAAGGTGAGAACAAAAAATAATATAACAAATTACAACTTTTTTTTTGTAAATGAGAAAATTTTTTTTTTACAATTTTTCCTTGCTTTTTTTTAGGGAAAATACGTATCCCTTCGAGATCTCGCAGGATTGGGAATTCACGATATTGAAAATGATATGAAGAATAATTGCAGTAAACCAATAACTCAGGAAATTTTTCAATCTTTCACTAATTTAAAGAGAAAAACACGAGAAGCTGTTCTGTCTTCCCTTGAAAATGAATTGCACGTAAGTTGACGAATTTTTTTTCATGCAAGAATTTGATTATATATATTTATGAAATATATATTTATGAATGAATTATTAAAAATATAAAATTATTAAATATATTAATAAAATTAAATAATAAAAATGAATTACAAGTAATTTAATGAATAGTTTTTCATTCAAAAATTTAATAAATGTATATTTATGAATATTTATCAGGAGCCATTAAATATATTAAAATACTTCTAGAAAATCGTCTTCTACGAGGAAGTAACATTATAAATAATTGGAACAATTTTACATCAAATTTAAAAAAATCTCTAATTGCACGTAGATAATAAAGTAAAAATCAGTTAAATTGTAGATTATTTGTAAAAGTAATAGTATTTAATTATATACATAGCTATACTGCCAATTAATATTACTTTCTAAATTTAAAAACAATTTTTTTAAATTAAAATTATTTGTTTAAATTTTTTTTAATATCGAGTAAATTATCTGATAGTGCCATCTATAATTTCAAGAAATAAGTTTCATGATTCTAGGTAAACTGAGCAACAGAGCTAAGAAAATTTACTTTCTAATTGCTTGTAGGCAATAAAATAAGTTACCCAAGTTATTTTCCGTAGCGCTTGTGAATGTTTCTAACAGATGGCATTAAAAAATTCGGTGTATATAAAATATAAAAATTATTTAAACAAATTTTTGTTTTAAATAAATGTAAAAAAAAATTTGATTTACAATTTTTTTAAATTTAATTTCGATAAAATCTATTTTTTAAAAACCATGTTTAAAAAATATGAAATTATGTAAATTTTTTAACTTTAAAAAAATACTTAAAAGTTTCTTCACTAATTTCTGTAAATGAAAACTATAAAAAAATGAGGGACTAACCCCTGTTCAATAATTTTTAAATTTTTATTAGAAATAAATAAAAAAAAAATCGTGCATAATTTCGATTTGTAAAACAAAATTTTTTAATGAATCTTTTGGATTTTTATAGAAAAAAATGATAATATTCGCATGTTTTTGATTTGGCAATTACAATTTTTATATTACTATAAAATTATAATTTTTTTAAATAAGGAAAAAAATTTGCATGATTTATCTTTCTTCTTTCAAAACTTGTCGTAACAGAGCAAAAAAAAAATAAAATCAATAATCTATTTAAAAAATACTAAATATAATTCATTCTTATTCCTTATTTAAAAAAAATTATAATTTTGTAGTAATATAAAAATTGTAATTGACAAATCAAAAACATGCCAATATTTTCATTTTTTTATATAAAAATCCAAAATTAATACTTATTAGGAAACTAAGATTGAGATTTTGTTAAAAGATTGTGATAAAGAAATAGAAATTATAGAAATTTGTATTCAAAATAAACTGAAAAATTGAAAACCAAAAAAATATGATCAACAAATCAAATTATAAAAATTGTTTTCTATTATTTTAAAGAACTCTTTTAAAATTCTCAATTTTATTCTCAATTAAGAACTTTGATTTTCCAAATCGAATTTATAAAAAAATTTTCTTTTATTTCGCAAAATACTTGAGATTTTGTTAAAAAAAATTGTGCTAAATAAATAGAAATTATGAAATTTTTTTAAAATTTATTTCTAAAAAAAACTGTAAGATTTATTAAAAAATTGTAATTGAGAAAAAATATAAATAGTCCGAATTTATTTTTTTGAAGACGAAGAAGAAGAAAGAAAAATAGAATTTTGTATACAAATTTTTATTATGAAGTAGAAATTATTCAAATTTTTTCATTAATTAAAGCAAAATTATAATTTTTTTAAAAATTGTTTTTAAATTTTAAAATAAAGAACTTTCAGAAATGTTATTTTACAAAAAACTAAACATTTCATAACAAGAAAATGATTAAAGAATGAAATTTATTACAATTTTTTTTCTTTATTTAATAATAATCTTGTTTTAGTTTCAATTAAAAAATATGATCGACAAATCAAAATTATAAAAGTTTTTCCTATTATTTTAGAAAACTCTTTCAAATTCTCAATTTTATTCTCAATTAAGAACTTTGATTTTCCAAATCGAATTTCTAAAAAAATTTTCTTTTACTTTTTAAAATACTTGAGATTTTATTTAAAAAAAATATGCCAAAGAAATAGAAATTATGACATTTTTTTAAAATTCATTTCTAAATAAACTGTAAGTCTTATTAAAATATTGTAATTGAGAAATATAAATAGTTTGAATTTATGTCCTTTTTTAAAGAAGGAAGAAAAATAGAATAATATTGTATAAAAATTATGATTATGAAGTAGAAATTATGCAAATTTTTTCATTAATTTAAGCAAAATTATAATTTTTTTAAAAATTGTATTTAAATTTAAAAATATAGAACTTTCAGAAATGTTTTTTGTTTTAATAAAAAACTGAACATTTCATATCAAAAAAATTATTAAAGAATGGAATTTATGAAAAATTTTTTTCTTTATTTAATAAAAATCTTGTTTTAGTTTCAATTAAAAATTGTGATTAACAAACCGGATTTATAGAAAAAAATTTCCTTCATTACTATAAAAAAAACTGAATTTTGTTAACAATAATTGTAATAGTGAAATAAAAATGTTGAAAATATAATATATTATTATTATTACTATTTTGATACTATTGTAAATAATAATTAAATAACATTTAATATTCTTTTTTTTAAAGACAACGCAATTATCGTATCCAAACCATGTGAAACCAAGTGGATATAGAATAACTCGAGTCGTTGATACTAAAGGACACATTCATGCAACTCGTGAGCATTCACATACAGAATTTACTTGCACGAGGCAGGGATATTTTGTGCACCCAAAAAGTTGTAATAGGTATAAAACTTTAAATTAACTGCTTTTTGAGAATAAATTTTAGTCTTTAAAACAAGGTCTTTCAATTTTCACGAAATTTCTCTAAAAACTAGACTTATATTCAAATTATAAGAATATAATTCGTTTTGGCTGACTAATACTGTCTTTTATTACTTAAATACTAATATTGCAATGCAATTTTACGTATGTGGAAAAACAAAAGAATTTAAATGTTTAACTGTAACTCACTGTTTCTACTGCTTCAAAAATTAATATTTTTCGTCTGACTTTAATTTTCTTATATTACTGATACCAAAAGTTGATGATACTAACTGCTTTGTCTGACTATAAATAATTTTTATCACTGATATTTAAATTGTTAAAATATTATTCGTCTGACTGAAATTTGCTTTTACTACTGACACTAGAATTGCAAAGATATTTACCGTTTTGTCTGACTAAAACTAAGTTTTACTACTTTAACAAAAACGATAACAATTTATTTAACGGTGTACGGGATTTATTTATTAAAAATCATTTTTTAATTAATTATTTTTAATAATATAAGTAAATATAAAAAAATTGTTTTGACTGTAATTAATTTATTTAATTGATACTAAAATTAGAAAATGTTATCTTTTTTTGACTTCAACTGTTTTTATTACTAATTTTATTACTAAATACTAAATTTCACTATTTATTTTGTGCTGCTAAATGAATAAATTGAATTTTAATTATTGGAATTGAAAATTTTTGAATTGAAATTGAATTAAATTTGAATTAATTGGTTAATTATTAATTAATAATTTAATTAATTGAAAATGAACTTTACTACTGAATAAAAAATAATAAAAATATATTTACAAGAATTAAAAACATTGTCTGAGTGAAAATTACCTTTACTACTAAGAAATAAAAAAAAGTGAAAAAAAATCTAAATTATATTATTCGTAAATGAAAATAAAAAATAATTTTTTACAGATTTTACCGCTGTGTGAAATTCAATCAGCAGATAGACGATTACTCGGTATTTGAGTTTGATTGTCCTGCAGGATTGGCATTTGATGAAATAACAGAAGTTTGCGTGTGGCCAGGATCACTCTCAAAAGGCTCACCATGTCCAGGAAGTAGTGAAATAGCACCAGTACCAAAAACAAGATTCGAGTGTCCCGATCATCCCGGCTATTATGCCGATCCAGAAAATTGTCGATGGTTCTTCGCCTGCTTCGATTTAGGTTGATATAATTACAGAAAACTATTATTTGATTAATTTTTAGGAATTATTAATTTTTGTATTTAAATAATTTAATTCTCGTTGAATTTTCTAATAAAAATTGATTTAAAAATCAATTTCAGTTAAAATTTTAGATAATAATTGAATATTAAAAGAATTATAGCGAGAATTGTTAGAAATAATTGAATTTTGAAAATGTTTCAAATTAAAATCTTGAAAAATCTGAATTTTTTATACTTTTAACTAAGAATTCTGTAGAATTAATTATTTAAAAAAGATTAATTGAATTTTTTTTTCAAATTATTTGAAGTTCTTATTTTCTAATATATTTAATTGAAGAATTTTCGTAAAATTGAATAGTAAACAAATAAATTTGAAAATTCTCAAAGAACTTTTTCAAAAATTATTTTAAAAATATAGATAATTGATTTAAAGAAGAATTTTAGTTAAAAAGTCTAGAAAATAGTAATTGAATTAAAATGATGAAAAAAATTTGGAGAAATTATAGTAAGAATATTCTTACATTATATAAGAATGATTTTATCACTCGGTCTTAATGTTTTATAAATAAATAAATAAAATATTCTTATAAGTTATTGAATTTCAAAAGGTTTGAATTTGAAATTTTTGAAACTCTTCATTTCTATGGAAAAATAATAATGATTAAATATAAATGTTTAAAAATGAAGTTATTGATATTTTCGAATCATTTTGCAATTAAGAAAATTCGTAAATAAATGTAATAAAACATTTTTTTTAGTATCTAATCATTTTTATAATGAATCAGAATATTCTTAGGGGTCAGGGAAAAAGTTAAAATTTTGTCTGGAAATCAGGAAAAAACAAAATAAACTTTTTGTGGTAATCCTGCTTAATACTCTTAACGATAATGCAGGGCCTTAATTAAGCTTTAATAATTTTACAATGTATAACATTAGTATTGCGTAAATACTGTCACAATATTTTCTAAATTTTGCCTTAGTAATAATTTTATAATGTAGCTTTAGTATTGCCTTAAGACTGTAATAATATTGTCACAGTATTGCCTTAATATTGACACAATTTTGCCTCAGTATTGCTTTAATACTATCACATAATAATAATGCTTTAGTATTCTCTAAACATTATCAAAACATTGCCTTAATATTGACCTAATATTCGCACAATACTACAAATTTCGTACATTTTTTTAGGTGGACCACACATGATACCATACGAATTCCGTTGTCCTTTCGGACTTGTCTTCGATGAAGATAAACTGATCTGCGAGTGGCCTTGGCTAGTGCCAAAATGCGGAGGTGGTGGCTACACCTATACTCATTTCGGTGGCTACGGAGGACATGATGATTATGGAGGTCATGAAGATCATGGTGGAAATGGAGATTACGGAGGTCATGAAGATCATGGTGGACATGGAGATTATGGAGGCCATGGTGGCAGTTGGGATTACGGAGGTCATGGAGGTAGTTGGGATAACGGAGGTCATGGAAATGGAGGTGATGGAGGCGGTTGGGATAACGGAGGTCATGGAAATGGAGGTGATGGAGGCAGTTGGGATAATGGAGGTCATGGAGGCAGTGGGGGTAATGGAGGTCATGGAGGCAGTGGGGGCAATGGAGATAATGGAGGCAGTGGGGGTAATGGAGGTCATGGAGGCAGTGGGGGCAATGGAGATAATGGAGGAGGTTATGGAAGAGAAGGTGATTATGGAGGCCTTGGAAGCTATGGAGATGACGATGGTTATGGTGGACATCACGTGAGTCCTGTTTCTCCTGGTGGCGGCTACGGAATGATCGATCATGGGCATGGAGGATCTGGAGGCAATGGAGTTAAGGGAGGTCATGATGGTGACGGAAACCATGGAGGTCACGGTGGATACGGAGGTTACGATGGTCGCGGTGGATCTGGAGGGCACATGGGACATGATGGAAACGGTGGACATAATGGAAATGGAGGACATAAAGGACATGATGGTAATGGAGGACATAAAGGACATGATGGAAATGGAGGGCACAATGGTAACGGAGGACATAAGGGACATGACGGTAATGGCGGTCATGGCGGACATAATGGTAACGGAGGAAGTAAAGGTGGTCACAAAGGTGGAAATGGAGGGCATGGCGGTCATAATGGTAACGGAGGAAACAAAGGTGGTCACAATGGTGGAAATGGAGGGCATGGCGGTCATAATGGTAACGGAGGAAGTAAAGGTGGTCACAAAGGTGGAAATGGAGGACATGATGATCAAGAAAAAGACGACGATTCCGAAGAAAATTACGGTGGACACGATACAAGTCCAGTTTTTCCTGGCAAAGGACACGGAGGTAAAGATGATGATGACGACAAGCACGGAAAGGATGATGATTATGATAAACACGGAAAGGATGATGATGATAAACACGGAAAAGATGACGACGATAAACACAGTGATGAGGACAAGGGACATGATTACGATCATCATACGACTACTGAACATAATTATCACACAACCACTGAACATGATTATCATACAACTACTGAACATAATTATCACACAACCACTGAACATGATTATCACACAACTACTGAATATGATCACCATACCACTGAGCATGATCATCATACCACTGAACATGATCATCATACTACTGAGCATGATCACCATACTACTGAACATGATCATCATACTACTGAACATGATCACCATACTACTAAAGATGATCATCATACAACTACTGATTATCACCATCACACAACTTCCGATTACGACCACTACACAACCGTTGGTTACGACAATAATGAGAAAGATGATCATGACGTCACCGTTGGTTTGGAATTTGGTTCCGATGAGCACACAACAAAAGCAGCAGAACACGATGAAAGTGGCGAGAGTCTTGGAGATTACAGTCATGTTGGTAATTACGATTATATTGAGAGTTCAAAGAAGAATGATTCATCAGAGTTTAGAAAAAGTCCTTCGTCTGGAAAAATTAATTCTGGATCTGGTAGAAAGCAAGTTGCAGCGGGATCGCATCGAATCTCCCTGTCTCCCGAGGGAGGAAACAAAGGAAGACATGGTTCACAATCTGTTTACAAAAGTCCACAATACACGGGTCATGCTAATGGAAAAGTGGAAAATACCGCGTCAGACGATTCCATTAGAGGATACTCGACTAATGCGGGTTATTCAGGAGCTACAAGACGTCCTGCTTCGGTAAATTCTGGATTCACTGCTGACGGATCCTCAAAATTCAGTTCTGGAGTTTCAACGGTACGACCTGAAGGTTCCTCAGGATATTCAGCTAATGTTGGTTACACGGGAAAAATAAAAGGAGTCACTCCTGCGTATGGTTCAAGTACTTCGGCAGGTGCTGCTTATTCCACAGCATCTGGTGGAAGAACTATAAGTGAACAGACTGGAACCGGATATACAAGTTCTAGAGGTGAAGGATACACTGGATCAAGAATTGAAGGCTACACTGGATCAAGAGGTGAAGTATACTCAACTCGTCCATCATTTTCCGAAGTTCAACAAGGTTTCGCAACATCTGGAAAAGCAGATCAAGATAGTAACAAATACTCCACTTCATCTGGTTTTCAGACTGATTATACAAAAACAAGGCAACAGACTGGTAATGATCGATACCAACCAAACAACTATGGCTCTTCTGATGCATCAGGAACAATTGGTTCTAAACAACCAACTGTCGATTACTCAACAGGAGAGTACGGATCCAGGATTCCTGCCGATTCTGTCGGAATTGGAAGTACCGCATTCACTGGACCTACTCCGACAACTATCTACAACCAAGCGGGTTATAAAACAATATCCAACAGTTATCCAAACGTTCATATCACTTCCACAAATGGAGTAACTTCTAGTCAATTCGAGGGATCAGATAACGGAAAAATTGCAGGTAGCTTCGTAAGTCCTCCAGTTTCTTCCTCTGGTTCTTATTACGCCCGAGGAAATACCAATCAACCTCCAGTTTCTTCCTCTGATCCTTACGACGCCCGAGGAAATACCAATCAACCTCCAGTTTCTTCCTCTGGTTCTTACTACACCCGAGGAAATGCCAATCAACCAGAATATGTTAATACAGGAACGGATTATACGAATCCAAACAGATATTCCAATAATGTTTTTCTAGCGAATCAGGCACAAAATAGTGCCATTCTAGGAGTAAAAACAACACCCGATTACTATCCAGCAGGTCAACCTTCTCCAGGAGGGATCGCACTGGCAGAAAAGAATCCGGTACCAAACAGTCCAATTGTAGGAGTAATATCAACACCTGCTTACTATTCAACAGGTCAAACCTCTTCAGGAAGAATCATATTCGCAGAAAATAATCAACCGGAAATTAATCAAGGAAATTCTGTAACAGCCGGTCCACCAATAACCACATATCGTGGTCCAAATCTCTTCACAGCCGATCATCGCATAGCCAATCCACTAATTACCACCTATCGTGGAGGCACCAATTCCAAAACGATTCCAGTTGGTTCCCAGACAACGCCCGTTTACAACAGAGAAAACTCCGGCTACAAAATAAATGAATATCACGATAATGGCGGACGTGGTACCATTCGATACAATAACGGTTTCGTCGTCACTAAAATACCCGAGAGCGATTTTCGAAATTTCTCACCATCCCTAGAGACTATTCCCGACATCGAAGACACCAGTCTTTCAACTTCTCCGCAACAATTCGCCGGTCCGGGTGTCTTCACTCCGGAAGGCTTTACAAAAACCGGACCAACAAGAACTGGATTCACGACCGCTCAATTGGGAGGCAGTGGAAGTTACGTAATTGGCACCTCGCCCAGACCGAGACCAAATCTGGATAATATTGGAGAAAATGCCTTCGCCGGCAATGTTGGTTATAGCAATCGGGTAATTTCACAATCCAATGGTATTTCCACTCCCAGTTTGAATATTCAATCCGGATCTTATTCTACTCAACCGTCGCTCTCAACGAGTTCGTATCAGGAAGCTACCACATTGGCACCTTTGATAAGTGCCGAGGTACTTGCCACAAATCAACCGTTCGTGTCGTCTGCTGGTACCGAAAGACCTTACGAACCAGTGAAATCTTCTGTGGGAATAAAAAGTTCTGTTACTGAAAGACCTTTTGAGGAAATTGGATCTAATAGTTTTACTGGGAGACCCACGGGCGCTTACAGTGATGTAGAGTTGAGTGGAGGACAATATCAACCAGGTGTTACCGACGTTCCTGCCGGTACTTTCGAACCAATTAGATCTGATGGATCTTCAGGTATTTTCGTACCGATTAAAAGCTCTGCTACTCAAAGACCTTCAGGTACTTTCCTACCAGTAAAATCGGCTGCTGTGAGTGATAGACCTTCAGGTACTTTTGTGCCAATTAAATCTGCTATAACTGATAGACCTTCAGGTACTTTTGCACCAATTAAATCTTCTGTTATAGCTGACAGACCTTCAGGTACTTTCCTACCAGTAAAATCGGCGGCTGTGAGTGATAGACCGTCAGGTACTTTTGTGCCAATTAAATCTGCTATAACTGACAGACCTTCAGGTACTTTTGTACCCATTAAAAACTCTCCTATCACTGACAGACCTGTGGGCACTTTTGCACCAATTAAAAACTCAGCAATTACTAGCAGACCTATCGGCACTTTCGTACTAGTAAAATCCTCTGCTGCCACTGATAGACCTTACGATGTCAAATCAACGGGAGCTGGACAGTACCAAACAGGGGGTCAGCAACCATCTGGTAACAGTAACTACCAAGCTGGAGAACAATCCGTCGACGTAAATGAACAAAGAGGATTTGGCAACAATTATAATCAACCAGTCTATCAATCCTCTGCTACCAGCGATTACAGAAAACCAGGTTACGAACCCTCCGCTATCGTTAATGACAAAACTTATCAACCTTCCGCTACCAGCGATTATCGAAACCCAGGTTATCAATCTACTGTCAGCAATTATAGAGAACAATCCGCTACGAACAATTACAACAGACCCAACTATCAATCAGACAAAAACTATCAGCCAACATCCGAAAACTATCAGGGATCGTACACGAATTCTGATCGAACCAGCACAGATTATCAGTCTACGGTTTATCAATCAACGGATTATAAGCAATCGAATTTGCAAAGTGGTTACCAGTCGCCAATAGTTCCAGTGGGATACACAACTGGAACTAAGGAACAATTCCAAACAACTATTTATCAAGCGGCGAAAATTCCCGGTGGCACTTCAGTTCAACCGATTGTTGACAATGGTTACAAGACAGTTGTTTCATCGACGAAAATTCCTGTTATTGTCACACCAGCGAAATACGATAGTCAAAATTCTATTTCTACGGTGAAACCGTCGCGTATTGAAACTCCTGTTTATCAGCGAACGCAAGTAACGAATGATTATTCACAGGCGACAACTACTGCTAATGATAGGGGAATTTTCGGACACAAAGAGACCAGTCAACCGAATATGGCTGTTAGTCTTTCGGCCCAGGCAGAAAAGGGACAGGTAGGATGAAAAATTATCCACGGGAACTTAAATACCGGCCTTGGATAGTATTTTTTTGACTTATTTTGATAAAATATGACTTTCCAGTTTTTTCTCCAGAAACCATTTTTTTGGCATAAAATGCAATTTATTTTGACTTTCACAGTATTAAAATAACTATAATGTTCTACTAGTTTTTTAACGCATGAAACAGTATTTTGTCCTAAAAAGAGAAATTATTATTAATTAAAACAAATATATAAATTATTAGTTTTAAATATTTTCCAACATTTATTTTTGAGTTAGATTTATATTTACAATTTTATGAATTTTAACAATAAGAAAGTTATCAGAAAAATCAGAAATGTTGGGGAATTTTATTCAAAGTAGTAAAATAATATCAAATTTCTAGAAGTTGTAAAAAACTTCTGATTTTTGGTGTTATTTTAAAATACTACAAAATTTAAATTGTCATTGAATTTTCTTTTTCATTTTAAAACATTTTTAAAAAAAACCATAAGCTGTTTGCAACTTTTATAAAAAAAATTGAATTATTGTATTTAAAAGATTGAATTCTCCAATAACTTTCTGCAATTAATTAAAAATAACTAATTTAGAGAAGAATTTTAGTTTTAAAATTCTGGACAATAATTGAATTTTGAAAGAATCATAGTAAGAATTTTTAGAAATAATTCAATTTCAAAAGGTGTCAAATTAAAAATTTTTAATAATTGAAAATACTTATTTTGTATAATTAAAAATATTTAATTGAAAATATTAATTAAAAATTCTAAAAATCTCAGTTTTTTCTAAAATTTTAGTTCAAATTCTTTTGAATTTAGTTGAATTTTTTAACGTTTCTTATTTAATTAAAAAACTATAGAATAATCAAAATTTCTTAATATTTAACTGTTGCCAATTGAATTTAAAAAAAAAATTATGTTCGAATTTTCGAATTAGTTTCTGAAAATTATTAAAAATAATTCTTTTCGAGAAAAATTTTAATTAAAAATTCTAAAAAAAATACCTACTTCAATATTGGAAGATTTATAATAAAAAGTTTTAGAAATAATTAAATTTTAAAAGGTTTGAAATTAAAAATTTTTGAGTATTAAAAATATTAATTTTGTGTGAATTTTCCTCTTTTTAAATGATTAAACTCTCAAAAAACTTTCTAAAAATTATTTTAAAATAATTGGATTCTGAAGAAAATATAGTAGCAGTTTTTGGAAATTATAAAATATCAGAAGGTTTCAAATTAAAATTTTTGAAAATTTCAATTGATAATATTCAATAATATTTAAACACTAATTTTTAAAAATTATCAAACTTTTAAATAAATTTAGTTAAAAATTCTATAAAATAATATAATTTTATAAGAATTACAGTTGTAATGTTTAGAAATAATTTATTAAATTTTTATTATTGAAATGAATTTTATGTTTTAAAACATTTTATTACAATTTTTTAAAAGTAATCGTGAAAATAAAGGAAATAAAAAATCTAATTTTTGTAACAACTATGGATATAATAGGGGAACATAGTCTAGGTCGGCCACCTTTTTGACTTTTGTTTATAACTTTTTTTTAAAAATGAATTTGGACAATTGAAGTATATGGTTGGAAAGTCCTGTTTAATAGGAACATTTTTTCTGTACAAAGTAAATTGACAGGTTTAAAAATGAAAAAGTTATAAAGATTTAAAAAAAAAAAAAATTGTAGTCCAGGTTGGCCATTACAGTCAAGGTCGGCCATGTTTAAAATTCAAAGGGCATTAATCGTTAAAAAATAAAATAACATGTTTGGAGTTACGGAAAATTGATTCTTTATTGTTTACAGTTTGTAACTTAATGAAATAACAAAATAATAACAATAAACAATATAAAAAAATAAATATAAATAAAAAAAAGTTTTGAACTAAAATATTAATAAAATTAAATAAAAATATTAATAAGATGATCAATTATATTATGAGTTATACAGAATTGCAGTTTTTGCAAATGAAGTAGCTCGTCCTCAACTTTGCGCATTTTAAACACATAGTGGCCGACCTTGACAGTAAGTAACATTACCGAATTGTTGTAACCATAAAGAAATACGTTTCGGGATTCGATTTTTTACTTTGTTTTCCTTTCAACCATGAGTCCCACAAATTTTCTGCATACTTGCCTTGACGATTCAATTTGTTTTTTATCTTTTATTAATGGTTTTTCACATTATGCACAAAACTTTTTTTGAGCTTTTTTTGTACCGACGTCACAGAAAACACAATTTTCGATTTTCCGAAAATGTAATTGAACAAAAAGTTAGGTTTCACTAAGACAAGCTTCGACAAAAATGCGCGTAGGTGGCGCTAGTGAACTTGAAAAAAAAACGCGAGTGGCCTACCTAGACAGTAGGCCAACCTTGACTACATTCCCCTATAGGTCTTGGTTTACTTTTTTTTGTTCTTTAAAGTCGATCCGAAGCACGTAGAAACGAAAATATAAATTTAAAAATTCTTTTTCAGATTTATCGTGGTTCGAGTACAACTGGATATACAGTTTCGAAAAATGATGAACGAAATTACGTTACGTCGAGTAATTATGATCGAGAATCAGCTACAGATGCAGAAGTCGTAAGTTGACCGGAAAAAGAAATTTTATTTTTCTATGAACCGAAAATTTTACTTGTAAAAAAAAGAACATTTTTAATTTTTGTTTGGATTTTATTTTTTACAGGGTTGTTACAGGTTAGGGAATTTATGGAAAATCACAGAAATCAGAAATCAGGAAATTTTATTAGTAGGACAGGAAAAATATCAAATTTCTAGAATTGATAAAAAAAATTCTAGTTTTTGGCATCCAGGAATTTTTAAAAATGTAACATTCTAAAATATAGAAATAGTTGCTTATGATTAATTGTAAAAAAACAAATTGATATTAATGAAAAATAAGGTTTTATAAAAATTTATTTTCTAAGAAAAGAAGTTTTATTTATTTTTATTTTTTTATTTACTTTATTTATTATTTAAAAATTTGTTTTTATAAATTTTCTATCACTTTTGTTCTAAGTAGTTCAAATTTTTACTAATTCAAATTTGTTTTGTTATAATATTATTCCATAAAAATTTATAAATTGATTTATTTTTCACTATTTTATTAAGATGTGAAATTATTTCTCTTTCAAATTTTTTCGACGAATTTAATTAAAATTATATTTTGTTTAATTATTGTTAGAAATGGAAAGAATTTAAAATTAAATTAAATTTTTTCTTTTTTTAAGTCTGTTACGTTGGACAACAAAATTCATCATTTTCTTATAAATTCTAGAAATTGAATATTTTTATAGTACTTTTGATAAAATCTCCTGAAAAAATAAAACGATTTTATAGAAGATCATTCAATTTTTTTTTAATGAAATATAATTAATAAGTCTTAAAATAAATATTTCTATTTTTTCTCACAAATTAATCAGTGTTTTTAAAAAAAAAATTCCAAAATCTCGGTCAAGATCAAAATTCACTGTCATTTCCCATTTTTTCCAGGTCAAAAAAATTCCACGTCATTTCTCGATTTCCCGATTCAGCGGCCACCCTGTTATTAATATCTACATTTGATATTATTTTAAGAAATTAAAATAAATTATTTTAATATTATTTAATACAATATTTATTTTAATTTTTTTCGTAGGTGTACATTCCATCGACAACAATTTCTCCAGAGAGTGGCGTGACCTATAGAAGACCATTTACAACCCAATTTCCACTAAATAGTCCAACAGATGCGGAAGAATACACGACAGAATATAGCTTTACAACGCCTTCGTATTCGTCTGAGAAATATTCGACGGTTGGTAAAACACTCGCAGGCTCCGATGCCATCACCACAGCCATCGATGGAACGAAATTCGATTACGATCATCAAAATCGTGGCTCCATCAAGTACACACCAAACAGCGCATATGTTGATGAAATGAAAACCAAATACCTTGGCACTGCGAAACCTATTGATAACAAACAATCTCAATACACAACAGCCATAACACCATCAATTACCACCTATCATGGAAATTATCGAAAAATATCTCCCACAACATCCAAGTACGAAGACGATAAATCTCTATCGGCGGAAGAAACGAATGGCAGGGGTCGAAAGATAATAGTGAAACTGACCGATTTACATCCGATTTTAATTGGAAAATTGGGCGCAGAATGTACATGTAAATCGGATCCATTTGATATATTCCGTGGTCCAAGGCGAAAGCACGTGTCAATACCATCGTCACGCGGAGTTGTTGACTTAGCGAATTATGATGAATCCGACGTTTATGTTGATCTCGAGGCTGATAAGGCGATTGAGAGAATAAAAGCTGAAGCATCTATGGGACAAATTAAGGCTGAGAAGCTAATTAGTCAAGAGTCGGATGAGAGATTAGAGAAACTCGAAGAAAGCACTACACCTTGTCCTACGGACGAGAAGGATCCTCCAAAGTACAATGGCCCGATTATCCGCGTTTATGATCATCATCAAGGTAAAAACTAAAATTCTTCTTTAAATCAATTATTATATTATAATAATCGACATAATCTGTCCTCACTTGAAGTTAGTGTTGTTTTATTCCAATTTTTTGTTTTATAGTTCGAATTATTATGTCAAAAATTTGATAGTTAATTTGTAAATAATAAAATAAGTGAAGAAAGTGAAGTAAGAAAATTAAACTCCGATTTCAAAAACTCAATAAAAAAGTACAGTTGCAATTTTTCAAAATAATCAATTATTCTATGAATTATTCATTTTTATATTTAAATAACTGAATTTAACATTAAATTTAAAAAATTTAAAAAATTTAAAATTAAATTTAAATTTAAAAAAGAATTTTAGTTAAAACTGTAATAATTTTTTCATCTTTAAAATTATCTTTAAATATAATTGAATTTTTGAATATACATTATTTTATAAATTTACAAAAATTATTCTATTTAAATAATTCAATTCTCGTCGTTGAATTCTGATGGGAATTGATTTTAAAAAAAAATTCAGTTAACATTTTAGAAAATAATTGAATATTTAAAGCGTTATAACAGGAATTTTAGGAATTAATTAAATTTTAAAAGGTTTTTAAATTAGAGAACTTTAAAAATGTTTAAAGTTTTATTTAAAAAATTATTAACTACATTATTTTTCTTTAAGAATTCTTAAAGTTTCGAATAATTTAATTCAAAAGTGCTAAAAAAAATAATTGAATTTAGGAAGAATTGCAATTGCAATTTTTAGAAATAATTCAATTTCAAAAGGTTTTTCATTGAAATTATATGAAATTTTAATTCCTGTCAAAAAATAAATAAGAATTAGTTTTTAATTTTGAAGTTTTGAATAATTTAATTTAAAAATCCCGAAAAATTGTTTCTTGACAAAAAAGGAGGTACTTGAAATTATTTTTAAAAAATTGTATTGTATTTCCGAAAATAATTTCGAAAAATTGAAACAACTGAAAATTTTTTCAAATTTCATTGAAATAAATTTTATATTTTAATGACTTTTATTTGTTTACTTTTAAAAATTATTTTGAAATATAATCGTATTTTTGAAGACTTCCAATTGCAAATTTGCAAAATAATTGAATTTTAAAATTTAGAATTGAACTCAAAAGTTCAATTATTTAATTAAAAATATCTTACATTCAAGTTGCTGTTAGAAATATCTTTGCGATTTCTATACAAGTTGTTCAAATAATTAAATTTAAAGAAAAACTCTTAATTGTTTTTTAAAAAATAAAGAATTTTCATTAAATTTCAAAATTTAATGAATTTTATTAATTTAATGAAATAAATTTGACTTCATGTAACAATTTAAGAAATTTTGAAACAAAATAAAAATTTGACACGTCTTTCAAAATGTTTAAATTAAATTAAATGAACTAACAAGTTCTAAATTGCAAAATATTATTTAAAATAAATAATAAATTGAATAGCCTTTCAAAATATTTAAATTCAATAATAATTTTTATTTTTAGAATTTTAAAATAAGCTAAATTAATATTTAACTAAAATTCTATTGAAAAAAATTTTTCCTTTCAACAATTTTGCTGTAAAAGAATTTTATGAAATACAAATTTCGTTAATTGGAATTTTTATAATTAAATATTTTACCGAGTAAAAATTGAAAAACTCCACTGAATGAAAATTCCGCCAATCGAAAATTCGAATCAAAAAATATTCCACGAAAACAAGTCAATAAAATTATTATTTTATTGACTAGTTTTCGTGGAATATTTTTTCATTCGAATTTCCGTTTGGCAGAATTTTTATTCAGTGGAATTTTTCTTTTATAATAAACTGAATCAAATATTAATTATTACATTAAATAGAAATTCTGCTAGATAGAAAATAGAATCTTTCTTCAATAAAAATTACTTTAAGTAGAAATTTGCTGAAAAGAAAATTTTGTCAGATAAAAATTCGTATTAATTAAATATTTTTTTCTTGTTCAATGTCAAAAAGCATATTTTGGTATGAAGTTCACGTTTATAATCAACGATTTAGAAGAAAAAATATTTTTCTATTTAAATTTTTCTATATTTTTGTATAAAAAATGTTTTGAATAATTTTTTATGAATAGTTCAATAATTTGAACAAGAAAAATTTATAGACAAAATATTTTATTTATTTATTTATTTTTTTTTTATTATCTAATAAGGAAAACTTTTCATTGTTCTTGTCAAGAAAAATATTTTCTTTCCTTCAATCGTCGATCATTTATAAATATAGAAAATTTCACCGACGTAAAAAGCATGAACTATGTAGAAAAAATGTGTAATATTCAATTACTAGAAAATTGTTAACTATGTTAAATTAAAAATAATTGAAATAATTGAAATAATTATAGTAGAGTAAATAATAATAGTAATTATTTCTTCAGGTCAACCGGCTCGTCTTACAGAATCAGAGGCAGAAGAATCATCATCTCCTGTCTCATCAGCACAGACATCGGGACGTCCAATAAGTGAAAATCGAGGATCATCAAGATATATAATTCACACGGATAATAATGTTGCAAGTGCATCAATTGCTACTGGCAGTAGAATAGCAAATGGTAGATCTGGCAAATCCCTCTTTGGCAAACCATCAGCATCAAATGATAGAGGAAAGAAGAAATTTGAAATTAGCAAACACGACGCCGCCTCATTAATTGATAATGATGATGGCGAATGTGCGAGACCAGGACTTTTCCGTCATCCAAAGCTTTGCAATAAATTCTATGTGTGTCATTGGGACGAATGGAAACAGAAATTCTCTCGACACGTTTTCAATTGTCCAATTCACTTAACCTTTGACTCAACGGCTGGAGCTTGTAACTGGCCAAGTAAAGGTCCAGCCTGTCAGGATGACAATCTTCTCGTTTAAAATGCTCAAACTCAACAAAAAAACCTAGAATAAAATTTACATTATTAAATTAATTTTAATTTTCATAATTAGAACTTGAAATTTCAAAATTAATTTACATTATAGTTTTAATTAATTATTCTCTACCGAGTGAATCAATTAATTGAAATTATATAACACCAGATTAAAATTCAAATTAATTTAAAATTGAAAAAGTTCAAAAACTCGACTATAAAAAAAAACCATGCAAATTTGAAAATTTTGTTCAATTTTAAATTAATTTTTGAATGAATATCTAAAAAGTAGAAGATTAAGAGATTAGAAGATTAGATAAACGTAAATGAATCGAACCAACCTTCTCATGGGAAATTTTTTTCGAAAAAATTTTTGAAAGATGATACAAAGTTGTAACTTTCTCCTGCTTCAAGATCATAAAATATCACTTTAAAAGTTCAAGCAGGGAATTTAATATGTCTTCATTTATTTATTTTTCATGTAACATTTCGGATTCGAAAAAAAAAATTTGTTTCCTTAGGTTGGTCTACAGGACCATGATAATGTAAATAATTATCTTATTTTCTTCAAAATTTGTACATATCACATATTTATGATAACTTCGTCTCTCGTATAGAATTCGATTAGAGAAAAAAAAAAGAAACATGAATCAAAAGATTCTTTTTTTCAAACAAAAAACTTCAGAATTCTTTCATTTTCATTGTTTCTTTATAGAATTAGACAAGAATCAAAACTCCATAGTTACCGCTATTTTAGACTAGATACTGATTTTTTTTTGTAAATAAAATTTTTTCTGTAATACTGACTCTTATAGCTCTTAACAAAGATGCACGAGAATTATTTCTCAAAATAAAATAAAACAAGATAAAATAATTATACTTTATTCTTTACATTTACTTTAGTTTACTTAAATGAAATAATTTAAATAAAAACATTATCGCAATAATAAACTAATTTTAACGATGAAAATATTTTATATAAAGAATTTTTCTTTTTGAAGTAGAAATAAAAAAAAAAAATATTTGCGAAAAAATGCTAAATTTGACACTACTTATTATTTCTTTAACACTAATATCATTAGTGATGGAACGAATAACGTGCCATTCGTTTATGATTCATAATAATACGTAATGCCATTCGTAATGGTTTCCACTCAAATAAAGGAAAAACTCCGTAAAGTTATGGTTCAATTTAAAAATTTTACGATTCACTAAAATTGCAGATTAACTTTAAATATATATTTGTAATTCCACGTTATTGAAAATTATTACCAAAACGTACAATATCAAATTGTTATGATTCGCTATTACATGAATCATGGGGAACTAAAAAAAGAATGAAAAATATTTCATAATTTTCATAATCATTTTTATTATCTACACTATATGGTAAAATGTAAATCGCCTTATAGTTATTTGTAAATCGACTTTACTTATCAGCCGAGAGAGAAAGTGGCGTTAGAAAAATAGTAAAAAAAAAGAATATACATATATCGGATTTTCATGCGTGTTCTAAATAAAACTTTCGCCTAGTTATAAAATCGACAAGCAAGTCATAATTGCTCTCTCGATTTCAAGTGTATGAGTTAAAGGAATTATTAATCAGATTTTATAAATAAAGATCGTTGAATTTGGTACCCGAGCTCGTTTACTTCATTAGAAAACAAAACAAAAATTTATTAAATTAAATTCAAACTATAATAAAAAATCTAGAAATAAATAATAATTTGCGAATAAATAATTAATATATACTGAAGAGTGAATAATAAATAATAATAATGAATAATAATATAAATAAATTCTAAACAAAAAATAGTAAATAATAATGAATAAATAATTAAATCATGCTTAGTAAGAAATAGTAAATAATTAAATATTAATTATTGAATAAATTATTAATTAATAAAATAAAAAAGAATATTAATTGCAAGCATTGCAAGTTAAGAAAGTCGAGTTAAATTTCCTGAATACAGTTCAATAATATTATAGCTTCTTTTTTTCATGCTCGACCAGCATTCGAAATCGAGCAAAAATGACAAATGCGAAACTTTCGAGGAAGGGCGACGAACCGAATCGTCGATGTTCTTTGATTAGTGTAAAAAAATAAAGTAAATAACTTTGTTACGTATCCGAATTTTAGAGAATTACAATAGTTGGGGTCTCCATTCAATTTCCAAATGTACATGAAAGGAGAAAGAGAGACAGAGAGAAAAGAGAAAAAGACACAGGTCAATAGAAAGCCGAGTTCACCGACCGCTAAAACTTTAGTAAACTGAGGGACATTTTAAAGACAATAAAAAATCACCTATAACAATAATTGTGGTCTAAACTATTAATGAGACAAAAAGAACAAATTATAAGTCTCTATTTGAACTACTTTCACCAAGTCACATAAGATAAATAATAAATCCAAGCAGGTTCTGATGAAACAACTAAATTTTCAAACTCGAGAATATTAACAATAAAGTTTAATGACCCTTTGATGATCGCGGAAAAATTGACAGAAAATAATCCATCACCTTCCTTAGCTTGAAGAATTTTTCTTTGTATTAACGTTTATTTAAAAATCCAGTTCAAAATTAATTTTCTGGTCCAGTTGAAAATTAATTGTCAATTATTATTATAATAATTGTAATTATAATATTTGTATAAATATTTATTATAATATTTGTAATTATAAATAATATTATTAAATAAAATTTTTTTCTTGTAATTAAACAAATATAATTATAATATAATAAATATAGTAAAAAAATTTTAAATACAATAATAAACACAATTGCAGATAAAATTATAAACGTGTAGTTTGAAATGTAATTATAAATTAAAATTATTTTTCCACCAGAGAAAATAATAGTAAATCTACAGAAATTGAAAGTGCGATTGTTGATAAAGCTGATAAATTAAAATCCTTTCAACTTTACACGCACACTTAACTTTGAAACTTGCATCATAAAAATTATTCCACCTAAACTTCGTATGACTCGGTTGCATTGAAGATAAAGAAAACTTGACCAGGTTTCATAACATTAATATTCCTGCAAGTGAAACTACAAAACGAAAGTCAATTTTAATAATAAAAAAAAAATACGGAAGGTTCTAAAGTATTATTGTCAGTCTTTCAGGAAGAAAAATCCACCAAAGAGAGCTTTGAATAATTATTTCATTGAAAATATTCCAAATCCCAAAGTACGATAAATATTTCTTTAAAATTACTTTTTATTTAATTATTTATTTTTACTCGTTTATTTATTTTTCTTCTTTTTATTCCTTAGACTTCTTAAAATCTATTTCCCCAGTTTTTCGATCTTCGATGTCGAAATAAATCATCAAAAAAAAGAGAGAGATTCAATTATTCACTGTACAACTTTCCATAGCACACACGTTCTATTCAAATGATTTCAAGAACGCTTTTTTGATGTTGTGCTTCATTAATATACCGTTGATTATATTTGACTGCGAAGAACTTGTCTCTCTCTCTCTCTCTCTGAAACGAAAATAAGAAAAAAAAATAAAGAAAAAGAAAGTGAAAAGAAGAGGAAGAAAGGAGGCGCGATAGAAGGGAATAAAACCAAGTACCTCTATCCTACCGTTGAAAGAAAGTGTGTCGACAAAAGTGAGGGTGCTGTAAATGACCTACTGATACATTTTCGTCAAGAAATTATTTTGATAACAAAACACAAAGACCAAAATCTAATTTTATCTTTAAAAAAAAAATTCAACGTCCATTTGAATATAAAAATAGAAACATTGTCTAATATCAACTTACAGACCTCGAAAAATCAAATAAATTACATCAAAAAATTAAAAAAATCAAAAATTACAAAATTCAATAATTCAAAAATATTCAATAGAAATAATTGTTGCCATTAGTCATTAATTACCACTAGACTCATTAATTTTCTAATATAATTTTTCTCTAATGTTTAATTAACAGTTCGTGATAAAAAAAAAGAAGAAATATATATTATTGACTGCGACATAACGATTAATCTACGAACACTTGTCTTGAATTGGTATTCAAAACGCTTACGAGCTTCTCTTGCAAAAAGTCGTTCACATTACTAAGCGGACTCGAGACATGAAAATTAATGAGCCAATACTTTAAATGTAACGCTACGATAATTTATGCTTCAATGAATTTATAACTTATAATTGTGGTTTCAGGAAACACGAGAAAAAAATTAAAGAAATTCGAGTAAGGAAATTTTTAAACTTCACAATGTAATGAGAATTTAAAAAGTTAAACTAAATGTTAAACAACGTGTAAAAGATTCGAGGGAAAATTAATAATAATGATAATATCAATTATTTTAATAATAATAATAGCAATAATAAGACAGAAAAGAATAAGTAATAATAAAAAAATAAGGCAAATAAAATTTTCGAAATCTGAATGATTTCCTCTTCGGGGAGTCTATCCAAGAAACATAAAAATAATAATAAAAAAATAATTTAACAATAAATAAATAATTATCTTACCAAAAATTAATAATTAAAATAAACGAAGACTTAATGTTATGCCCTGACGATGGAGTCAGAAAATTATAATGGAATTTAATATTGATAAAATAAAATAAAAATAAAATTAATTGAAAGAATAAAAAATTATATTTGTCTTATTTTATAAAAGATCTAGGGCGTTAAAGATTATTTAACTAATAAAAAAATGATAACAAATTGTAATTTAAAAAAAATAATAATAGAAGAAGAAGAAGAAAAAGAAAATACTAATAATATGTAAATAACAATACTTTAGGAGAGCTGACCTAATATCACGAAGTACATTTTAATCCAATGCAAATGAATTTTAGAATTAATAACAAGAAGAGAAAAATTATCAGTCCATCTGATATAAAAAACAAAAAGAACTTTTTTTCTTTTTCAACGGTACTACCGTCCTTTTCATTTAAAAAATTTTTAAATTTGATACAAATTTAAAATTATTCCACTTCTAAAAGTTTCCTAAACAGATAAAAAATTTTATCATATCTTTAAATTAATTTCGATATCAAAATTTTTGTTTAACAAAATTCAAAGTTCTTTGAAAAAGCTTTTTAATTTAAAATTGACTGAAAAATTAATACAAAACTGAAATAAATGGTAAAAATTGATTATTTATTAATTTTTTCTATCTTTAGGTATCAAAAAAGTGAAAACGTTTGAGGAAAACAGTACGAAAAAATTATAAAGTAATTTTTACTATTTACAAAGCAAAATCTAAACTGAAGGAAATTTATTTCTACGTATTTCTGTCAAATTTATTATTTTTGGAGTAAATTTTAATAATTTACTGTTTACTAAAATTTACTAAAATACTTTTAAACATTATGTAAACTTTACTAAAAAAAATATATAAAGTAGGTACTATAAAAAAATAATTTTTTTCTGACATTTTTCCCAAAAAATCGTATTCCCAAAGAAAAGTCTCTCCCAAAGTACTTTTTTCTCAAAAGCTTTTTTTCCACAATATAAAATTGTTCATGAGAACAATATTCTTCTTTAAATAAATTATTTTTAATAATTTTTTAAAAAGTTCTTTGAGAAGTTTAAAATCCATTTGTATACATTTTAATTTTACGAAATTTCGATTATTCGGAAATTCTTCAATTAAATATATTAGTAAATAAAAACTAGAAATAATTTCAAAAAAATTTCCATCAAACTTTGTCAAAAAAATTAATTGTACCGAATTGTTAATTAAAATTAAAATTTTCAAAATTCAATTACTCCTAAAAATTCATTCTATAAAGCTTCTAAAATATTCAATTATTATCTAAAATTTTAACTGAAATTCATATTTAAATCAATTTTTATTAAAAAATTCTACTAGAATTCAATTATTTAAATACAAAATTAAATTATTTATTGCATAATTGAATGTTTCTTAAAATTGAATTCTTATATAGAATTTACCAACAAATTTTCAAATAATTAAATTCTTTCAACGAATATTAATAAAATTTTTAAGAATAATTACATTTTTCAGGCAATTGAATTAAAATTGTATTAAAAATAATTGATATTCTGCGATGAGTTTTCTTATTTATGAAAATAATTCAATTCCAAAGCAGAATTTCATAATTTACGAAAATAATTGAATCCCTGCGTAAACTCATTTATGAAAATAAATTGAATTATTACGAAGAATTTTATAAAAAAAAAATTTATATAATTAACTATTATTATATTGTCAAATTTATTATTTCTAAAGTAAATTTTAATAATTATTTACTAAAATACTTTGAAAAAATATGTAAATTCATTGAAAAACTATATAAAATACTACGAAAATGTAAATAATAATTTTTTTCAGATAAATAGTGAATATTAACTATTATTATATTATCAAACATTCTATTTCTGAAGTAAATTTTAATAATTTATTAAAAATACTAAAAAGAACTATGTAAACTTTATAAAAAGTAAAAGTAAAAATTTTTTTTACTTTTTGTTTTTTGAAATAGTAAAAAATAGCGTTGAAGTGCGTAAAATTTAGAGATAGTTTAGATTTTATTTTATGATTGTAGTAAAATTTTTTTTTTATTCGCTTTTTCAGTGAAGAAATAAAAATAATAAATAAAATAATTGAAAACTACTTGAACAGTGGCCAATTAAACTTGAAATACTAATTAATAAAATCTCGAGTAAGATACAGTGTCACATCAATATTCATCGACAATAAATTACAATTAAGAACTTTTAATTTTCCCAATGGCTATTCTTAATAGACTTCGCTTCAGAAGCGAAACTAAAATAAACAGTAAGCTCATTAAGTAAAGTAGTTCACTGGAACTTCTTTGTATTTAGTTGCACTTTAAACGAAATGGTTAACGTTCTTTTTTTTCTCTTCGATTGTAATTATTATCTCTGACAGGGGAATATAATCTTGACGGTCATTGACGATTGTCAATGTGCTCCGAAGTCGTAAAATAGAACCGTTTTATTAGGTGGGACATAATTCAACGAGAGCGGGAGAAATGAAACAGAGAGGGAGATTGAAGAAATGAGAGAGAATTGTGTGCATTGGGTAGGAGATCAGGTAGTTTAAGCTCGGAAGTGATATAAAGGCCTTCGTCGTTCCGACCAACTTTAGCGCACCTGAAAATCGTTCACTGGAAACATCACACCAACAGTTCGGTCAGGAAGTGTCTCCGTCCCACACCACACTCGACCATCATGTAAGTCCTTCCTAGAAAATTTTTAATAATAATTTATAAGCTTTGAAATGAAAATTCAATTATTATTATACTAAACAAAATTCGAAAATAATTACTAAAAACTAAATTCAAAAATAATTACTAGAATTAAAATCCAAACATAATTACTGGAAATAAAATTAAATAATTACTAAACGAAAATTCAAAAATACGTGATCTTTGGAATAATAGAAAATAATTTCAAAATTATTACTAAAAAATTCGAAAATAATTAAAATTATCCGCTAATACAATATTTAATAATTTTATAAATTAACAAATGGCTTTTAATTATTAAAAAAACAATATCAAAAGTGCAAATTTTCAATGCTTTGTAACAAAGATAAAAAAATGTATCTTCTAATAATTCCCAGAAAAATTTTAATTTACATTTTGTAATAAATTTCCTAAATTATTAATTTACTTTTTGATTTCCATCCAAGACTTAATTTCAATTGCAAATTAAAATTAAATTAAATTAATTTTATAATCAATGTAAATAATAATAATTAATCAAATTAGTAATAATTAAATCAGATTTTTTACACAAAATATTTCCAATTGTAAAATTTAAATGAAATTTATTAACCCTTGCTTACAACTTAGTTGTATTTTTTCTTCGTTTCTTAGAATAATTAAATTTTTTCCAAACATTTTTTTATACGAATCAAAAAACTTAAAACATTTTTTATTTAATTTTGTTAAATTTTGTTGAAATTCCAGCCCTTAATGTTAAAAAGTATGATTTTTTAAAATAAAATATTCCTTTTCATTGTGGTAAAGAAGAGTTAAAATAATATTTTACAGTGACAAGTGAAATTTTTACTTTTCCTTTTCTTAAATAAGATTTTACAGTTGGATAGAATCAAATTAATTAAATTTGATTAAATTAACAACAAGATTTTTTGTTTTGTTTGTTTTTTTTGCCTATGTGAAAATACAAAATGAATCAAGTTACGTAAACTAATTTCCAACTTATGAAATAAAAAAATTTACGTTAACGTAACAAAATATTGTAGAAATTTATTTTTAATTTCTTTAAGACAAAAGAAAAAATCTACTAATCAATATATGTAAATTAATTGCGTAAATAATTGGTGTCACGATCTTTGTTTTTTACTGACCTGCATCTAAAGTATGTATATTTTTTTCTCTCGCTGTTTATTATGATACAATGATTGAAATTGTTAATCCCACACGTCAATAATGGAATTTTGCTTGGATAATATATTCAACATATTTAAATTCTCATTATGTAAACCATCGAGATGTAATGAGAAGAAAATCGTTCGCTGCGAAGATGAATAGATTGATTCAATCAAAGTGACCTGAAAAAGGAAAGACTACTGTTAGTAAATAGAAATGTACCACATACTCTTTGATTAGTGCATTACAAAGCGAATTATCAAAAATTACTTTATTTTTTCTATTATAATTTTTGTATCGTTACATTTTGATTTTTACCTTTTTCTATTTCTATTTAATTCTATTTCGAATTATTTAATATTTTATTTTAGAATATTTTCATTATATAATTATTGTTGCATTTATCGTTATGTTTTTTCCTACTCCATTTATAAATTTATAATTTCTTGAAATTATTATTTCTTATCGTAGAGCATGTGAAAAAGAAGTGAAAGGAGAGTAGAAGTAAATTAAATTCAAAAAGAATTGAAACTCGCTTCTTGGGAATAAGTATAATAATAAAAGATATAAAAATAAAATTCTTAACAATTAATGTTATTTATTCTTTTGTTTTTAATTTTCGTTTTTCAATAGACACGTGTTTCGCCACTATATGTCAAAGCGAAAGGTGTACATGTTGTATTTACGAAGAGACGTTCACATATCACGAACTTGCCTTGAAACTCGGGAAAGTGAAAGGATTTTCTAACATTAAACTCGCACCCAACTTGATCGACACGATTTGCGAGATCACGTTTTGCATGTCCCGTGTGTCCGATTGTCCCGTTATTACCATTTCTTGATTTGCGAACGATCATTTATTCAATTGGGATTTTCTTCTCCCTATTTTTCAATGCTTTCAAAGAAAATTAAGCTCACAAATCAAAGCGATTAAAACGCGAAATTATATATCTTTTGCAATTAGAGACGCAAGAAAAAAGAAAAAAAAACTTTCCCCCATGTTTGAATATTGTACATATGCGCTAGAAAGTGGAGTAGATCAATTGAAATTAATCGATCATGCACATATATATACGATTAAATTTTTGATATCTGATTTTACCGGTTCCTACAGTCGGTATTTATTTATTCATTAGATGCAAATGAAGAAATATGCAACAGACACATTGCAAGTTTTATAATAATTAAACCGGTTATTGTGGAAGGAAAATTGCACATTATTCGTGTTTATTTCTAATTATAGTTCATTTTTCAATAATTCGCGAATTTAATGGGATTTTATTTTTTTTGAAAACAAATTTGTTTCATTTGATTTTGTTGCAACAAAACTGATTTTTTTTAAGCGAATTGCATTTTTAATCTAATTTTATGTAATACTAACTAATACTAAAACTAATAATAATAATGAAAATAAATTGTAAGACTTGTATTAAGTGCACAATTGAGAAAATAAATCTAATCTAAATCATTACTTTAATTCTGAAACTGTCCTTTTATGTTATAAGTACTTTTTAGTTTTATAAATTTTCCATCAGTGGTAACATTAATTTAAAAAATAAATTTTATTTACCTAAATTTCTCCATTGAAAAGTGAAACTATATTTTGTAAAAAATGAATTTTAAATCCCTTGACTTCGAATGAGAAAATGGAAATTAAATTAGAAAAATACGAGTAGGAAAAATTTACTGAATTTCACTTTCGAAATTTCGAATTCTTGAATATAGATTTTAAATTTTTCCTTCTTTTCTTTACAGAAAGAATTGATTAGAATGAAATTAATATAAATGAGATTTAATTTTTTTTCGTAATTCTTCAATATAATATTGTAGACATGAAAATAATAATTCATCAGTGACAAAGGAAATAATTTTAGTTTTTGGTTAAAGTGAAAGGAACCACTGGTTAGGTGAGCTATCTAAACTTTTGTAGCGCACGAAAAGAAACGAAATATAAAAAAAAGGACAGTTGCGTAACGTTGAACTCGCTTTCTCTGTTATAAGAAATCCCAAAGTACATTGATTAGACGATCGTTAACAAATGCTCCTATAGACTCTAAAACTCAATTTACTTTTCGTACATTAAACTATTAACTGACGATAAAAATTTAAGCGGAAAAGTAGAAATAAAAAAAGGTCTTCAAAGAAAATTATTTTATACCAAATATTTAAGAATAATTTTATACCAAATTAATAAAATAATTTTTCACCGAATATTTTCAAAAAATTTAAATATCAAATAGTTTAAAATAATTTTGAATCGAATAATTTCGAACAATTTTATACCAAATATTTAAAAATAATTTTTATACCAAGCAATTAGTAAGTATTACGAAAAAGAAATTAAAATTTGTGTCTTAATTAAATTACTTTTACTTTTTAAAATCTAAAAATAAACGAAAATTTTTTTCAATAATAAAATATCTTCAATATTGTAAAACTATTCCAAACATCAATATTTCTTTTTAAACATAATTATTTTTTTTCACTGGAATTAAAATTTTCAAAAATGTCCCATTTACAACCTTCCGAAATTCAATTATTTATCAAAAGTGCAAACGCAACAGTTGCAAAATTTAATTATTTTTTGAATTTTAAACTAAAATTATTCTTCGCTAAATAATTTCTAAATAATAATTTTATATAAGTTTTAAAAAAAAAATTCAGGAATTTTAATAAAAATCTTTGCAGAATTCAATTAATTTTTGTAAATAACAAAAATTTAACATAAGAATTCAATTATTTTCAAAAGGAATCAAATTCTTCCCAGGAATTCAATTATTCTTAAAAATTTTTTAAAAAATTCTCGTCAAGATTTCAATTATCTATATAAATAGCAAAATTCTTCACCGAAATTCAATTATTTCTAAAAATTTTAAAATAATTCTCGGTGAAATTATAATTATCTTTATAAATAGCAAAATTCTCCTCAGAAATTCCGTTATATTTCAGAAATTTTAATAAAAATCTTTGCAGAATTCAATTAATTTTTGTAAATAACAAAAATTTAACATAAGAATTCAATTATTTTCAAAAGGAATAAAATTTTTCCCAGAAATTCAATTATTCTTAAAATTTTTTTTAAAAATTCTCGTCAAGATTTCAATTATCTATATAAATAGCAAAATTCTTCACCGAAATTCAATTATTTCCAAAAATTTTTAAATAATTCTCGCTAAAATTATAATTATCTTTATAATTAGCAAAATTCTTCACAATACTTCAATTATTTTCATAAATATTAAAATTCTCTTCAGGGATTCAATTATTTTTAAAAAATAGTAAAATTCTTCTAGGAATTCAATTATTTTTGAATTTTTCTAACTTGTCTAAAATTAAGTTATTAATCAAGTTATTAATTAACTTAGTTAATTAGTTTCCATTGATTCTCACCATAATTTCAAGAATCCTCAAAAATAAAAATGTTTGGAGAATAATAAATTCCCAATTTTCCAGGGTGGTGTGGACGGCGCTGATTTTAGCGGCAGTGGCCTTCTTGGCCGAAGCTGCTGTATCAGATCCGAAGACTTCCGGTATCACGACCGTTGGTTCAAAAAAATTGGCAACTGCAACCGACTGCGTTGGTGTTATTGCCTTCTCAGCAACTCAAGGCTCCGTTAAAGTACGTTCAAAATTCTTCTCCAAAATTTCCTTATAATTTTTCTTCTGCTAAAAAAAAGGAATAAAAATTAATTCACGAATTTCATAACAATTAAAATAATAATAATAATAATAATAATAATAATAATTACTTTTTCAGGATTCAAAATTACTCCTCGCCGAGACATTGATTGACAAAGGAATTGGATACGTCGCTGAAACGGGCATATTCACCACTCATTGTCCAGGTCTCTATCAATTCAGTTTCGCCGGCTATGGCGATTCTGAACTACAATTGATTCTAAAACGAAAACTTAATAAATCGGAAAAATGGACAACAGTGGCGAGTGTGGGACAAGGAGGTGGTTCAAATCTGGTACTTCTTGACGTTGACGTTGGCGATCAATTGTCAGTGTTTGTTGAAAAAGGAAAAATCACTGGCGGAGCCACTTTCTCTGGATATCGAGTTTCGAAAAAGTGATTTTTTTCTCAATTATTATACAAATTTTATCCCCCACACACACACTGGACCGAAAGCGATTTTTACCACAACAACTATTACTGACTTCTATATTCCACATCCATGACTTAGAACCTTTTCGAAAAGAAGGCAATAAACGACCGTTTTAAACATCCGATTAAATGTAAAAGAAGAACAAACTTTGTAAAATTTCAAACTCTTTAGAATTTTCTTTTGTAATTTGCAATTTTGATAATTTGAGAAAATTAGAAATAGTAAGCGGTCGCTCAAAATAAACGCGTTCGTCAGAATTTGTTAACGACAACGTATTGTGATAGCAGATCATTTTGGAAATCGTTTTGATTTCTTTTTTTTTAATTTAAAAAAAACGAAATTTGTTATTTTTTTCCAATTTTATCCTTTTTTTTTGTTAATTTTTTCATTATTTTAGTTAAATTTCTTTCTTTCAAGTAATTTTTTTATTCCAATGTTCCTGTTTGTTTACACTCTTTATATTTTAAACTTCTATTTCTTTATCGATTTCAAGCACTTTGGTTTCTTTAATTTCACTCACTTTATATCTTTCAATTTCAATCATTTCCGTTTCTTCAAGTTTCTTCGTTCTTCATTTCAATTTCTCTATTTTCCCGTCTTCTTTCTCTGTCTATGAACTTTTTCTTGTCTTCTGTGTAGAATTCTGTATATATAAACGTGATTTCTTTCCTCTACTGTACCAATATTCACTCTTCTTCTTTTATCTTCATTTTCTATCTATTGTCTGTGATCTTTTCTTTTGAATTTTCCAATTCTTTTTCTTTTTCACCTATCAGTATTAATCTTCTATTCGTTAGCCGCTTCTTGCCGCGTTTAAGATTTCAACTCTTCTTTTCTATTTTCTATTTCTTTATTTCTAACTTCTTTTTCATTTCTTCTAGATATTCTTTTTTCAAATTTTGTTTTACGATTGTACCTGATTACTTGTAACTACTTTTTTCCTTTTCTTTTTTCTCTTCTTTTTCTATTCTTTTTTCTTGTTTATTTTTTCTACTCTTCTTCTTTATTCTTTTTCTCATTTATATTTCTATTCTCTTTCTTGATTACCTTTTCAATTCTTGTTTATTACTTTTTCTATTCACCTTGTTTCTTATTTTTATTCCTCTTCTTTTTTCTATTCTTATTCGTTATCTTGTTTTTACTTTTCCCTTTTTATTGTCTATCTTTTTCTTGTTCTTTTTCTATTTTCTTCTTTTTCTCTTTCTTCTCTTTATTCTCATTTTCTTAGTTTTCTTTAACTTCGAATTTCATTTTCCTTACCTTGACATTTTTTTTCTGTCTTTCTTTTCTTTCTTTCTTTCTTTCATGAATTTTTTATCTCTTTATCTCTTTTTTCCTTTCTACCTTTCTATTTTTCTTTTTTTCTTATATTTTCTTTTTAAAAACTACAACTATGAATTCTTTTTTCTCAAAGACTATTGGTTTTCTTTTATATTCTGCCTCATTTTCAAATTCCTTTTTTAAGCTTTCTTTGACCCTATTTTTTTATTTATCTTTCTGCTTCTTTTTCGATTTATTTTTCTTTTCTTTTTCTCTTTATTTCCTCTTTCTTTTCTCTTTTTCTCCCTATCTCTCTTTCTTTCTTCCTTATTTTCTTTCTTTCTTTCTTTTACTCTTTTTTTCCTTCTCTGTACTGTACTTTCATTTTCTTCATATATCTTTTTAAAATGAAACCAACGTTCCACTTTCAACGGCTATTCTACTTTTCTCCTTTCACTCGACTCTTTTTGCCTGAAATATTTCACCGATGTCGCTTTACTTGGATTTGTTGGTGTCTTTACCATACTTGTCTTTCATACCATATATAAATTAAATGCTGTGATCAAATATGCTTTAAACATTCAATTCTATACATGTCATTTATTATTTCTCACTTTTCTTAGAAATCATTTCTCACAATTTCATTATTAATTCTTCTCGTTAAAATTATTATTTTTATTAAAAAAAAATATTTTTATCCGTTTGATTATTTCTCTCTTCTTCTTCTTATTTTTACATTCTCATAAAAAATGAGAAGGTTTTGGATATGTTATGTATTGTTATTTTTTTTATTATTACAAAAAACAAAAAAAAAAATTAATTAAAAAAACAAAATTTATAAAAAAAAATTCACAAAAATAATACTGCGTATAGAGAATAATTTTCTCACTATGCAATTTTTTTAAATATTTTTTATTCATATATATTTCTCTCTTAGCAAATGCTGTGATTTCTTGTTCTCTCATATTTCTTATTTCTGTTCAACAAATAACTATTATCATATTCTTTCAAAATGTACCTATTTTATTTGTGATCAGTTTTATTATTTTTTTACAAAAAATATTCTATCATTTTCATTTTTATGTTCAGCTGTCACTTAATTTTACTACTAAATTTAGTAGCAATCGGTAGTGTTACCAAACTCTTATGTACATTTTGTCTACACTGAGCTTTACTTCTCAATAAACTGAAAATGCTCTCTTTCTTTTCTATCTTTCTTTAAAAAAACCGCTATCTTTCTTTCCTATTTTCATTTGTGTATTTTCTCCTTTACTGTCCACGATTTTCTCTTCAATGCAATTTATTCTCTCAAAATTTCCTTTACTTTCCTTTACGTTTCAGTATGCTTTTCCTTTTTTCTTCTTTATTGTCTCTTTTGTTATTCTGATTCTACAATTTTTACTTTACATTATTTTTATTTTTCATGTTTCTTTTATTTACATGCTGCTTCCTTACACTTTACTTTCATTTCATTTTGTTTTCTTTTTGTTTTGTCCTTTTGTTATAAATTGTGTATTTTTTCATTTTCTCTTTTCTTCTTCCTTTCTACTATATCTGTTTTATTATTTTTTTCACTTTCTTCTTCTTTTTCCTAGATACATCTTTCTTCTTATTTTATTCTATTATTTTCTCTTTTCATATTCTTATTTTCTTTACTGTTAATTTATTTTCTTTTCTTTTCTCATTTCTTACATAAATTTATTTTTGTTATTTACTTCTATTTCTTTATTATAAATTATGTTCTTTATATTTCTTTCTTCACCTTGCTGTAATTATTCTTATTATTTCTCTTTATTATTTTTCAAATTTTCGTTTAATTCCAGCTTTCTTCTTCTTCTTCTTTCTCTTGTTATTACTTTCTTTCTTCTCTTTATTTTATTACTTTTAAATATTTCTCTTTATTTTTTTTTAAATTTTCTTTTTATTCTTGTTTTCTTCTTGTTTTCTTTTTCTTCCTCTTCTTCTTATTCCTCTTGTTATCACTTTTCTTCTTCTCTTTATTTTATTATCACTTTTTTTCTTCTCTTTATTTTATTACTTTTAAATATTTCTCTTTATTATTTTTCAAATTTTCTTTTTATTCTAGTTTTCTTCTTCTTCTTCTTTTTCCTCTTCTTATCACTTTTTTCTTCTATTAATTTTATTACTTTTTTTAAATATTTCTCTTTACTTTTCCAATTTTCACTTTAAACTAGTTTTTTTTTCTTTTTCTTCCTCTTCTTATTTCTTTTTTTCTTCTTTACATTTTATTACTTTTAAATTTTCACAGTTCTTATTCTACGTCCTCTAGTTTTTCAATATTTCTTTTTTCTAGTATTTTTTTCTGTAACTATATCTTGACATTACTTTTTTCTTTTTTACTTCTTTTTTCAATTTACACTTTTATTTTCTCAAACTTAGTTTCTTTTTTCTGAATTTAATTTCTTCTTTTTACTATTTGCTTTCTCATGTTTTCCCTTTTCTTTTTCTTTCCTTTTATTTTCTTACTTTCGTTAGCTTCTTTTATCTTTTCTTTCTTCCTTTTTATTTCTTTCATTTTATAAATTTTTATTTTCTATCTCTTATTTTTATTACTTTCGTTACCTTTTTTAATTTTTCTTGTTTTTTTATCTCTTTTATCTTTTCTTTTTTTCTTGATTTAATTCCTCGTTTCTTCTCTTGATTTATTTTCTCGTTTTCTTTTTCTTGATTTTTTTTTCATTCTCTTTTCTGTTTTTTACCTTTTTTATTTCTTCTTCTTTTTCTTTATTTATTTCCTCCTTTTTTCTTGATTTGTTTCCTCGTTTTCTATTTCTTCATTTCTTTCTTCAAACTCAATTATCTCTTTTCTCTTCTACTATTCAGACTTTTTCTTTTATCGTTTTCTCCTTTTCTTCCTTTTGTTGTTCTATTTACTCTCCAATGTTTAATGAATCTTTGAACTTCTTTTCTTACATCATTTCTGTAAAATAAATTTCATAGAGTTTTTCCAAACGAAACCAATATCTGCTATTTACGCGATAAAACAATTTACCTAAACTTCGATATTTCTTGTTTCATTTTCATTTTCAAAATATTCTTACTCTAAAAAATCTCAACATTCTATCTATCTCCCCTTTTCTAGTATCTTTTTCTACCTGTGTGTATCTCTTTCTATCTTATCTTATCTCAATAGCTCATAAAGAAGTAAATTCCAAGATGATGGTTTCATTTGTATCAATTCTTAATCTAGTTTTTTCTTTTTTTTTCTCTCTCTCTCTCTTTCTTTCGTTCTTTTTTCTTTCCCTTAAAAATCTTTTATCTCTACAATCTACTTTTCCCCTCTCCAATGTCTTACCGTATTTTTGCTATCACATCAATTAATGTGTTCAAAAAAAAAAAAAAAAAAAATGAAAATTTAAAATGTACTACGAAAAGGCATTTAAATTTAAGTTTTTTCAAATATAAAAAATATTAAGTTTTTTAAAAGTTTATTTTGTACTTAATTCATCGATATTTAGTAATAAAATCGTGAAATTTCCTTTTCTTGATGAAAAAATATGTGTATTATCTAACGAATATAAAGACAATTTATACGTTGTTTAATAAAAAAAGAGCATAACTATTATTCACAATTGTTGCAGAATTACTTATTGATTCCCTTCGTTTTTCCATTCAAAAATTGACAGATCTACTAAATACTTAGCTTGACTGTCTTTAAATCCAAATCTTTGTACAAATTCAGAACGGGTTGCACCTCGTCTTCTAGAAATTCTAAAACCTGCTCTGGAGCTCTTCCCACAAATGTCGAAGGATCCAATAGATTGTCGAGTTGTTCTATTATTGGCTGAAAATACGGATCTTTCCTTATTCTCTCAACAAGATCATTATCCAATCCGTGTTGCTTGACTTGAGCTCCGGCCTCGTGAGATAAAACTCGAATCTTCTCATGACAAACCTACAATACAAAAATTATCTCAATACTTTCATCTTTCAATTGCACATTCTCAGTTCTGAATTTTTATCTATTACTAGCAAAAGATTTACAGATAATTTTATTATTATACAGGATTGCCACAAAAATTTAATTTTGTTTTTCCCTGACATTTCCCTGATTTACAGACAAAATTTTGAATTTTTCCCTGACCTTAAAAAATATTCTGATTCACTCCAAAAATTATTAGATTTTCAAAAAAAATGTTGTATTACATTTATTTACGAATTTCCTTAATTGTAAAATTATTCAAAAACACCAATAACTTCTTTTTTAAATAAATATTTAATTATTATTATTTTTCCATAGGTATTATGATTTTCAAAAATTTCAAATTCAATAACTAATAAAAATATTATTGTAAAACATGAAGAAATGGATCATTCCGAGTCTTCTACTCGGAGTAAACGATTTCTTCATATTTTATTGAATACTTGGTATTATTTTAAAATTCTATCTAATTTCTGAATTATCGAACTAAATAATTGAATTTCTCCAAAGTTTATTATTAAAAATATTCATTCTCTGAGTTTATGATGAAGGGATGAATTTTTAACCTGTCTATCGCCTCCAGCTTTGACCATAGCCATGATAACGTTCTCCGTAGACATGAAAGGCAATTCTTGAGAGACAAATCTGGCAATGACTTTGGGATAAACAACCAAGCCCTCGGAGATATTTTGCAAAGTCATCAAAATAGAATCGGCAGCTAGGAAAGCTTCTCCAAGAGTAATGCGTCGATTTGCAGAGTCGTCGAGAGTCCTTTCCATCCATTGAGTCGCAGCCGTTTGAAGTGCATTGTTTGTTAATACCATTAAGTGACGTGCAATGCTGCAACATCTCTCAGAGCGCATTGGATTTCTCTTATAGGCCATTGCGCTCGATCCTATCTGCGTTTTCTCAAAAGGTTCTTCAATTTCCTTTCTACTCGCGAGAATTCGAATATCACTGCAAATCTATACAATCAGTGCAAAATTATTATTTTCCTCAATATTTTCTTCTAATTCTAATTAAATTTCAATTTATTCTTTCTCGATGTTTAATAATTTACAGAAAATAAATAAATTATTAATCATCGAGAAATTCCCTTTATTTACATTTGAGAGACAATTTTTTGTTTCCTTAAAAAAAGAAACTTAGATTCAATTTTGTAATGAAACAGAAATTGTCTCTCAAATGTAAATAAAGGGAACTAAGTTAACTTTAAATCGAAATCTAATTAAATTCCCAATAATGTGTAACTAATTAATTTCACAAAGAGTTGTACCTTATGAACAGTAGCACCAAGAGAACTCAGAGCACTAAGACATTCAACGTCGACTTTTCTAGAATAAGTCTGACCAGTTACGGAATAGTATTTATCAAATCCAGCCATTTTTGTTACTAATGAGTCCAACTGCTTTACTTTTTCACCATCGCCTGGGAAAGTAAAAATAAAATTAATATTCCCTGAGAAATATCTGTAATAACACTAAAACTTATTCTATTTCCTCAAAAGAGAAATTTCAGGGATCACGGACTGATTGATTTGAATTATCTTAATTTTAATTATTTCTAAAAATTACAACTGTAATTTTTCCAAAAATCAATTATTTTTTAGAATTTTTAAATAAAATTATTCAAAACGTTAATCATTTTTAAAGGAAAATAATGTATTAATTTTTTTTAAATAAACATTAAAATATTATTATACTTTTACTGCGATTAAAATGTTAAAAAGATTTAAATTTAAAAACCTCTTAAAATTTAATTATTTCTTAAAATTCTTAAAATTTTTAGTTGCAATTCTTCAAAAAATTACAATAATATTTCAAAAAAAATTTTTTAAAGTGAGAAAATAAAATTCTTTGAAATTGAAAATTTATTTTAATGAAATTTGAGAAAATTTACTATTTTTTCAATTTTTTAAAATTATTTTCGAGAATTTAAGAATTTTCAAAAAATTGTAATTACGATTTTTTAAAAACCTGATTTTTCAGAATTTCTAAATAACATGTTTAATTTCGATTTTTTTTATTTTGAATAGTAAATATGAAAAATCTCTTTTTTAAAAATTAAACTGAATCATTTATAAAAAAAACTAGTTCTCGATCAATTTATACAAAAAGCGATTATGATACCATTAAATAATTGAAGAAACGATGCTTGAGTTCCTGTTGTGCCTTTAACGCCCCGAAATCTGAGATCATTCCTGGCACGGCGAATCGCTCTTTCGTCCATCAATAAATCGTGCATCCATAAAGTTGCCCTTTTGCCAACTGTCGTCAATTGGGCCGGTTGAAGATGAGTGAAGCCCAATGTTGGCAAGGAACGATATTCCATTGCAAATTTCGAGAGCCGAGATAGTACAGCCGCAACTTTCGGCAACAAAATATCGAATCCATTTCGCATAACAATCAAATCCTGTATAAAAATTAAGAAAAAGATGAACTATTTTCAGAAATTTTTTTTTTCTATTCAGAATGTTTATTTACAGTCTAAATAATTTATATTTTTAAAGCCTATGTAGATTTTCTGTATTTTTATAGACTAAATAATTTATATTCTTTTTTCATAAAAAAAAAAATTCACGGTCATTTCCCGGTCATGAATTATTTTTCCCGGTCATAAAAAGAATAACTCTCAAAATAAATTATTCCATGAAAGATGAAAGTATAGTAAATATTGATACATAGTTTGTTAATCAACATGAAACATGAATATTGTTGTCTCTAAAACTTGATTTTATTTTTCCCTGATTTCACAACAAAATTTTGACTTTGTCCAAAACTCTAAAAATATTTTAGTTTATTTCAAAAATAATTGAAATTGCAAAAAATGTTTTTAATACATTTTTTTGAATATCTTTAATTGTAAAATCATTTGGAACTTGAATAGATTTTTTTAATAAATATTTCATTATTATCTATTATGTATTTTTCCTCAGGTATTCAAATTTCAATAAATTTCAAATCCTTTAAAAATGAATAATTTATAAGAATTGCTACTGTAACTTATTGAAAATTATTTTCAAGATTTCAATTCAATTATTTTCTAGAAATGTTAACTAAAATATTTCAAAAAACTAACTTATTCAGAATTTTTAATTAAATTTTTTTACAATTTTCAACTTTTCTAAAACTTTTTAAAATTCAATCTATATTAATATTAGTAATAATAATTTAACATTCTAAAATATAGAAATAGTTACTTAAAAATTCTTGTAGAAAAACGAATTGATATTAATGCAAAATACGTCTTTTTTAGAAATTTATTTTCTAGGAAAAAATAATTTTATTTATTTTTATTTACTTTATTTATTATTTAAAAATTAATTTTTAGAAAATTCGTATCACTTTTGTTCTAATTAGTTCAAATTTTTATTAATTCAAATTTGTTTTGTAATAATATTGTTTCAAAAAAATTCAAAAATTGATTTATTTTTCACTATTTTATAGGATGTGAAATTTTTTCTGTTTCAAATTTTTTCTACGAATTTAATTAAAATTGTATTTTGTTCAATTATTGTTAGAAATAGAAAGAATTTAAAATTAAATTGAATATTTTCTTTTTTCTTAAGTCTGTTAAGTTAGACCACAAAATTCATAATTTTCTTATAAATTCTAGAAATTGAATATTCTTCTGATAATTTTGATAAAATTCCCTGACAAAATAAAACAATTTTATAAAAGATCGTTCAATCTTTTTTAATGAAATATAATTAATAAGTCTTAAAATAAATATTTCTATTTTTTCTTAGAAAAAATCAGTGTTTTTAACAAAAAATTTCAAAACTCCCGGTCAAGATAAAAATTCACTGTTGTTTCCCGGTTTTTCCCGGTCCAAAAAAATTCTAATTAAGTGCGAAGACTGATTTTTTTTATCGATGAGAAAAAAAAACGTACGGTGTTATCTCCAACATAGCAACTTGTGGCACCGAGATGAATTATAGGCGATGCCTTTGGACATAATTTTCCAAAAACGTGAACATGAGCCATGACATCGTGTCTCGTTAAACTTTCCTCCTTCGCCGCTGCCTCATAATCGATGTCATTAACGTGGGCCTCCATTTCTTCAATTTGATCTTGCGTTACGCTCAATCCCAACTCCTGAAAAAAACAATTACATTTAATACTCAATTGTTAATTATTTAATTACGTTATATTAAAAAATTCCAGAATTATAAATTCACACATATTCAAGTTTGTAAAAACTTCTATTTTTCCTATCCCTTTCCTTCTTCTCTTCATTATTATTTCTTCATTCCATATTTCTTTGGAAATTATTTTAAATGAGTTATTAAGTTTCAAATTATATTTTAAATTAAATAAAATAATAAATTATCAGATCCGATATAATTTCCCTTAAATTTCGTATTATGAAGAATCATAGACACTGAAGCGAAAAGTTATTTCCGTATTTCTTTCCTTCTTACATTGAAACTATAATCGAAAGGAAGTATATTTAAATAATAATTTTCATGAATAATAAAAAGACTTAAAAAAACTTTTTTTAAGACATTCAGTTTACGCTTGCGCTCAGGTATATTGCCTCATTGTTTTATCTCTTTTTTAACATACATCTTTTCTGATTAGATAAAGAGGGCTTGGTTCTCACAACCCATCGAACTCGATGTGAATCGCATTTCATTTATCATCTCTTTACGAACTGGTTCAAAAAAAGTTTTATATACAAAAAAGCGAAAAAAAACAAACAAAAATGGTGTCAGTGCAAACTATTGGAACTATAGTGTTAAAAGCCTTAAAATTGGTGAGTGCATTAAAATCACATACAATTCCCTTCAATCATTTTTCAACACAAGAATTTTTAAATAGTAAAAAACTTTTTCCAAGTTTCCTTCAATTTGTTCCGATTCATGAAAAACTTAAACAGTCACTGTTGAGTCACTAACTAAATATATTATTAAACCGCTAAATTTATCATTTTAAGTTAAATAATTTTTTAAATTATAAATAAATGTAATTAACAATCAAAACAATAATTACTAATAAAAATAATAATTACTAATGAGAACAAAAATCACTAATAATTAATAATAATGATAATAATAATTACAGTAATTATTACTAATGAGAACAATTATCACTAATAATTAATAATAAAAGGAATAATTACTAATAATTAATACTAATAATTACTATCTAATGATTATTAGTAATAATTACTAATGATTATTAATAATTAATAACAATAATATTTAATAATAAATAATTTAAAAATATTAACTAAATGAAAATTAGGAAAAGTTGTAAATCAAAATTTGTAAAATTAATTTTTTGGATAAATTTTTTTCTGAAAATTGAGATAATCTCTTTCCAATTAAAAATAATAAATTTTGTAAAAAAAAATCTCTTTCTAATAAAACAATATTGCTAGTGAAAGAAAATAATATTTATGCAATTGGTTCTGTTTATTTAGCGAGAGATTTTATTAAAACCAATAAATTCATTCAAAATGTATTTTACACGCTTTCGTGATTCACTTTTTATCAGATAATGATAACACAATATTTGTAAAACGTAGATAATTAGATAAATTGTATAAAGCAAAACTGTAGGATGTAGAAAAGAAAATTGATATTTTGAATATAAAAAAAACTATACCTAATAATTAATTAATAATTTTAATAAATTTTAAAATTCATTGGGATTTAACAGTTTTTAAGATAAAAAGACTGAAAGAAAATTCAAGGTTTTTCAGTTTTTCAAAAATGTTTTCAGATACCAAAAACCAAAAACCTTTTATATTAATAATCGTTGTATTCCGGTAATCTGTTATAGTAGTTGTTTAGAAGTTAGTTTTTGTTTGCGTTTTCTTTTCTTAATTTTTTAAATATAAGTTTTCTTTTTAAATTTTTTGAATTGTAAAATTATAATGTATTGAAAATCATTGAATTCTTGCGAAGTATTTATCGAAAAATTTGAAAATAATTAAATTCCTCAGAGGAATTTTATTAAAATTAATTCTTTTGAGAAATGTTATTAAAATTGTATTAAAAATAATTAAATTTCTGCGACGAATTTTACTATTTATAAAAATAAAATTTAATTTTTCCAAAGAATGTTATTTCACATAAAAATAATTTAATTCTTGCGAAGAATTTTACAATATTATGTAAAAATAATTGAATTGTTTCTAAGAATTCTTTCAAAATTTTAGGAAATAATAATTGAATTTTATCGAAAATTTTTTTAAAATAATTGAATCCTTTTGAGAAATTTTATTAAAAATAATTAAATTTCTGCGACGAATTTTACTATTTATAAAAATAAAATAGAAATTTTTCCAAAGAATGTTATTATTTTACATAAAAATAATTTAATTCTTGCGAAGAATTTTACAATATTATGTAAAAATAATTGAATTGTTTCTAAGAATTCTTTAAAAATTTTAGGAAATAATTGAATTCTATCAAAAAATTTTTTAAAATAATTGAATCCTTTCGCGAATTTTTATTAAAATTGTTTTGAAGATAATTAAATTTCTGCGACGAATTTTACTATTTATAAAAATAAAATAGAAATTTTTCCAAAGAAATAATAATAATAATAATAATAATAATAATAATAATAAATTTAAATAAATAAAAATTAGATATTAGAAAATAATTGAAATTCATTTCACTTTTAGGTAATAAATTTAATCATTTTGATTCTCTACCGAACTGGATACTCGGGAGAATTTCTTGGAGTTGGAGGGACATGGAATTTAAATGAAGACAAAAATCCAGACGCAGAAATTGTTGCTTCTGGTGTTTTTGTTGGATTTTTCATTTACACGGCTGTAATTTTACTTGGCTTTTGCTTTGGAAGTACCGAAGAAAAACGAAGTCTTACTGTAATTATCTGCAATTAATTAACAAAATTAATTAATTCAATTCTTCTAGAAATAACAAAATTAATTAATTAAACTTTTCTAAAAGTAAAAAAAATTCTAACAAAAATTTGTTTTTCCCTACAGGAAATTATTATGAATTTTGTTGGAATGATTATGTTTCTTGCCGTTGGTGGAACGGCCCTTCATTATTGGCATGGTTATCAACCAGAGCATAAGTTAATGTACGATACAACGGAAAGACAGGTAAATTTAAATACCAACTTCCGTTTATGGAAATGTTTAAATATGAAATAAAGTATTCAAAGAGAAAAAAATTTATTTTCAGGTTGGACTGGCGTTGGGTTCACTTTGTGTCGTCGAAGGAGCGGCGTATCTAATCGACTTAATTTTGAGTTTCTTACATTTTGCCAAAGAAGAATTTTAAGAGACAAATCTTTAAAGAAACTATTGATAAAAGAAAACGAAAGTTCCTGACTATTAAAAATTTGCTCCAAAAAATTTTTTTGAAATTTCAATCAAACTGATTGAAAATCGTTAAATTATTTTCGATTTTTATTATATTCACAATTTCAATCTAATTGAAATTAAATAATTTAGAAAATTATTTAGAAAATTAGAAAAATAAATTTAAATACGACAAAAAAATTGAGACAAATTTAGTTTAGTAAAATTAATTAAATTGACAAAATTTCAAATTATCTACTTAAATTCAGTTTCCTTTTGTTTTACTGCATTTAGAAAAAAGTATTTCGAAATTATTTCGTACTTATGACAATTGTCTGGTACTCTCTTATAATTAAGGTGCATTCAACGAAAAACGATCTCATCTTTTCATTCAAGCAGTGAATCACGTTACACATAAAACTGAAATCAATAGAGCATTAGTCATGAAAGTACAATTTTCACACACTAACACAATCATTCGAGGAACGCACGATTTTTCAATTCAAGAGTTACTGACTCATTTGACAATTGAAAAAAAAACACATTATCATTAAATGTCTACGTTATTTCTCTATAATAGAAAAACCAAATTCTCTATTTATATTTTAATTAAATGAATTTTTATTAAGTATAGGTATCTTTACTTTTAGTGTAAGTCTTTCATTATGTAAAATATTTTTAATATAAAATAAAATTTTCTATACAAAAAAATGTCTATACAAAAAATACAAAAAAAAAAATCTTTTAATATAATAGAAATTAATTTTTAGTTTTAATTTTTTTAGAGATTTAATATAAATAATTACGTTTAATTATAAAAGTCTAAGTCATACTTTGACCTGACTTGAGCTGATTGGATAATTAGTAATTATTTATTTAATATTAATAAAATAGAAATGTTTAATTGAAAAAATGATTATTTGATATTTTCTTCTAAATTTAATTTTCAATTTCATATGGTGTGTTAATTTAATTTTCTTTGGAATGTAAGACTTGATTATTATTAAAGGAGGTGTCTGTGACTTTAGTTTCTTAAAATATGTATTTAAATGTACGAATGATCGTCTACTATAATTAATCTACTTGACCTCGTTGAGGATATGCTTGACAGGACCTACACCCACTATCCGGATGGTTAACAGTATGATTACAAACGACAAAGTTAATTGATCTAAACGTCGTAATTAGACAAAAATAAAATATATGAATAGGGGTATAGAAACATGAACGTCAATGGTGAAAAATTCAAATGATCTAATTTCATTCACTTCGAAACAAATATAGTTTCTAATCTACATAACGTCTTCTAAAGGAGAAATTTTTTTTAATAAAAGCAATAAATGGAATGTAATTTTAAATAATCAATTAATTGAAGTTTTTATAATAAAATGAAAAAAGTAGATTGTTAAATAAAATGAAATCAACTGATTGCTTTATTATTTAATTAAAATTTTAAAAAAATAGAAAGAAAGAATGAAAAATAATTTAATTACTTTAAATTTGAATAATTATCTACATTTTTAATTTAAATTTGTAATTATTCTTCGGTTATGCAAATTTTATTATTTCTTTAAAGAATACAAATATTTTAAAAATTAAAATTGGGATTTATATTTTCCAGAAAACAATTATTCCAAATTTCCAATTTTTAAAAAATCTCCATTACTTAAAAAAAATTTAAAGAAATTCTTTAAAACAGTTCAATTATTTTCATAAGTAAATTCTTCGGAAGAATTCACATATTTTCAATACGATTTTAAAAAAATTCATCGAATGAATTCAATTGTTTTGAAAAATTTTGATAATTATTATCAATTTAATTATTGATAGAAATAAAAATCAAGGTATTATATTAAAAATCATTGTGATTTAAAAGTTTTAAAGGTAAAAAAAATTGAACGTCAAGCAATTCAATGTTTTCAAGTTTTTCAAAAATGTTTTGATACCAGAAATCAGAATTTTTGTAGTAATTCTAGAAATTTGATATTTTTCCATCACTTTTGATAAAATTTCCTGACATTTGCTTAACTTTTTTAATCAATTTAATTTTACCTAACTTCTCGCTCATTACCCTGACCTATGACAATTCTATTCTCTATTTAAAAAAACAAAATTCAAATTGTTGACAAACATAAAATGAAAACAATCAAACAAATTTTTGAAAGCAAGAAATAAATAAAAAATAATTCGATATCGAGATGGAGATTTTGTGAAGAGTACAGACCAACCGTAAAAATCAGGTCAGGATGATCCCTAATAACAAAAAAGAAGGACCTGACTAACACGAGGAATGACCGCGCCCAGACCTACGACCCACCTAAAGAACGTGGCGTTGCCTCCTGCGACTATACATCACGTGTTTACATTTCCACCTCCAAAGACAATCTTTACGGTGAACAAGTGAGTAATTCCCTTCATTTATATGCAACTCAAGAACATCTCATTCTTACAATATTTTTTTTTTTGTCCCAAACGTGCATATTAATTATTGCAACTATTTAATTGTCAATTTTGTCATTCATCAGCTCTCCCTTTCGCCATAAAACAAATTCTTCTCAAAATTAATATTCTCTACTCTCTCGCGTACTACGCACTCATACGTAGTCAATAGAAAAAATAATAAAAAAAAGCAACACCACATGCCTGAATTTCTCAACATAAAACGTAGGCAGTGGAATTGTATACGGCTTAAGTTGCTTAGCAGACCTGCGCAGGCTTGTCGTGACACCGTGTCACGCTTGGCGTTCCAGTTAAACTCACACCACGGTCCGGTTTGCTTGAAAACATCGACTATTTTCAAGTCAAAACAAAAAAAAAACCTAGAAAATAATTGTTATTTTTATTTTCGAAATTCTTCTCATTGAAAAAATTGATCTTTTCTTCAAAATCCAGGTAGAGAAAGTAGAATTTAATAAAAATTAACTTTATACTTATCGGGCGTTGTCTCTCTCTCCATACAGTGATTTGTTTACAGTGTGATTTTTCTTTCATTCAGAATTCCATAGGTGTGTTATCCAAGTGCTTCTTCGTTATTAACGATTGAAAACCACTGCTTAAATGGAATAGTATTGTGTGTATGAGTGTGTGCCAAAAGTACACGTGGTTTTGGAGTAACATTCCTTGAGGCATTGTTTGTTTTTTTAAATTTAAATCCAGGTGAGATGCTTGCTACAATCGAGTGCAATATCGAGTTTTAAACTCCACAATATTCAAATTCAAATAAGATACTGCAATTTAAAGTTGTTCAAAAATTTCAAAGACATTTCTCATCAAAAGATATTACAAGACATTCTAATCCGAAAATATTCCTGTTCGAAAATAATACGAATTTCAATATTCGTCTCAAAAATATTCAAGTACAAAGACAATTCGAATTTAAATATTAGACTCCAAAATATTCCAGTTCAAAGACAATTCGCATTTAAATATTAGACTCCAAAATATTCCAGTTCAAAGATATTTGGAATTTAAATATTAGGCTGAAAAATATTCCAGTTCAAAGACAATTCGCATTTCAATATTAGACTCAAAAATATTCCAGTTCAAAGATAATACGAATGTGAATAGTATTCAGTTTATAAATATTCCAATCCATATATATTTCAAATCAAAGATAATTCAATTCAAAAGATATTCCAATTAAAATATATTCCAGTTTAAATATGTACTGCAAATTTAAATATTATTCAGTCCGAAGATATTCCAATTCGAAGATATTCTATTTCAAAGATATTCCAGTCAAAAAATACTCCAATTTGCAGATACGATGAATTTAAATATTACTCACACTCCGATGATTCTATAAATCCAGACATCACATTTGAAATTTCTTGGATCAAAGATTCTTCAAATTCCGGAACAGAATTAATTTATTTGATAATTAATTTTCATCGCAGAATTGAATTTTCACATTCTCATTTTTGTGTAAATTAATGAGATTTAGAGAGGAAGAGAGTGTCCTCGATCACGTCATGCTACGTGTAAATTCCAAGTAGTAAACAAGTTGTGGATGAAGCGGTTATTCCTCGTACAAAAGACCTTAGCATAACCCAGCAGTGGTTCCCAAAAGGTGGATAGTTATCCAAGTTGATTGTAGTTTCTGAATATGCTATCTTGATAAACGATGCTGGGCGCTTAAAACCTTTATTTTATTGTCCTGGCAATCATTTCCAAACGGGGAAAGAAACGTTTCTCAATGAGATCTGTAACAGTTTTTTTTTTCAAAGTATTAATTTACTGCATTTTAGAAATTACATCAAAAATATTTCTCAATGCTTTCACAAGCGTTATCAACTAAATGCATTATAAACTGTTTATGACTAATCGCATTGCGTTTTTAATTGTCGCATTTAAAAATTGATTTCTTAATTTTTCAAATATTGAAAACCAGATATTTATTATATGTAAATTAATATAATATAATTACTAAAATTATTATTTAAATTATTTTTCCACAGCTTTTGAAACATTTGTGAGACTATTTAAAAATATATCCATTTAGATATAAATATATTTATAATTTATAATTACATTAGAATCTAAAATGGAAATTATTTTTTTTACAGAAGTTTTGACAAATCTTCACTTTCAATAACAAAAACAAATACAAACACGTTTACGAAAGGATAAGCTAGTGGATAAATTACAAAACTGGAAGATAACCCGAGGAAACCCAAAAAAGTCAGAATGGCAGAAGACGGAGTGCAAAGTTCAGAATCAGATTTTTTAGGAACTTATCCAATTTTGGCTAAAGTGGCGCAAGTGGTAAAAGCAATTTTCATTTGCCTCCAAAACAATCAAATTCAATTTTTCCAAGTTAAAAAAGAATGAAAATAATTTTCTTCCTATATAGAAATATTAAATTAATGTTTCCAAGTCAAAATATATTTTTCTTCCTGTATTCAAATATTAAATTAATTTTTCCAAGTTTAAAAAAGAATAAAAATATTTTTCTCCCCTCATATGAAAATATTAAATTAAGCACAGAAAATAATATTGAACATAATTAAATTTCAGGTTTTCGCCATTTTCTCAGTGGGATTAATAGTCGATCCATTCAATTCATTCCATAAAATTTCATATGGCCACAGATCGGCAAAATTGGACGACATAGCATTCATTTACATCACACTTGGATCATTCTTAATAATTAATACAATTTTCCTCATTTTCCACGCTATTTTGGGAGAGCGAATTCCAAAAAGATTGGTAAGTAGCATTTTGTTTAAAAAAAAAAAATAAGTAGAAAAATTCAAAATGACAATGATTAAAATAATCAAAAGAATAGATACAATAGAAATAATAATTCAATAGATGCGATTAAATCGAAAACTTTCATTATAGCTTTGAATAAACAGAAAATAGAATACCGTCATCGGAAATTTATTGCATTTTTTGCATTTTTATAAGGACAAAAAAAAGGCACGCCCTACTTATATGATTCAATAATTACTAGCCCTATTTTGTAATTAACGGAATTATAAAGACCTTGGTTAATTTCCTCACTAATTGTTCTCATCATCACTCGTCTGTAATTTTCTACTTAAAAAATATTTACATGAACAGGAAGTGTGTCAGTTTTTCAAAAAATATTTCTACATATTTCTAGAAAAATAAAAATATTTCTACATTTAAATATTAAACTAATAAATGAAATAAAAAATCGATTAATTTAATTAATTAACTAAGTTTTGTAATTATTATGAATTAGCAAATTTTACGCGCGAAACGCGATATTTCATTTCTTATTATTAGGCAAAAAAAAAAATTTTTTAATTATTAAATATTAATTTCAATTTATAAATAATTTCAGATTCAACATTTTTTAAAAATACAATTATTAACTAATTTACTAATTAATTATATAATTATTTATTGTTTTCGAAAACAATAAAATTCTTCGGAAAAATATAATTATTTTAAGAAATTTTAATTAAATTTTCTATGAGAATTGAAATTTTTTTAATACAATTTTAATTAAATTCCTCGAAAAAATTCAATTATTTTATAAAATTCTTAGTAAGATTTCAATTATTTTCATGATTTATGAAATTCTTCACAAGAATTTAATTATTTTAAAAAATGTTAATAAAATTCTTGTCCAAAATTCAATTATTTTCATAAATAATAAAATTCTTCAGATTTAATTTTAAATATTTTAATTAAATTTTGTGCAAGAAATTTAATTGTTTCGAAAAATTTGGATACTTAAATTTCTTTATAAGATCTGAATTATTTCAGATTTAAAATTATAAAAGAAATATGTTTAATTGAATACAATTTGATTTAATTAATGTTTGGTATTTCTTCAAAACATTAACTTAGAATTGCGTTAATTTTAAAATTCAAAACATTGAAAATTTAATTTTAAAAAATTGTTTTGATTAATAACAATAATTTTTTTTTACAGGCAATGATGTTCACAACAGTGGGATGTCTTTTTCACATTATTGCCGCGAGTCTAATTGTTCACAATTGGCGAAAAATGCAAGGAGCATTGATTTCAACATACAACAATGAAACGTACGGCAGTAAACAATATTTAGACATGTTAATATCCGGAGGAGTTTTTGCTTTCGTCACATTTGCCGCTTTTGTTGCTGAAGCTTTTGTCACCATTCGATACTAGTAAAAAATTGAAGAAAAAAAACAAATTAAGACTGTAGAGTATTTTGCTCTCTCCTGTTTTATTCTAAAGAAACGAATTTTAAATCTGGATGCAGTTAATAATCCAAACTGACAAAATAATAAATCTAAATAAGAATGACTTAAATAATAAATTTAAAGAATGAGTTATTTAAATAATACATTTGAATAATAATTAAAAAATAAAATAACTTCCAACTTTTATAAGCGGAAAAATGAAAGCACAGTTAAAACCAAATTTACTATTTAATGATAATTTTAAAAAAAATTTCAATTTTTTTAAGAAACGAAATTTTATAGAAATATAGAAAAGATATTGAATTTTTAACGAATAGAATTTAAAAATATGCATTTTTACACTGCATCCAAATTGTCAAATCAGAATCTTAATGCCTTACTAGTTAGGAAAATATTTTCGCTGAAACGTTAAGTCTCAGGCGAATGTGTTTGCTTTTTTTATAATTAACGTTTAAAACGCATGAAGGATACCACGAGTATATCGCCTTTGAAGTACAAAAGACAATTATTATTGCAATTGTACATAAAAAAAAATGTCAATCGTAGATCGTGAAATTTAGAAAATATAACAAAAGATTATAAATTATCGACGGATAATTATCCGACTAATATATTATTGATACAATATTTTACAAAATGTTATAATTTTCAAAATAATTATAAATACAAATAAAAATTAAAAATATTTTCTATATAATTATAAATTCGTAAATTTCACGATTATTGCAGTACATAACACCAAATTTTTTTTTCTTTACAAAAAAGGAAGCGAAAATTCAGGTGTCGATTATTTTTCAACGTACAATGCTGTAATCCAAAGTTTATAAGCTTGTAGATTTCATGTAATTTCACTTCGTATATTAATTAAGTATCAGGCACTCCGTCCTATTTTTATATTTAAATATTAAATATATATTATATGTAATTTTGTTTTTTGTAAGATTTTTATCTTTTTATGCAAGATAAATAATATCTTTACTTGAGAATCGCAATCCGTCCAATTGAGATTAGAATATGACAGTTTACTGTCTTTAGATATAGATATACTTGTATTATTACCAAGAGTAATTGTGCATAATTACTGTTACTTTTTCTGTAAGTACTAAATTTGTATTTTAAATTTATATTTCGATTAAATGTACTTTAGATTTTTATTTTAAATGTACTTTAGTTTTCTATTCTAAATGTACTTTAGATTTCTATTCTAAATATACTTGAGATTTCTTTTCTAAATGCATTTTAGATTTCAATTTTATATAAAAATATTTGTCTATTGAATGCATTTCAGATTTATATTTTCATTGGAAGTATTTAAAATTTTTTTGAATAATAAAAATGTCGTTTAAAATTAATATTTGATCAAATATTTCCATTTTATGTAGGTTCATAAATATTTTATACAGAATTAAAAATTTAATTTAATTAAAAAGTAATTACCAATTTCGCTAATTGTTATTAGCGAAATTATTAGTTTTATGTATTTGGTCAAATATTTGAAATTTTAAATTTCTGATATATATACCTTCAGAAACGAAGATGTATCTTCCTGATATTGATTTATAAGAAATTGTTTTCGTTTATTAAAACAATTTTACGATGAATGTCCATTGTTTTCCTGCCCATCACGAATTTAGCAATATTCTCTTATTATTTAATTGAAATTCTCCGTGCTGTAGTTTGAAGAAAATCAAATTGTTTTTTCCTTGAAAGATTTTGTTTTCAATATGGAGTGTCAATCCATTGAAGAAAATTTTGAAATCGATCCATTTGGCGAAAGTGGTATCGTTAAATCTTGTAGTAATCAAAGTCATCTTCGTGTCAAACCAATACGAATTATTCAACTCGTAAGACGAATTCACCTGCAAAAATAATAAATTAATAAATAAAATAAAAAAATTAATTAAATAATTAAAATGAATTAATTTTTAATTAATAATTAGTAAACAGTAGAAGAATGAAAAAGTAGTAATTATTTGGAGAAAATTTTGATATTTTCAGAGAAAATAAAAACAAAATCTTTAATTTTTTTTCAAAATTTCGGTTCTAAATTCTTTTTAAATAATTGGCGTTATTCTTACCAGATTTTTTCGAGTGTTTTGCTTGGACTGACGATTGGTTTGACACATCCATCGCATCGAATTCTTGATTATGGAAATTTAACCCTCCTGGGAATTATAAACTTCAGTTTTTTTGTCATTGAAATTGTCGATGCAGTCAGTCAATTTGGAAATGATCCCATACCGGATACACCGGTAAATAAACAATAAAAATTGCAAAAATCTCCACAAAGGAAAAAATTAAATTCTAAATGCGAATATTATATTTCAGATGTTTGTTTTTGGCTTGTGTGGAGTGATATTATTTTTAATCGCATGTGGCGGAAGTACAGCGACATTTGCAAAATCTCCGAAAAATTCATCCAGTTTACTTCTTGCAATTGGAATAATAAGCTTTCTTAACGCTCTAATACATCTCCTTGACGTTGTCCTTATTTTTCTCTTTGGCTACTAAATTCAAAATTCCGGTTCGTAAACAAAAAAAAGCTGTCAAATTATCACTTTTATTATAAAAGGTTAAAAAAATTTCAGTCAAATTAGGATTAACTTTTTTGATTATTTTTCAAACTCGAAAAATTTTGAAACTATATGCAAATTTAAAAATTCTCTCTTAGATTTTTTTTCTAAGAACATTACAAAAAATTCAGCAAAATGATGAGACCGACTTGTGGATTTAATTCTAATTGTGCTCCACCAATTATCGAAAGTTGCGAAGAACCTTGTACAGTGCCAATGGCTAAACCAATAAGAATATTTCAATTTGTGAGTGCAAAACCATTGAATAAAAAATATTTCACAAATTACTGAAAATTAAATAAAAATCAATAATTACATTCTCATTTTTCGAAAATAATGATTTAGAAAAAATATTTTCTCCCTTATATAGCTGCTGGTAAGCATTTTATTTACGCTAACAATTTATACGATTTCAAAAAATTCTCCCTATTATCAAGTGGAAGGAACTCTTCTAACCGTGCTCTTTGGAAGTTTTTTGTTTATCACACTAGTGGATATAATTAGTCAAATTGGAGGCGATCCCATACCAGAGACTCCAGTAAGAATTTCAAATATTTTTCTTTTTTCCTGAATTTTGCAAAAGGATTGAAAAAAATTATTTATTACGTAAAATCAATTAGAGGAATCATTGAATTTTTGATATAGAAAATTTTAAAAATGAACTAAAAATACAACAAAAAATTTTAATACAGATGTTCTTATTTGGCGTGGTAGGTATTTTACTCTATGTCATTGCTACAGTGGATATTTATTTTGCTGCAAGAAAAGAAAATGTCGAGGATGTGTGGAGATTAACACTCTCAATTGCCCTATCATCAGCAGCTTCTTTACTCTTTCTTTTTGATGTAATTATGATCTTCCTCTATGGCTACTGACATTTTCATTTTAATTCAATTTTCATTTTTTTACTTCACAAATTCATAAGAAAATGTAATTTTTAATTGAAAAATTATTTTGTAATTACAAATCCTCCGCTGTTGTAAATAAATAAATGATTTTAATATAAAAATGGCTATATTTCACATTATTTATTTATTTATTTTATTATTATTATTATTATTATTATTATTATTATTATTATTATTATTATTATTACTATTACTATTATTATTAATATTATTACCTAACTATCAAATGTTACGCGCGCGGAACGTGATATTCAATTTATTATTATGCAAATAACAAAAATTTTTTATTTTCAAATATGAATTTTTGAATAATTTCAGATTCAAACTTTAAATTATTCAATTATTAACAAATTTACTAATTAATTATTCTTGTTTATCAATTTCAAAAATTTTAATAAAATTCTTTGCAAGAATTCAATTATTTTCGAAAAAATTTCATGAAAGAACACGATTATTTTAGAAACTTGAAAGAAATTGGTCATAAATTTCAATTATTTTTAAAATTATGATTATGATTATTGTTTTACTTAATAATATAGTGATACTTAAACGGTTTTAAATGAATTACTTTGACCTAATTGAGTTGAATAAAAAACAAAAGGCTAAAGATAAATAGTGTCACTTCAGATTGATGTGAAAAAGAAAATATTTTACACAAATAAAAAATTTATTAAAAAGATTTTTTTAATAAAATTATCAACTAGAAAGTAAATAATTATTAATATTAGAAAATTTAGAAGTAACATTAATGTAGTAAAAATTAATAAAATATTTACATAATAGTTCAATACGTTTCAATATTCAATACAATAAGAATACATGAAAGTTCAATTACGATTATCGTGAAAAATTATCAATTTTATCTGTAAAATTTCATAAAAAAAAATAATTTCTTCAAGTTAACATTTACAATGACATAAAATACGTCAAGATGAATAAATCATCTTATAGAGCAAGTAACAAGACGGATTTTCAAATCCCACCTTTTGCAAAACCTCTTAGAGTACTACAATTGGTAAATTATTTAAATAAATAATAATAATACAAATAATAGTATAATTAATAAATATGAATAAATAATAATATAATTAATAAATATTAATAAATAATAATGTAATTAATAAATATTAATAAATAATAATATAATTAATATAATATATAATTTACTGATTTATTTATAAAAGAACTCTAGTTTGATTAATTTGTTCATGGTTTTCATTTTTCAGTTAGTGTTACTGACTTTCTTCAGTTTCGTTGTTTACATGACAAATTTAATTTTTCGAAATGAAACTATCACTCCAACGTTGACAATTATTTTTTCCATTTTACTTCTTGTTTTGACAACAGTTTTTGTATTTGTTCTTGCTGTGGATATTATTAATCAATTTGACAAAAATGGCCTGTCAGAAACACCAGTAATAATTTGTTAATTTTATAAAAATATTCATGATCCACAAGTTTTGACCGTTCAAATAAACAAAATGTAGTATTTGCTTCAAAATATTTTCAAAATGATTGCAAAAAAAATTAAGAACTTTTTTCATACGTGACGTTATATTATTGAAATTAAATTTTTATTTGAAGCAGAAATAAATAAATTTCGTTCATTGGAACGTTTTCAGAACTTTAGGAATATAAATAATAAATAGAATTTTTTGAATGAATTTGAAAAACAAATTTTCTATCAGATGGCTGGTTTCAGTTTTGTGGGATTTCTCCTATTTTCAATGACATCAATTATAATAATATTTTATATGATAACAAGTGATTCGACTTGGGTGATAATAATGATTCTGTGTTTATGCATCATATCCACAATTCTTTTTCTCTCAGACTTGATCTTATGTTTCAGGTAAGAATTATTAGTTTTATATCAAATAATAAAAATATTCTCTCTAAACGACGAGTAGAATAAAAATTTCAATGAATATTTTTTTAATTTTTCCAATTTAAATTAGTTTCATACAACTTTGAATTTTACTCTCTAGTTTATTTATTTATTTTATTATTTTATTTACAGTTACTGGAGAGAAATTTATTTGAAAAAAAATAAATGTTATCCTCAAACTATAGAAGATTATGAATATCCTGATGCAGACACTTTTCATCTATTGAAAGATACAAGATGTAAAAAACAACCGAAAGTAAATTGAATTTTAAATTTTAAAAAAAAATGAAAATTTCGATTTGATAAATTTTAATAAACGAATTAATTAGTTAAAGAATTTATCAGATTAATTCTTTTTTCTAATTTTGCAAAATTCAGTTTAATTCCGATTTATTTTTCTCCTCAAAATTTTTCAGTGTGATTTATCAACGAGTATTAGTAATTTCAATCAACCAATTGAATACGAAGATAGCAAAAACGATCATATGTATAGAAAAATCGGAATGGCTCGTCGAAAAGAATATGCAGATTTTTCAGAAAATACTCCGACTCTAGCAGCAGGAGAATGTGTTCAAGTTCAAACAGAACCAAGAAAAATTTTTGTTGCCGAATCTCAGGTATTTTTATCAAAATTCTAGTTCGTTTCTTAATTTAATGCACTATCTCCAAAAATTCTTATTCAAAAGTGAATTCCTCTTTTTATTAACGAATTATTTCTCCGCGAATTGCTTTAAATTGCTTCATTTTTACGAATTAAATAATTCATCATTACGAAATGAATTATACAGGAAATTTCTTTATCAGACTCACAAACTGGAATTAAAGGAAACTCCCGTCCAGACTTTGCAGCATTCTGAAAATTATTTGCGAACTGATTTGCCCTCCTGCGTAATTCCATCAACAAATTCTATATGTCCTGCTGTCCTTCAACTAATGAGAGGAGAAATGGCATCCCAGTATCTGAGAATGTAATTCATGTCTCAAAACTAAATGAATAAAATACTCGTCGAAAATAATAAATCTGAAACAGAAATATTTTTCATAAAGATAAAGAAAAGAAGACAATAAAGATTGCAAAACGAATAAAAATATAAATTTTAGTTGTAGATGCGAAGGACCAATGATGCATGAGCAACAGCAACATTTACAACTTCAACTTCTTCAATCAACTAATAGAGAATTAACACCATCGGAATCTTTCGTGGACCAAAATAAAGGAGCAGATAAGGCGACCTGTAAAGCGAAGTGATCAAACTATAATTATTATTTAAGTTCCAGTTTCAACATAAATTACAAAAAAGACGTTACGGAATAAATTATCTTTATCCCTAAATTTCTAATTTTCAAATACTTTCGAATAAACTTTAATTAATTAATTAGGTTTATTAATTTTTCTTTACTTTCCAGGTTTGTGTCCAACATTTGATAGCAATTTATCTTCACAGACAACGTTGACAAAAAAAGTTTCTAAATTAAGCGTATTTTCCCATCACACACGAAATAATAATACACAAACAAATTTCCCTGAAAATACAGAAGATGAATTCAGATCTGACAAAAATTTTACCGAAGAAACAGAATTTCAACTAAAAAATGGAAAATTAGACAAAAAACTAAACACAAACGAAAGAACAGAAAGTTTGACTGACGATATTCCAAACGAAAAAAAAGGTTTGAAAAATAAAAATTTAATTTCCACTACGAATCAAAATTTTGGAATGATCCTAAAGTTCTGAACGTTCAAATGAACGAAATTTATTTATTTTCTTCTTTAATTTGAATATTTATTACAATAATTTGTCGATATAAAATAAATGAATTATAAAGTTTCTAAGTGTAAAATTTAAGTTTTTAATTTTTATTGCAAACAATAAATTATAAAAACATTTCTAATAAAAAGTGTTTCGTTCATTTGAACGTTTAAAACTTGTGGATCATATTTTGGAAAAATATTTTTACTCATTATTAAAATAATAATAATTTAAAAATTACAGTAAACAAGAAAAATTCAGAAATTTTGCACAATAATAATGTACGTGAAGACAATAAATTATCAACGACTGAGAAAATTATTCAAATGTCACAAGAAGCAATAAATAAAGCCGAAGAAACACTCTCAGCCCCTGGAAGTTACAGCAAAACTAAAACGTAAGAATTTATTTTTTATTTAATAATTTTTTCTAAATTTTAAATCTAAAAATTTTTTTTTCCCAAACAGTCAAGATGATTTATTATTCTCAACCGCCTCCTATTCAAAATTAAGTTCCTCGACACCAAACTCAATTTTATTCGCCAAAAAAAATAAAATTGAACCCATTAATTCTAACAATGTGATCTTACCGCCAATTATTAAGTAAGCTAATAATTAAAAATACAGAAAAATTTTATTTACAAATTTTGAGTTTGGTTCTTTATTCAAGTTCCTTTATAATTAGGGAAACTGTTTTAAAATTAAGACTTCCTTTGGAAAAAACAACAACAGTGGAAATTTGTGGAAATCAAAATGAGAAACAATTTTCGAAATCTAAAGAAATATGTTCGTGTATCACACAAAAAAGAAAAGTGAGTGAGACATAATTTTCAAATCATAATTAATAAATAAATTATTGATTTAAATAATTATTTTACAGCATGATCTGTGCACCATTCAAGTTCAATATATTTTTCAAACTCGAATGGGAAAAATTGTTTGTGAAACGTGTGCAACCCCGGAATCAATAAGAGTACGTAATTAACAGAAATTCGATGTAAATAATTGGATAATTAAATTTAAATTTACAAAAAAAATTTTTTTTAGATACCTCAAAAATTAGCATGTTCAGCGAAAAAGTGTATTAAATGTTATGAATGCCGCAAAGTACTCAGTCCAGTGAGTATTTGTTTATATTTAATTTAATAATAACAACAAAACAATAATAATATTATAATAATTAACAATAATATAATTCTAAATTACAGCCTTGTAAATGTCCAGCATGTAACAAAAATTGAAATTCTAATCAGGATTACCAAATTAATTAATTAATTTATAATATAAATATTAAGTAATATTTAACGATAATATATTTATCATAGTTCAATATAATTGTACGTGAATATGAAATATATGAATTCATTTATATTTGTGCATATTTTAAACAATTTCACAGCAAGTTAATTATAATTGATCATTAATTATTGTTAAATAATGTCCTAAAGTTACTGGAGTTAAAATGAACGACGAGTTTTTTTACTCTTAATTTGTATTTTTTTTACAAAAATTATTTTGTATATTAAAAAAATTAATTCTCAACTATATAAATGTTTAATTCTAATTGTTTTTCTTCTTTTGATAGTCATTTTTAAAAATATAACAAAATTTCGTTCATTTAAAAGATCAAAACTTTAGAAAAATGTCAAATAACATAAAAGAAATTTAATCACATTAATTATAATTAGTGAAATTAAATTATTAAAAGACAGTGCTAAACAGAACTAAAATGTTATTTTAATTAATTTATAACAATTTTAGAAATATTTATCAATAATTGAACATATTAAGAAAAAGATAAAAACGATAACAAACGACCTATACTGATAACCTCATTCCGAATTTGTTTTTCGTCTTTGCAGGAGGTATTAATTATCAATAGATTGCAAAAATTTCAAATTCAAAATGTTTTCTAAAACTAAATTTCAATACGATTATGGCACAATGTATTAAATAGTTTCCAATTATTATTATCTCATTGATTATTTATAGGCGAATAGACATTAAATTTTTTAATTTCTAACCTCAAAATTATTGACTATTTGCATTGCGCAAGATTTAGTGTTTTAGTCGATTTGGAAAAATTATTTTATGTAATTAATAAGAGATATTGAAATTGTAAACAATACAAACCATCTCGGCTTTAGCGAGATAGATCCAGAGTTTTCGCCACGTGCTAAATTTGTTATCATCGCTAAAATTATAGCGCATATCCTTTGATGCATAACGAGTGGATAGAGGTGTTTGATATTCACTGTGGTTACAAATTTGAACACTTGAACTACTCATTGTTACTTTTTTCTCACTTAAAACACTTTTTTTATGAACAAAAGAAAGCCGCAAAACGAAAGCGGAAAGAAATGTGTCTTCTGTCAGCTGACTTTTTAAACTGCACCGGACTAACAAACCTAACCTAACCTACAAATAATCAAACTACATCATGCACTAATGTTGGTCAGGTTGCATACTTTTAGGCTAAGGCAAAACTTAAAATTACCATTAAACTTTCATAAATAAAATAATACTTTATTTAAATCTTTCATATGGAAAATAAAAAATTTACCTTTCTTAAAATTTTCAATTTTTTCGATAATATTCAATTTACTTCTAGATGATTATTTTCATATTGGTTTTTTTGTTTTAATTAAAGTAAATTTGTTTAATAAAATTTTTTTTATTTACGAACGAGAAAAACAAACATGCACTTAATTTTCGTTTACAAAATAATAAAAGTACGAAGTTCGTTTAACAAATAATAAAAATTAAGACAATAAACGATTAGAATTTAAATATTGATAAAGTAAACAATAATAATAATTGTCGATAAACTGTTTTCTTTTTAATAAAAAGAACTTTTTCAAATACTATGTTTAATGGTACAAAAACCAAATTAACAATCATTTCTCAAATCAGACAATAGAAATTACATGTCTATAAATATTTTCTCCTTGAGTATACATCTAGATTCAAATACTCCATAATAATGTCGATTACAATTAAATAATTAAAAAAAATTTTAACCATCGATAATACAATAAGCAAAGTTTCAAAGTAAAAAAAAAGAATATTAATTTACCAAAATCAAATATATTGGTTTTAGTTATCGTTACAATACTGTAAAATTTATATAAACTTTGTCAACAATAATTAAATAAAATATGATTATATAAAATCATTATTCTCGTAGTTTAAACAATCACACTGAACAGATGTGTTATTTAAAAATCAACTTTTTTGAAATATTGATAATTAAATTTTCTCACTCAAAATATATTAAGATTTTTTGAGAATATTTTCCCATTTTCTTTATAATATTTTTAAATTGTTTAGAACATTTTCTGTGTAATTATAGATTTTTTTCGAAATAAAATATATATTTGAGCAAAAATAGTTCAAAAATCCGATAATTTCTCAAAATTCTTAATTTACGAATTACGAAAAACATAAAATACGAAATTTTCATTTAGATACGATAAATGTATAAAAATGATTCTATAAACTCTCTTTTTTTTATATTAAATGTCGATCCTATAAGTTCTAACAAAATTATTTTACACTGAAATGTCACTCTTGATCATGTAAAAGAAAAAAAGAAATAAAAATCACTTACAAACAAAAATCATAATGAGAGAAACAAAAAAAAAAGTTTTTTCCAAATTAGCGACCAGTGTTTAAATGCAAGTGTAAAATCACGAAAAAAAAATTGAGGAAACATGCTTTTCCTTGAGTGTAATAAAAAATCATAAAGTAAATTACCAAGTAAAATTATATTTACTTTCTCGCTGATAAAATTGGTCTCGCTCCTTTTGGAATTGGAGGATTTGGCGTTGTCGAGCAAAAAATATTCTCATCTTGAACTTCTTGTGTAAAATTTCGACGACGAGGGAATTTTGGAAAACCTATTTTTTTTATTGGCTTCAATGGTTTTGCGGTCGTTTGTTGTGATTTTGCTTTATTTTTTATTTTATTTTTTAATGCCTCCTCCTCTATTTGTTGGTGAGCAATATCCTTTTTGGGAAAATCGATTGGTGGCACTGCCTCCTGATAGTGGAAATTTGGATTGAAATTTATCGCGTTGCACATATCAGTTCTGTAATTTATAGTTGGATAAAAGTTTTTGTGTTCATCCAAATGATTTACGTAGAACTGAGTTGGAATTGGAATTCCACCGCCATTAGGAAATTGCTGTACATTCCTCACCGGCCACGGTTCGACGTAAGGTCCTTGTGATTGAACCATATAATATGCAGGATGATTTCCGCAAACGTATTGATATCCATTTGGATTTCCTTGATACAATCTTCCGTCTGCTATGAAAATTTGTTGCGATTTATTATTCGGAACAATGCATTTTCCATATGGTACAAAATCCGGCGCTTTGGGATCAATTGTTGAAACACTTGCGGATTGAAGATTCATATTTGAAAAACGAGGGAGCATATCTTCTTCCCAATTACTTTTTAATTGTCCATTTTTTTGCACTTGATTTGTCATCGATTTTGAATAATTTGTCGAGCAAGCTGCCACATCGCCTTCATGAGATTCGGACGTTGAAAATGTAAAATTTTCGAATAAATTAAATTGTGAGACTTTATCTGTATCTACAGATCTTGGTAATTGACTCGGTTTAATTCTTTCTGGCGCAGCAATAATCCGTTGACTCGATTTCGGAGAAAATGGCATTTTTCTGTTTTCCACTCGCGTTCACCTTTCCGGAAATTTCACGATCTGTAAAAATGTTACTTTTAGTAAATATTATTAAAATACGTACATATTTAAATATTTAAAAATAATTCTTAAAAGTAAAAAAATAATTTTTATTTAAATATAAAGTTTATTTCAATTAAATTTGACAAAATTTCCAATTGATTCGAAATTTAAATAAAAACTTTTTAATTTTTAAGAGAATTTTCCTGAAAAAATTTAATTAAAACATTTTCAAACCATTAATTTTTTTATAATTTCTAAATTAAATTACTTTTGTTAAAAATTTTTAAGTAATAATTTTATTATTAAAGTTTATTAAAATATTGTTAAAAAATTGAATAAATTCTTTAATTCTATTAAAAATAAACTAATTTTTAACAAATTTTAATTGAAAATTTAGTTTTTATTTAAATTTTGAAATTAGTTAAATTTTTTCAAAAAATTTATCTCAATTTTTTTGAATAATCGTTTTTGTTAATAAATGTAATTAAACAATTTTATTAAAATTTGTTACGAAACAATTAAATTCCTGGTAAGAATCTTTTTTATTAATAAAAATAATAAAATTCTTGTGACGAATTTTATTAAAATTTTTGAAAATATTTAAATTTTTTTGACTAATTTATTTAAATGATAATTTTAAATTAAACTTTTAAACGTACTTAATTTTATGAAGAATTTATCTCAATTTCTTAAAATAACAGTATTTATTAATTATTGTAATTAAAAATTTTATTACAATTTTTTGAATTTTATTAAAATTTTTGAGAATATACTTTTTTTCAACTATTAGCAGATTTAAATTTGTGCAAATTTTTAAAAAAAAATAAAATAAAGTAGCTTTTAGCATCACAAATTTAAAAAAAGTATCCAAATAGTAGCTAATCGTAAAAAAAGTAGTAAATAGTAGGTTTTAGTATAGATGAAAATGAAGTCTGATAAGGGAAAAAAATTTCCAAAAAGAAAACCACGTTCCAAAATTATTAAATCTAACCTTAAAATTTTCCACTTGTATCAAATTGTTCACAATAATGACTAAAAATATATTTTATAAACTGAATTTTACTGTTAGAACTTTCTTTAAAAACAAATAACAAAATTAGAAAAATGTAAACAAATAAATGCCGACGTAGAAAACATTTGGAAACATAAGAAAAGAGACGAAATACTAATTACTTATCTTTACGGAATTTCATACGCAATTAGTATATAAAACAGAAATGCGTTAATTAACAAAAAAAGAAATTGATAATTAAAAACACGCTTTTGTTAAAACGGTTAAAACACAAAAAATATAATCAGAGATGTGAGAGAAACTTTGAAAAATTATAAGCTCAAATTCGATATATTTATGAATATTAAAAACAAACGTGAATCGCTAATCTTAACAATAAAGTTTCAAAACAATTGTTAAAAGTGTAAAATAAACAATTTATTAATTTTTTAAATAATATAAATAATAAAAACCTGCAAATGCGTGTCAACCAGACGACCATGCAAAACCAGAAAGAACGATCGTGTTGCCTCTAGTGATAAAATTAACAACCCCGTGGCAAAATTTCCAATTATCCCCCCTTGGAATTTAAATTCAAATATTTAATTACGTATTAGGTACTTTTTTAAATTAAGGAAATTAGTTACTTATTTATTAATTTAAACTCGTGAGGCAATATTATTAAAAATCCTTACAACTTTCATATCTTATTTGAATTTTTTAAAACTTCAATTTTGGGACTCCCCGAAAGAGCGCGAAATTTGAAAAACGAAATTTAAACTTTCAATTTTTCTTTCAATCATAAATTTTATAAATCTGTTTATTAATTTTATAGAGTTTAAATAATTAATTTAAATCTCTAAAATTAATTTCTAACTCTCACTCTCTTTTTTTATCAAAATTATATAAACTTAAAAAATTAAAATCTGTAATTTAATGACTAATTAGCATTATTTCAGAAATAAAAATAATTTATTTATTTTATACAGTTATATTTATAAATAATTCTTTTTAGCTGTTAAATTTTTGTCACAACATTTTTAATTAATATTTCACATAAATTTTAAACTTTCCTCTCAGGAAAAAAAAATTCGAAGTGCACATTGTCTTCAATTATGCAATATACGCAGGTTTTTTTTTCCTCTTGACATTTTATTAGAGCAATTATGATTAATTAAATGTTTTTCAATGTTGATAATTAAATTGCAATGTTAGGAAAACAAAATGGAATGTTTATTATATGAAAAAAAAGAGAAATTCAAGGACGTTTGTAAAACATAAAAGGAAGACAAAACGTTTCTTCCAAAAATGATCTTCAACATTTCTTCACTTCTAATATGGGGGTCACAATTTAGCGAAAGTACCCACGTTCCAATTACACGTGGGATTCAATGTTTAGATTCATTGTTTTCCCCTCATGGTCGAAGCTTTTCCTTTTTCATAAAAAAGGAACATTAATTTTATTTTCTTTTGCCATTATAGCTTCTCTTTAATTAAAACGTTTTTTTATTACACTTTTTTTTTATTATAATCGATTAATTAGTTAATTAGTCAATTTTACATTATTGCAAATTAATCATTAAAAATAACAATATTACTGAAATAAATAAATAATAAAAGCAAACAAATAAATTTGGTCAGACATTTTGTAATTTTCTTTATTATTTAATTTATTTTTATTATTATATAATTTATTATTAAACAATAATAATTATTTATTAATTTGTACTATTTTTTCGCATCATTCAAATTTATTTGTTTGTTTTTGTAATGCATATTTAAAAGTTTTTGAAAAATGTGTGAATTTTGAAAGAAAACGTTTCCTTAAGAGAATAATATTAAAACAAACAATAAAAAGTATTTAGAAAATTATATAAAAAATGACGTCAATTTATCACGCCGGAAATAGGTGACGTTTATTGAACCGACATTTTTTCTTTTACTCACGGGAATAATTATATTCCGTCTGGAATAATTATATTCCGTCTTCAACTGTAATTATTTAAGATTAATACCTATATGTCTAGATTGACGATTACTTGATTACTTCATTCGCATTCAAATTATTAAATTTGAATGAATCACCCTACGGCGCCAATAAAATATTTATATTTACATTAAACATAGTATTTTGCATTTTAAAAAAATCTATTAATCGACAAATTATTCTATAATTAGCCTAATGAAGAGTAATTGTAAAAATAGTTTCCAATTTTAATTTCAAATAATTTTACGATCTACAATAAGAAAACGAAATAAAGACGTACAATTTTTACAATTTTTTTTTCTTTTAGGAACAATTATTAGCAGATTTTAAAATTAAGAATCCAATATCGATTCGGTTAGTCAATTTAAAAGTATTTTTTTTTCACGTTTCAATGACCATGTGTGTCATCCTTAAGAATTTATTTCAGATGTTAAAATTAAAGAAGCGTACAATTACAATACAATTAATATCGGATTCTTAATGTTTTATAAATTAATTATCGAATAGTAAATTAACATTATTTAGATTCTTAATTTATTAAGTTTAATACATAAAATTAGTTTATGAAACAATCCATTCAATATCTACTTAATAGAAGTTTAATGATGAATCGAAGTTAATATATGGCAAAAATAGAAAAATATTTTTTTTCTATTTTCCATTGCAAGGAAAAGAAATGGATTTTCAAAATACAAATCAGTTGAAAAGTGAATTTTTTATGGTTGCCCATGGAAATTTGCATTGTCCGACGCCATTGCGTCGTGTGATAATGGTATTGTTTCCAACTTGTATACTCGGGAGGCCTTATTACGTATGTCTATGCAATATGAACCTTGCTATCTCTTCAGTCGTTGTCCAACACTTAGACTCGTAGTGTCTATTTACCTCTTTTCTTCCGGTAAAAATCAATAATTTTTCGATAATTCTCACGGTTCTATTAATTTTATTTTCCGCATTGAAAAAATATTTTTTTACATTTTTGCCAATAAAACTTCTTTTTTTCCCATAGACTATAATTCATATTCACAAATTTCATTCACAAATTTATTTTATTTTTCTGTTTAATATTTTACAGAAATTACAATTAAAAAAAATTCTTCAGTCAAATTAAAAAACAAGTTTTTTGTAGTTCCTTTCAAAGAAAAATATTTTCGATATTTACAATTAGTAATTCAAGATTTTCCACTTCTAAATTTAGTCCTGAAATTTAGGTTAAATTTAGAAAATTGTTTCTTCAGTAAAGAGGTTTTTTTCCCCATAATTTTTAAACTATACAACGAAAAATTAGTTTTTTTTCTTCAATCAAGAATTTCTTTTTTTGAAAATAATTTGTATATTATATTTTTAAGAGTTTCTTCATTGGAGAAAATTTTATGAAACAATTCTTCAACAAAGAATCTTTTTTCGAGACATTTAAAATTTGTAAATTTTGAATTATCCAAAATTATTTGTTCAAAAATGGACGAATTTATAATTACTTCAGTTTTTCTGTAAGTGGAAAAAAATGGAAGTAATTTTTCGTTACGCCTGTGCTTAATGTTATGAGAAAAGTGACAATGAATAAAATTTGTGCATTCTGATAAGTTTTTTTTCCCTTTTGAATAATTGTGTTACTGTTGCGTGAATCATGTGGAATCGAAAAGTATTCATCAGGATTATTGAAGTGGTACGTTTAAATAATTACTCTTACTTTATAACATTATCTTCAATTAATTGAAAGTATAGAAAACAATAAAAAATAAATTGGTAATTAAATTAAAATTACTAGTTTCATTCTTAATAAACATAATCTTCAATTAATTGAAAATATAAAAAAATAATAAATTATCATCAACAAAAAATAAATAAAAAAAATTTGGCAAAGAAACTAATTCTATTTTTTATCAAATCGAAAGAAAAAAAAAGAAAAAATAACTTTCTTTTGAAATAAAATAAAAATGTATCAATCAACTTTTGGATTGGTAAACAAAAAGTTGTTTAATTTCAAAATATAAAAAAGCAAATAATATAAAAAGTAGAAGAAATGAAAAAATATAAAAAAATAAGAAAGAAAAGAAATTGCAAATTAATAGCATTACTTAATAAAAAATAACATGGCAAAAGAAAATCCATTAAAACTTATTTTTGAAATTTTCCACGTCTCTCGCATTAAATTAAAAAAAAATTTCATTTTTCACATTCCTCCCTATCACGTATACATGAAAATAATTGTATTTCGCAAGAGTCGATCTACTTGGTGATTCGTAAGACGGAATATCTGCATAGACAGATACAATTCATCCTCTAGAAGTATAAACCGTCGTTGAAGTCACCACAAAAGATCATATATATATATTAAGAATGTGACTCACGTTTTTAAAGTCTTTTACAAATTGTATAATATAAGAAAAAGAGAACAAGTTAGAAGAAATCATTTAACGTATTAGACATGTTCATTCATCGAAGTTATGATTGTTTTTCTTTTCTACTTCTTTTTAACAAAAGCAAGGATATAATAGGTGTGACTGCTTTACTAGGTCGAAGATATTTAAAACGTACTTTATTTCATGCACACACATGTTAAACTGATCAACTCAACAAGCGATAAAATTTATGCGCAAGTTTATGTGCGAGCTTTCGAAAAAAGTGACAAAGTCTAAATAATAATTCTTTCCTCTTTAGTGGAAAAATCATATAAATAAATAATTATTGCAGTTTTTAATTTTTTGACCTATAATAGCGTAAAGTTTCAAAATATTTCTTTTCTTAATTGTTTGAAGATAATTTTTTTTCTAACATTTGTTTTTGTTTTGTTTTTTTCTCCTTTTTTAAGTTTTTTGTTGCTACTTTTACTACTAAATTTGTTTTCTTTTCCCGTAATTTCTACAATCTACTTGTTTTTTCCTCTTCTATTTCTCTTTTACTAATTTTTCCACTTTCTCAGATTCTTTGGTGGAATTATCGCAATTTTTTTACTTCTTCGATTTCATTATTTCAGTAGCTTTTTACAATTTTTTTCCTTTTCTATCTCTCTTTCAATTTTTCTACTTTCTTTGATTTTTACTGAAATAATTTTTTTTATACTTCTTCGACCTCTCTTTCAGATGCATTTTTAATTTCTTTTCTTTATCCTCTTCTATTTCTCTTTTACACAGAGAGATAATAAATATTAAATTTTGTAAAAGTATTTTATAATTTGGGAAAAATGCGAAAATATGATACAAAAAATACTAAACTTTAAAAAAAACGGTTTCAATTTGAAATTTTATAAAATTTCAAATTGAATGAATTTAATTAGAAACTTTAATGATCTTAGATTTTTGAAAAAATTTAATAATTCAAAATCTTCTAAAATTAGTTAAATTTGTCAATATGTGACGCGACACGAGAAAAGGGACCTATCGTTAAAAAAATCGATTTTGAGATTATGGTGCTATTCGATAGATTATTCTTTGCTCTTTCACGTGAAAAAATCAAAAGTTGAAAAACTTAAATAGTGTTAATAATATAAAGCCCGAAAGTTAAGCATGTACGCGTAAATACACGGGTTTTCTGCGCATGGCGTCGCTTTAAACGCTCTCCCTGTAAAATTCTCTTTTGCGGCGATAGGTCCCTTTTCTCGTGTCGCGTCACATATACGTATTTAATTAATTATTAAAAATAATTAATTTATAGAAGAATTTTAGTTAAAAACACTAAAAAATTCGAATTTTAAAGAAGTTACAAATTATTGCAGAAATTCAATTATGTTCAAAATTTACAAAAATATCTTGACAAAATACCAATTATTATCTTTATAAATTAAAAACTTCTTCTTCAAAATTCAATTATTTTCAAAAATTTTCCTCATTTCAATGATTTTCATTATCTACTATTTTAATAAAAATACCCAAAAGAATTCGATTATTTAAAAACTATTTTAATAAAATTGTACGCAAACATTTAATTTTTTTCATAAATAATAAAAATTTTACTGAAATTCCATTATTTTCATAAATAATAAAATTCTTAATTTTATGAAACATTCAATTGTTCAATAAATTATTTATTTTTATATTTAAATAATTGAATTCTCGTAGAATTTTCTAGTGAAACTTGATTTTAAAATAAATTTTTATTTAAAATTTTAAATAATAATTGATTACTTAAAGTATTAGAGCGTTGTAGTATTTCAGTTATTTTTAATACAATTTTAATCAAATTCCTTGAAAAATGTAACTATTCTAAACAATTTTATTAAAATTCGTCAATAGAATTCAATTATTTAAAAATTTGTTAATAAAATTCTTTATAAGAATTATATTTTAATAAACATTCAATTATTCAATAAATAATTTACTTTCAATTTAAATAATTGAATTCCCGTATTATTTTTTTAATAAAAATTGATTTGAAAATGAATTTTAGTTTAAATTTTAGATAATAATAGAATATAAAAATAATTAAAGAATTTTAATAAAAATTTACTAAATTTAATATTTTTAAATTTTAGTATTTTTTATATCAAAATTTCGCTTTTTCGCATTTTTTCCCAATTTGTAAAATACTTTTACAAAATTTAATATTTATTCTCTCTCCGTGCACTTTGTAAAGTCAGTTTTCTTTTGTTTTTTTTCCCTAAATTTTCACTTTTTTTATTTTTTCTTGTATTGTGTAATATTGTTTTTTTTACCTCTCCTTCGACCTCATTTTCAGATGGTTTTTTTATTTCTTTCCTTTTCCTCTTTTATTTCTCTCTACATTTCTAAATTCTGTTTTCTTTCTAATTTCTAAATTTCCAATTTCTTTGATTTTTACTTGTACTGTGTAATATTATTTTTTTACCTCTCCTTCGATCTCATTTTTAGCTACTTCTTGATTTTCTTTTGTTTCTAAAATTCTTCTTCTTCTATTTTCTAATCTTCTTGTTCTCTTTTCTTTTTCTTCTCCTTCTTTTGCTTCCTCATAGGAAGTTTTATATAGTGATGTCAATTTTTCTTCTCTATCATTTATTCTGAAATAAAGAAAACAAATTTTAAAAAAACGTTTATTGTCATAATTACATAGAAAAAAAAATGAAATGAAAATTTAAATTAACAAAATTAATTAATTAATTAATTGATTTAAATTAACAAAATTATTCAATTAAAAATAAAATATTAATAATGGAAAAAAAATTTCTTTTTTAGTTACTATGTGTGTCATGTGTAGTGGCATTGAGGGTGACTGACGATGAGACAAAAAGAGTTTTTCATTACCTCAGAAATCGTAGTCTCCAATGGTCATTGCTCAACAACGTAACATGGGGAGCCTTTGGTATAAATAATGAATTGCATTTTTCTTTTACGCCTTGTCTTTTAATTTCTCTTAATACTATTGTGCTTTGTTCTCATCATTAGGACAAGCTTTTGCGACAACCACATGTGGGGGCTATCTTATTATAACAATAGGTCTTCTTATTGCCGCCGCTTCTGGAGAACTCAGAGGTCGCAAAACAGTAAGTTTCTTCCTTTCTCCACTTTCATTTCTAATAACAATAATTAACAATAAATTAATAATTAATATTACAAAATATAATACATCAAATTAAAATAAATAATAGTCATAAATAAAATAATAAATTAATATAATAACTATTATTGATAATTAATTAATTTTTGTATCAAATCAACATCTCCAGGAGATAAAATTAATATAATTATGAGAATTAAAATAATAGTAAAAATAAGTATTATAATGAATGTTATTTTCTACAATCAGTGACAAAAATAGAGCAAGTGATAAAAAATGAAAACTTTTTATCACAACGTTTTGCTTTAATGTTCTTGCATTATGAGGTAATGAACTTCTTTGTTATTGCTTTTTTTACAATTCATATAGATTTTTATTGTACGAATTTAAATTCATATAAGGTGAGACTAATTCTTTTTTCCTGATTTCAATTTTTTTTTTGTCTTCAATTATATGTAATAAAATTCGTCACGGAATGAATTGCTCAATATGCATGTTTTTAACACGATTATAGGTATAAAATGATATTGTTTACACTTTTGACCATCGCACCGAAATACACAATTCTCAGGACCTTGATAATAATTTTTTTCTTCTTACGCTTAATAATATATATGAGGAATGTATGTGTTCTAAATCTAAAAACAAGTGTGTCATTGTTTTCTCACCTGACACGTTTAAAAATGAACCTCGCATTTATAAAATTAAATAACATTCAGTCGTATGTATTAAAAATTCAACCTCCATTTTACGGTAAATTATACTTTTTGACTAGGTAATTTATTTTTCTTTTCTTTTTTTTCCTTGATGTAGTTTTGTAGAGGAAATAATTTTTTATGAATTGTTGATATTTATAATGACATTTCATTGTTTTTTTTACTTCTAAACATAAATCTTCTAACATGAAAAGTATATGTAAAAGATGAGGAATAGAATAAATAAAAGAAATAAAGAACAAAATTCCATAATTACAAAAAAATATATTCTTCTAAAATAAAAAGAATTTTGACCCAAAATATTCAAATGTTAGAACAACAATTTTTTTATATTTCGTTAAAATTAAAAATTTTTTGTTAATTTTTGAAAATTAATGGCGAATTTATTTTATTTTTTATTCAATTCTAGTAATTATCGAAAATATTTAAGGAGAAAAAAATATTCGTTCCTTTGAATCTTCAAAACTTGAAAATAAAGAATTAAAAAGTAGATAAAAAAAATATCAAAAAATTTAACAATAAAAAAGTTATATATTGGCAGTGTTTCTTAACAATAAATTCTGCCAAAATATTTAATTTTGATGAAAATTGACAACGAAGCTAGAAAATAATTCGAAATTGAAGAATTAGATTTTTATTTCTATTTTAACTGTAAACAATATTCATTGTATTTTTGAATTTCAAATTACGTGAAATATTTTTTTTCCTCTCCAAATAAGATTTAAAATGACTATAATTGCAGTTAATCGTAAAGTTGCCTTATGAAATTCGCGCTTGTACTATATACTTATTTAAAGCATTTCTGAGACATTGCATAATTTTTGTATATGCGCGAGGAATTTTATATTAAATGAATTTATAAGAATGCTTGAGAATAGGTGAAATATAAAAAGTGTAGAATTATTGAGATTTGTCAAGATCGGTTGATAGTTTTTTTTTATTTATTTTTTTTTCATAACGGCAACAAGAGAAGGTATCGTGAGAACTTTACTAGCATAACATAACAAGGAGGTGTCCAAGAAAGTTGTCATTGAAAGGCAAGGTTGAAATTATCTTTAATATAATGAGGCACGCGTATGCAGTTACAAACCACATCCCATCTTAACGATCATTAGACACGTAATCTATTTGCAACAATAAACTTTAATGAGTCATATATCTGGGTCTCGATATTACTTCTCGGTTCCGCCCTTATCCGTCATATTCTTTCAAATTAAGTCTCTATTTCCTTCAAAAGTCGTTTAATATTTTAATATTCGATTTATGAGAAGAGAAAATTTAATTTTCTATTTTTTGCCACAAAAATTTGATTTTGGTTTTCTCTGACTTTCCCCTGATTTACAGACAGAATTTTGTCTATCTATTTTAAAGATAACATTAGTCTAAAGTAATGTGGCAAATTTTCCTTAATTATTTTTAAAAATTTCAGAAAAATTATTTAAAAATTCAACTATTTTTAATCGAATTCTTGATTCTTTTAAATAAAAATTTTTGCAACTTCGATTCAAAAAAAAATTTAATTTTTTTTATAATAAATTTTTTATAATATTTGTACAAGTTGTCACTTTTTAAATAAAATTTTTAATTGTACCTTTTTCAAAATTAAATGGTGTACTTTTAGACCTAGGATCGACTTTAAAGGATAAAAAAATCGTTTTAGTTTATTCAAAATATAAAAAAAGTCGAATTATAATTATTTCGAAAAATTAGAACTGTAATTTTTCAAAAATTCATTTATTTTCTAGAATTATTAACTCAATTTATTCAAAAATTGGACCTAATATAAAAAAAAGAATTTGAATATTATAATTAAATTTATACAACTAAAATTTTTAAATTCTTTAATTTGGTACCATTTGAAAATTAATTATTTCTGTAAATTGCTACTGTATTAATTAGAATATACTCAAAATTAAAATTTTTCAAAATTGTAATTTAAAACCTTTTGAAAATTTATTATTTCTAAGAATTTTTATTATAACTTATTTACAATATTCTTCTCTAAATTAATTACTTTTAATAAATTACAGAAAGTTATTGGAGAATTCAATTATAAAAATAAAAAAAATTAATTTTTTCATAAAAATTGGAAATCGTAACACTTTATGGTTTTGTTTAAAATATTTGCTAAGTTAAAAAAGAAAATTCAAGGATAGTTTAAGGTTTTCAATTTTAAAACTAATGTACTGAAAATCATTAAATTCTTACAAAGAGTATTTATAAAAAAATTTCAAAATAATTTAATTCATTTCAAGAATTTTATCAAAATTTTTTTCAATAATTGAATTCTTTCGAGAAAATGTAATTAAAATTGTAATGAAAATAATTGAATTCTTGGCAAGATTTTTATTAAAATTCTTTAAAATAATTGAATTGTTTTGAAGAATTTATTTCAATTTTCTTGAAAATAATAGAGTTTTTTAAAATAATTTTTACTGAAAATATTAAAAGTACATTTGAATTTTGTCAAGAATGTCTTTTAAGTTTTTAAAATAGTCGTGTTTATTATTAATTTTAATTAATAACTTTCCTATTAAATTATATTAAAATAATTCATAGAAAATTAATTTCTTTTAAACAGTTTTATTAGAGTTTTTGTAAATAATTACCTACATTTTTTAAAAAGAATTTCATTAAATTTTGTAAAAATAAATGTAATTTATATAAATAATTTTAATTGAAAATTTTGAAAATAATTGAAATTTACAAAGAATTTTATTAAAAACTTTTGAGAACAATAATTGAATTGTTTAAAAAAATTTCATTACAATTTTTTAAAAATAATTGAACCTGTTATAGAAATTTTATTAAAATTATCTTGAATATAATTGAATTTTTTCCTAGAAATTTTATAAAAATTGTATTGAAAATAAAAAAATAATTGAATTCTCGTGGAAGATTTTCAAATTAATAAAAATAATTGAATTGTTTCGAAGAATTTTCTCATAATTGTTCAAAATAATTTAATTTTTATTAAAACTCTTGAAAATAATTGAATTCCTCCGAAATATTTTATTATTTATGAAAATAATTTAATTCTTTTGAAGAATTTTATTATTTATGAAAATATTTTAATCTTGCAAAGAATCTTCTTATTTATGAAAATAATTGAATTCCTGCCAAGAATTTTACAATTTTTAAAAATAATTGAATTGTTTCAAAGAATTTTATCAGAATTGTTCAAAATAATTTAATTTTTATTAAAACTCTTGAAAATAATTGAATACCTCCGAAATATTTTATTATTTATACAAATAATTTAATTCCTTTGAAGAATTTTATTATTTATGAAAATAATTGAATTCTTGTGGAGGATTTTACAATTCTTAAAAATAATTGAATTGTTTCGAAGAATTTTATCTGAATTTTTGAAAATAAATTAATTTTTTGAAGAAATTTTATTAAAAATTTTGAAAATAATGATTTTTTAAAAAGAATTTCATCAAAATTGTCAAAAATAATTGAATTTATATTAAAATTCTTGAAAATAATCGAATTTAATTAATATTTTTAAATATAATTGTATTCTTTAAATTTTGAATCTGTAATCATTCAAAAATTGATGTTTTATTCTTGAAAATATAAAATCAATTGTTTCAAAACCGAATTTTTCAATTTTCCGGAAATTTTTTTTGATTTTTTTTTTGTTAATTTCTTTTCTTAGTGCAAAATAAATGAATAAATACCATTTTTTCTGTTTTTCGTTCTCAAGGAATGTTTTCTTCTTGGCTTGGGGGTGATATTTTTTGGAATAGTTGGAGGCCTTTGTTTGGCTTCCTTAGACAGTGTTCCGCAAGATTTAATAGACAATGCAGCAGTCCTTGGAACATTGTGTCTCCTCACAGCCTTGGTCTTCATTGTTGATTTACTAATGAGCTCTCATCAAGGCAAAAAGCATGATGCCACCCAAACTTTTGGCAGTAAAGAAAATGGCAAGTATCTAAAAAATAGAACAAAAAATTTATTAATTTCAAATCTCAATTATTTTGAAATAAAGTTATTATTTCACTGTTTTTTTCATTTTGTCAAAGACGAGAGTTTCTTCATATATTTTGTCAATACCAAGTTATAAATATTTAAATAATGCAAAAATTCAAATTTCAATTACTAATTATTTATCTAACCACTGGTATTTAAGTAATAAAAATAAAACTTTTTTTTAATTTCTTGGTCAATTTTATGTTTATTATTTTTCTCTGCTCATTTTCTTTTGAATGAAATATAATATTCTCGCGTTATTAAAAAAATAAGAAATGAAATTTTTATTTGTATAAAAAATAAAATTCTAAATAATTTCAAGAACAAAAATTTCTTGTTTAATTTTTTTATATTATATTTTTTGGTAACGCTCATTAAAGTTATTGCTCTAGGCTTGGTAACAAAACAAATAACTGTACAAAGGGAGTACGTAAATAAATTTGACTCGAAGAGTATTAAAAAACTCGAGAGCACCGATAAGTTCTCAAAATTTTCAGGTATCTTCTAATTTTACTGTTTTGCATTTTTCTTTCCCAAAAATTCACACAGAATATATTATTTTACTTCAGTTAGTAATTTTCTAATTTGTAATTTTTTAACAAAAAATGACAAATTATTCAATTATCTAACATTTTAAAAATAATTTATTTCAATCGTTAATAATTTTCAAAATCTAATTTTTTTTTAATATCTAACTTAAGGAATTTAATATTAAATTAATATTGAATTTAATAATTCGTTTAACAAATTTTCTACATAATTTAACATTTTTTTTATTGATAATTTGCTTACATCTTAATATTTTTTAACATTATTTTTTAAATTTGAATTAAAAGTACTAAAAATAAAATAGACGGTAATTTTTCTTAGAGACGTGTGGTTAATGTGGTGCCATAAAAAAATAACAGAAAAAAAATCTGATATGTGATTTAAAGCGAATGCTTTGTATTATTGTTAATTCGTTAACACTATTGAAAGACGTAACTAGGGCGTGGAAAAGGTGGCGCCCGTCATGGGCACATCAAGGTCCTTCATCAGGGACGTTTTTATTAATTTACTCATTTTTATATAAAAATTACGGGAGTCTTATAAGTTCTTCACTTAACAACATTATTCTAAAAAAGGCCTAATCTTTTTATCTTCAAGAGCCAAGAAAATGATTTAGAGCTTTTTTGTCCTAATTATAAAAACATTACATTTTCTTCATCAACCTTCGAGAATAAGAAAAAATTTCCATTAAAGAACATATTTTCTTCCTCTAGATCTTTTAATAATTCTTCATTTCATTTTTCGAATTTTATTCTAATTCTTTTTGCAAAATGGTGTGAATCGTGTCAATTATTATTAACAGCAATTCTATAATGATATTGAATTTTATCCAATGTGTGAATAATTTTTTTTTAATTATTTAAAATGCAGTCAAGCCGATGACAACGTTGGTGGTGGAAAAGGAGACAAAAATTGTAAAAAGCAATGGTAGTGCGGAAAAAGCGGATGATGCTCGCGATTCAAAGGGTCAAGTCATTAATGGATTTAAAAAATCTGAAGGATCTCGACTGCACGACAATTTGGAGGGTATTGATTATATTGATCGACCCACAACTGATAGAAATTTCACTAGAGACGAGCAAAGGCGTAATAGGTAGAAGGAATTTTTTCTAAATTCGAGAAATATCACCGAGAATTTCTATGCATACTCAATTATTTTTTAATTTCTATTATTTTTATCTAATAATATACTTTTATTGTAAATTATTCGCTAACCCTTTTAGACTATGAAAAATCGAGTATTTTAATTATTTATTAACTCTAAAAAATATTTTACTAGTATTAAAAAGAATATTCTATTCATTATTTTTAAAACACGATTGTAATTTCAAGATAATTTAAAAAAATACTTTACGGGATGGATTTATTTTTATATTTTGTATGTAGAATATTAAAAAGAAAATTGTAACATTGGACAAATATATTACTTGGAAAACAAAAAATATCGGATGTATTCATTTTTCCTGACAAAATTCTTTGTTTCATTCTAATTTCGATTGTAAAAATTTTTATAATTTACATTAATATTAAATGTTGTGAATATTTACATTACAGTTTAATTCACTGTAATTAAAATTAGTTTAACCACTTCACTGGCGGGGCGTTCCAAATGGCGTTCCACGCGCCGAGGCCCAGACTGGCAAAAACACCGAAATGGCGTTCCTAATAAAACTTTATTTTTAAAGAGTGTACACTACTTTTTACTACTACAAAGCAATATTTCTATAGTTTAGACATCAGGGAACAAGATTATCACAATGAAAATTTCAGTTTTTGAGATTTTCAATGTTTCTTTGAACGTTGAAATAGTCGATTTTTAACACTTTTTAACAAATGGCGTTCCACTTTTGTTATTATTAATAATTATTAAATTTTATTTATTAATTATTTATATTTATTTTTTACTTATTACATTATTATATTATAATGTTTTGTATGTAAATATATTTTTTAAATAAAAAATATGAGTTTTACTGTGTAAAAATTGAAAAAAAGTGGAACGCCATTTGGTGAAAAGTGGTAAAAATTGACTATTTCATTGTTTGAAAAAACATTGAAAATCCCAAAAACTGAAATTTTTATTGTGATAATCTTGTTCCATGATGTCTAAACTATAGAAATATTGCTTTGTATAAGTTAAAAGTAGTGTACACTCTTTAAAAATAATAGTTTTATTAGGAACGCCATTTCGGTGTTTTTGCCAGTCTGGGCCTCGGCGCGTGGAACGCCATTTGGAACGCCCCGCCAGTGAAGTGGTTAATTAACATAATTTTATTTTTCGAACAGTTTTATAAAATTTTATTATCTAATTAATTCTATAAAAATTAAATTCGTGTAAAATTTTATATAATTTCTATTTAATCAGAATTGAGAAAAATTTGTAGAGATTTTTTCCTATAAAAATTCACATTGTTTATAATCTCGGTTATATTTCCCTGTCTTCCATTTTTTTTTCTTGCACTTGCTTGACAAAAAAAAACTGAATCAGTTGACTAGTCTTAGGTCAACCGAAATTCCGAGGGAGGATGAGAATAAAAAATTTCAAAACGCTGAGAAACAGACTCGGGATTATCATCCGCAGAATATTGATAATAATTATCGTCGACACTTGAGAGACACCGAAGACACTTTTGATATTGGACAACGATTACGTGCTCAGGACATTTATCAACGACCAATTGACGAATTGGATACTCCACGTTTTCCAGCGACCCTAGAAAAGAAGGAACCAATTTTTGCAAAAATCGTTAATCCCGGTGTTAAAATTATGCGAGTCGATCGTGACGTTGAAGAAACAATCGAAAACTACAGGTGAGCTTCTTAATTATAAATTTGTAATTTCATTAATCAAATTAAAAAAAAATTAATAGAGAGAAATTAATAAATAGAAAAAGAATTAATACTCACTAATTATTTTGCTGAAAATTGGAAATTTTTTATAAAATAATTTCTTTTGTCAAATCTCTTCCTCTGCAGACTTTCGAATTCAAGTCAGTATGACAATGTACCTACGCGAATATTTTCCACCTCGAATGGATTCACGAAAAAAAATCGTGACGCAGTCTTCAGTGTTCCTAGGCCAAGTAGATTGTACAAGCATCAGAAGGAAACCAAGGACGAAATTGAAATGCTCGAGGAGTATTTTAATAATTTTAGAACAGCGTCAATTGGAACACAAACGGGAAGTCGATTGCCTTCGTCGCCAAATGATCCGGGTTATGTTCGTCATACGGCCAGCAATTGGCCGCAAAATCAACGGATCAAAACACCTGGTGGAAGTCCCGAACGAGATAGAATATAAATTTTTAAATTAGACTCAATTTAAAGATCTATGGTAATTTAATTTTACCAAATTGTGTTTTTTTTGACACAAGTTAATTTTTTTTTAAGGAAAATTTCAAAAATCTATTTGCTCACCAAAAAAATCTAGAAAATACAATTTTAATTTTTAAATAAAATTTATTAACATTATTGGACAATTATTAAAATTATTAAAATTATTTTTAAAAATTATTAAAGTAATATTTGAATCATAAATTTCAAAAAGGGCTCAATTTCAAAAATGCCGAGTTGCGACAAAAATTTTAAATCGATTTTCCCTGATTTTCAGACAGAATTTTGACTTTCTTTCTGATCATTATAAAAAAATTCAAAAGGAGTTCAATTAATTATGAAAAAAATAATGTTCAGAAGCAAACAATTAATTTAAACCTTAAGGGTGTCTATATCTACTTTCAAAATGTTTATAAAAATGTTATTATATTTAAAAAATAGAGATGAAATATTTAAAAAATTCTTTGTAGATTTAATATTGTATTCTAAAACATGAAAATATTAAAATTTCTAAAAATAATTAAATTCTTTCGAGGAATTTTCTTAAAATTGTATTGAAAATAAATAAAATTAAAAAATTCTTATATAAAATTTTCTTAAAATTTTTGAAGTAATTAAATTATTATTTCGAAGAATTTTATTAAAATTTTTTAAATAATTGAATTTGTGTGAAAAAATTGTATTATTTTTGAAAATAATTGAATTGTTGCCAAGAATTTCATTCAAATTTTTGAAAATAATTGAATTCTTGCAAAGAATTATATTCAAATTTCTCAAAGTAATGTATTTCTTTCGAGAAATTCAATTAAAATTGTATTAAAAATAAATTAATTTCTATAGAGAATTTTACTAAAAGTTTTGAAAATAATGGAATTCTTGCAAAGAATTTTATTATTTATGGAAATAATTGAATTCCTTCGAAGAATTTTAGTAAAATCTTAAAAAATAACTAAATTTTTGCAATAAAAATATCAAAGTCCTACTAAATTATTAAAAATAATAAATAATAATAAGTAATTGGTTAATACATTGTTTTATAAATTAAAACTCAGATTATTTAATTACAACGTTCGGCCCTATTGAATATTCATGATTTGATTAAAATAATTATTACAAAATTTTTTTTAAAAGAATATGAAAATAATATTTGTCATCTAAGAACAAAGTTAAAAAATTTGTTAAAAATTCAAATTAAAAATTAAAAAATTATTTTAAATAACTGAAATTAATATTTGTAAACTGATTATAAAGGGTAACAAGTTTTATAATTCCTGATTCAAATTTTTCTCAATTAAAATATTGTAATAATAAAAAAATAATTAAAAGTCTTGAAAAATTTAATTACACATTTAAAAAATAACAAAATAACTAAAAAGTTTCTGAACAAAGATTTATTATTCTAATTTTTATTCAAATAAAATTAAAATAATTCTTTCAAATCTTCCTATTAAAATTAACTTTGTCAAAAGCTATACAACAAGTGAACTGCCTGAAAATTTATAAAATTATTATGTGTGTCTTTTTTAAAATGTGTGCTACAAATAGTTGGCTAGAAGTTTTTTTTACAAAAAAATAATGAACTTAAAGTAGTATTATAATACCACCATATCGTATTTTTTATTTTTAAGAATTAATCATTTCTTTCTCACTGGAAAGAAATTATTTACAAGAAAAATCAATACTTTACTTCATAAAGGATTCATTGATATAAACGACTTTTGATAAGAATGCAAATCAAAAATATTGGCATTGTATTGAAATCCAAAAATTAGATTTATTAAGAACTAGCAAATAAGATTTGTAATAGATTCGATTTTTTTAATCAAAAAGGTTTGTCCTGGCGAAAGGAAAAAAAATTAATATTAGGTATAAATTAATTGATTAATTAAATTAAATTTGATTAATTTGAAAAAAAGTTTCGATTTAAATGATAGCAGAAGTATTCAAATTTAAACAGACTTAAAAATATTTAAAGGATTCAATTATTATTTTTGAATTAAATAATAAAATTTATAAAATTGTTGAAAAAATACATAAATATTAAATATATATATTTATAAATAATGTTAAAGTTTATTTAAAATAAGACTGTAATTCATTCATGAGACAATAGTCTCCTTCGAAAATATCAAGAAATCAAAAAAAAAATTGGCATAAAAATTTTTAATAAAAATTGATATCTTCTCTCCGACAATACATCATATACATTATCAATAATGTAAAATTTTAATATTCGCAAGCTGTTAGTCTTTGTCTTAACAACGTAATCGTTAAGATTAGTTTCTAATTATACATGTTTATTTTCTTAACAAACAAATAATTTGCTGTAACTTGCAGTTTCATTTTTTTTATCCTTTTTCTTACTCTTTATAAATAAAAACATTCGCTACTAAAGACTTACAACAGATCTCTCTTCTTTTATTATTAATTAATAAATGTATTTCTTCTCTTTTTAAATAACTACGACTGATTCACGTTACAATCGTGACATCTTAATTTCCTGCACATTCAAATAACAACCGAAAGATTTAAAAACAGTCGGACAAATATTTGATTGTAGAGAACTCACTTGTTCTGATCTAGAAATTCTCGAGGTTGTATACAATAATTTTACCTCGATGAATCAAAGTTCTCTAGAGGTGGTCGTCGTCGTCGTCAATCTTTTTTTTTATTCTAACCGTGCCTACGCGTATTTACAAAATCGATAATTCGATTAATTATTTGAGCATTTGTTTTTTTTCTCTCTATCTCTTTTTTCTTCTGGAACCGCTATCCTATAAATGAACATCGTTCTCGTATATATAAAGTAAGAATAATGGCTGATCCCTTTAGATGAACTTTTCCCCTGATATACAAAAAATTTGTATTAGAAGATTTGTCGATGATTTATCTGAATCGATCGAATCCCATAGGAGGACCCGGATTATTTGTCGATCTCTGTTCCATTGTGATGTACTGTCTTATTAAACGCGAAATCTCATGAGCTTGCTCAGTTTGAAGTCTCGTTATTCGCTGCTGCATCAGATTGCCGCATTTCATGTCCAAATATAAAGTTCCTTCCTCGGATTTCACTTTGCGAGTTGAAATCACCTCGGAATATGGATAATGATAGAGTGTCTCCTGCAATTAAGTTTTCAATATTGGATCATTTCGATCTGTCGCTCCAGAAAACCGTAACCCATTTATATTTAATTAATAAGCATTTTCATTAGGTAGCGTTTAATTTTCCAGATTGGATCATTTCGATCTCTTGATCAAAAAATTCGTAACCCATTTTTATTTACTTAATAAGCATTTTCATTAGGTGCGATTTAAATTAGTTATTAGCATTTTTAGTTCATTGACATTAAAATTATTATTTTAAGTACTCAAATTAAATTATAGTTTAATTAATGTACTAATTAAAATATTAATTTAGCTACTTGCTTCAATTAATAAGTCTTCTAATTAAATACAGGGCTCGAACTAGGTCCGTAAATACCGTAAAAGTCTGTAAATTTGATAGAAGCCCGTAAAAGTCAGTATTTTTAAAAAAAGTCCGTAAAGTTCGTAATTTATTTGAAAAAGAACGAATAGTTCGTAAATTGTTCATTATAATTTGGAGAATTTTTGAGAAATTACAAATGATTGCAGAAATCAAATTATTTTCAAAAGTAATAAAATATTTCGCAGAAATTCCATTATGTTCAAAAATTTTTAAAAATACTCGTGAAAATTTTAATTATCTTTATAAATATAATAAAATTCTTCTCCAAAACTCAATTATTTTCAAAAATTATAATAAAATTCTTGTCAAAATTTTAATTATTATCAAAAATTTTCCTGAATTCAATGATTTTCAGTATCTGATATTTGCATAATATTTTCCAAAAGAATTATTATTATTATTCAATTATTTAAACAAAATTTTGCTAAAATTCTATGCAAACATTTAATTATTTTCATCAATAACAAAAATTTCGCAGGAACTCAAATCTTTACAAATTTTTTATAAATTTCTTCGGAATTATTCAACTTTTTTAATAAATAATAATATTTTTGCAGAGATTCAATTATTTACATAAATAATACAACTTGTTGCATAATTTCAATTATTTTTAATAAAATTTTAATCAAATTCCTCGAAAAATGTGATTATTCAAAAAAATTTTATTACAATTCGTCGAAAGAATTTTATTATTTAAAAAATTGTTGATAAAATAAAATTTAATTCTTTATGAGAATTCAATTTTAAGAAAGATTGAATTATTTAATAAAATATTTATTTTTGTATTTAAATAATTAAATTCTTGTTGAATTTTCTAATAAAAATTGATTTAAAAATGAATTTTAGTTATAATTTTAGATAATAATTGAATATTAAAAGCATTGTAGCATGAATTTTTAGAAATAATTGAATTTCGAAAAAGTTACAAATTAGGTATAATCTTTGAAAATCTGAATTTTTCTTACTTTTCAATTAAAAATTCTGCAGAAGTAATTTTTTTGAAAAAATTTAATTATAATTCTTTTGAAATTAGTTGATTTTTTATACATATTTAATTATTAATTATTTAATTATCAAAAATAATAGATAAGAAAAATTTTAGTTAAAAAAACTAAAAAAAGAGAATTTTGGAGAAGTTACAAATGATTCCAGAAATTCAATTATTTTCAAAAGTAATAAAATTCTTCTTAGAAATCCAATTATTTACAAAATTTTTTTAAAATTCTCGTCAAAATTTCAATTATATTTTCAAATAATTCAATTATTTTCAAAAATTTTAATAAAATTCTCTGCAAAATTACAATTATTTGTTCAAACAATAACATTCTTCTCCGAAATTCAATTATTATCAAAAACTTTAATAAAATTCTCTGCAAAATTTCAATTATTTTTAATACAATTTTAATCGAAATCCTCGAAAAATGTAATTAGGTATTCTTAAAAATTTTATTGATATTCGTCGAAAGAATTCAATTATTCAATTATTTTAAACTTTGTTGATTTTGTATTTAAATAATTGATTTCTCGTGGAATTTTCTAATAAAAATTGATTTAAAAATGAATTTTAGTTAAAATTTTAAATAATAATTGAATATAAAAAATATTGCGTGAAGTTTTAGAAATAATTGAATTTTGAAAAAGTTACAAATTATAATCTTTGAAAATATGAATTTTTCATACTCTCGAAGAACTTTTTCATAAATTATTAAAAATAATTGTTTTAAAAAAGAATTTTAGTTAAAAATTCTGGAAAATAGTATTTGACTCGGACTGGCTATATTTTTATAAGTAATGGGTCTGTAATTTTTAATTTTTGGTCCGAAAAGTCCGTATTTTTAAATATTTTCAATGATTCGAGCTCTGCAAATACTACTTGAGATAATTAGTAGTGTAATTAATAAATTAGCAGCTGAGTTGATTAGTATTTCACTTAATTTGTATCTTCGTCTCAATTTGATAAAGTAGTAAATAAAGCAGAAGATTAAGCAGTAGAGAATTGCAAATTAGTAGCTCCAAAAGTAATTTCCTTTTCCAAATTACGAGGAGATTTTCGAATTTTCCTTTTGATGAAAATTTTGAAAGCACTACGTGAGATGAGTCGCCTTATTTCTAAAGTGAAAACATTTACCTATAACCATTTCTCCATTCGCACAGAAACCATATTAGCAAATTTTATTTTCTAGCCATGCACTATTCAATTTTTTAATTTTCCGCTTGGTCTTAATTTTCAAAACTATTAAGCATTTAATTTAATAGGTAAAGAGTAAAATTCAAATTAAGAGATCTTATTGCACGTTGAAAACTAAAGCAAATGTGAAATAAAATGAAAAATCTAATAGAAAACAAAAATAATAAAAGTGAATTAAAAACTCACATGCGTAATGTGGTCGATAAAAAGAACGCCGTGTCTGTTTAGAGCAAGGATGTGGTCTCCGCCTTCTTCTTTTCCCTCTGGCGCTCTCTTCACTGCAAAGAAACTGGATCCAAATAGTGGCCACTTAGACAGTATTTCTGTTGAAAAAAGAAAATTTTCATATGAATTGATTTAAATTTTAACGGAAAATTTAAAATTTATTTACCTATCAAATTGATCAAATTTTATTAAAGAAAAAAATTTATATAAAAACGAAACAAAATTCCAGACTTTATATAATATTCCGCTTAATATTAATATTAGAAAAATAAAAACAAACATTCTTGAAAATCTGGGAATAAATAAATAAAAATAAATTATAAATAACCATAAATATTTTCTTATATAAATCACAAGAGAAATAGAAATACATTTAAATATAAATATCATAAATAAGCATAATAATAAAAAATAAATAGAAATAAAATGAAAATAAAAGAAAAAATACAAATACTAAATTTTACCTAGAACTTGAGCTTTACAACTAGCGGATTGATTATGCATAACGTTGTTCCACGCTTGTTGAACCATACTGCTCCATTGCTGTGGTCGTGGTTCCCTTAAACTGAGAGCTGGTTTAGGAAGAAGGTACTTAACTTCCTTCGTGGTTGGTTCATGTGTGTAATCCGCTGCCCTGTGTAAAAGTGCTGCGATCTGCGCCATGTCGTACTGTAAAAAATTACATTTTAATAATTTACCAAAATTCCTTTGTAAAAAAACAAAGAATTTTCTTTTTTTTTAAATTAAGGCATTAATTTCTTTTTTTTTAATTCAAAATATTCTACTCACTATTACTTCCTGTGGTAAATGATCACCAGGTAAAACTAATAGCAGGCCTTCCACATAATCTGGTACAATTTGATTGAAAATGACTTCTATGTACAAAGGCGCATCAAGACGAAGCGGATAATACCAGACGGATCTAGAAATTAAAAAAATTATCCCCTTTTTCAAAAATTGGTCAAAAAGAGCAACTTTTACTTTCACAAATATTCTCTTTAAAAAGTAAAATTATTCTCCAAGGGAAAATAAATATTAGACTTTTTGTTCTTTTCTTTTATAATTCATGTCTTTTTGTTTGGAGAGGAGAAAACTTAATATATTCTCATTGTATTTATTTATTGTCTGTTTTTAACGAAAGAATAGTAATTAAGAGAAAAAAAAGTTAATTTGAAAAATAATACCTGCAGAATATTAGGTAGAACACCTGTTGATTCATATAAAGCGCGGTAGTAACATCCAAAACGTATTCATCTCGAGCTAAAGGCATCGTAAAGGCATCTCCATCAATGATGCAATAAAGCAGAAACTCATCCATTTCATTTGGACTTCTTACGGATATCACGTTACACATTTCTTCAATAACATCCTGTAAATTTCAATTTACATTTTTAAATTGTTTCAATTTCTTTCAAAAATTAATTAAAAACTATTAAAATAATTACAAATTGTTTTTTATTTTTTCAGGTTTTAAAAGTTGACTTTTAATGACTTTGAAATAATTTTTTTGTGTTTTTTAAATATTTTTCCTTTAAAGACAAGACAGTTTTTAAAAATTGCAATAAATTTCTTTAAAATATTCTAATTAAAATTCTTCTCCAAGGCAATTATTTTTTGTAATTTTGAAAGTTTTTTGTGAATTCAATATGATTCGAAAGAAAACGAAATTTTATTTTAAATACGCATAAAATTTGTTTTTAATTAACTTTTACGATATTTTAATTACTCGAAAATTTTTCATTGAAATATATATTCAAAAATTGAAATAATTTTTAAAAAATTTGAATGAAAATTTTTTTAAATATCTATAACATTTATAAATAATTGAAAATAATGAATAATTATGAAATTTGGTACTAACTTGTACAACAGTGGTGCACTTGGTATTGATTACTCTCTCAGTTCCACCTGGTAATCTATAGATTTGTCTCTTGGCATTTCTTCCAGCACTAATTGCCATTATTTCTTCAACGCTGGGAATAATCTTTCTGCCTCCGTATTTAACCGTTTTTCGTAAATTCTGCAGGCAAACGGTTGCCGTACCATGATACGCTCGTCTCTTATCATAGGCGGCAGTTTCCAAATATTTCGTGAGATACGGCTTAAGTCCATCGCTACAATTAAAATATGCAGCGATAATACTAAAAATTCTCCATCCACGTTGACAACTTTCTGGATTTGGACTTTTATTATTTGTCGTTTGCTTCATTAGTTGACAATAAATTTCATCGCACAACTGTTCAAAATCATGACAGTGCTGTAAAATAAAACATTTCATTAGTAAGATTAGTAACATTTCATTTTTCGAGAAATTCGATTAAAATTGTATTCAAAATAATTGAAATTCTGCAATGAGTTTTATTATTTTTGAAAATAATTTCTGCAATTGGGGATTTAAAATTGCAATGCGACACATAGTGACCATAAAGTGAACTAAAAAAAATGGCTGCTGTGGGTGTACAAGGTTGAAAAAAATGTTAATATTTAAAGTATTCTAATGTTTAAGAAATATTTGTTAAGATTGTTGTTCATTATTTATCTTTTTATTGAAAAACTACTTAAAATTAAAACCGAAAAGTCACAATTTAAGTTTATATTTTTTTAAATTTGTACACCCATTTCGTCCATTTTTGGTGTAAAACACTAGCGACACCGAGCCCGCGGTGGTAATTTTCATTGCCAATAATTTGTAACTTCTCCAAAATTAATTTTTTTTTTTTTAATTAAAATTTTTCCATAAATTTATTATTTTTAATAATTTTTGAAAAAGTGCTTTGAGAATTTTCAAATTCATTTGCTTACAATTTAATTTTACAAAGGTTTTCAATTATTCGGAAATGCTTGAATTAAATATATATATTAGAAAATAATAACTTCAAATATTTTCAAAACAAAATCCCCAATTAAACTTTATAAAAAAAAATTAATTCCACAGAATTGTTAGTTAAAAATATGAAAAATTCAGATTTTCAAAGATTATAATTTGAAACCTTTTCAAAATTCAATTATAATACAAAATTTTAACTAAAATTTATTTTTTAATCAATTTTTATTAGAAAATTCTACTCGAATTCAATTATTTAAATGCAAAAATAAATAATTTATTTAGTAATTGAATGTTTCTTCAAATTCAATTCTACTAAAGAATTTTATCATCAAATTATTACATAATTGAATTCTTTGAAGATAAATTTTAATAAAATTTTTAAGAATAATTACATTATTCGAGAAATTCGATTAAAATTGTATTAAAAATAATTGAAATTCTGCAATGAGTTTTATTATATTTGTGAAAATAATTGAATTCCTAAAAAGAATTTTATTATTTAAGAAAATAATTGAATTCCTGTAAACATTTGATTATTTATGAAAATAATTGAATTATTGTGAAGAAATTTATAAAAAATTTTGGAAAATTTTATTAAAACATTACATATTGAAAATCATTGAATTAAAGCAAATTTTTTAAATTAATTGAAATTTTGCCAAGAATTTTATAAAAATTTTTGAAAATAATTGAATTTCGGAGAAGAATTTAATTTATATTTATAAAGATGATTGGAATTTTGACAAGAATTTTTAAAAAATTTTAAACACAATTGAATTTCTGCGAAGAATTTTATTACTTTTGAAAATAATTGAATTTCTGCAATCATTTGTAGTTTTTCTAAAATTCTCCATATTATATCGTATAATTTACGAACTTTTCGTCCTTTTTAATCAAATTACGGACTTTACGGACATATTTTAAAAAAATCTGACTTTTACGGACTTGAAGCACAATTACTGACCTTTACAAGATTTACGGACCTAGTTCGAGCCCTGATAATATTTAATGTATTGAAAAAATCCATAAATTCATAAAAAGTCTACTTTCGATAAATAAAACCTTGAAGAACAAAATTTGAAAAAAAAAGTTTTCTGAATTAAAATTTTCCGGAATGAGGAATTGAATGATATTTTAGATTTATAGAAAGTGATGTTTTTTTTGTTTTAAACAGTGATTAAACTTTTGCTCACCTTTAGTATTGTGTAGACACACTTTACTTCGTTCATGCTTGGCGGAAGTGACTGATCGCCCATGTACATCATCAGACACAGGAAGCATTCTACAGCAAGGGCACTCAACTCGTTGTCCAAACGTAGAAGACTCTTTTCAATAGGAACTGCCGAGTACTTAACTAGGTCTACCTGTTCCTTCCATGTCCATTCTGCACTATCCTGTTGACCTTTGTTCTTTTTATTCTTCTTTTTACTTTTCAATGATTCTATTACTTTTAAAGAACCACTAATTGAACCATCTGCCGTTTTCATCATTTCGAACCTGAAATTTAAAAAAAATCAATTTAAAATTATATATTACAAATTTTCTATTATATATAATTTGTTTCACATTAAAAAAAAATATATATATATATTCTCTTTATATTTTCTCTTCCGGTTCATCTCATGCGTAATTTCATGTTAAACAAAGTGTACGAGGCAAATTACTTTAAGTATCATTTTCAAAATTATATCTACAAATACGATAAAATAATATGTTTCGTAATACAATATAACAATCTTGAAAGTTTGTTTCCACTGGCAATGGAATATACAGCGTGATTGAAATTTCTTCAGATCGTTAGCGCACTTTCAATAGATTCCTGAGATTCATTTCGAAGCATTGAATCACGAAGATATCGATTTTAATCGAACAATTTAAATTTAATTGAAAATATTTGGAATTCCTTTTGTTCTATTAAATTGATTTGGTTTGTCAATATTTCAATTAATGGTAAATTCAATTAAATATTACTATCTCAAAAGAAAGAAAAAGAGATTCTAATCAGCAGGATTCAAATCGACTTTAAGAATCAAAAAGGCATTTTAATCGGTTTAAGGAACAAAAAAATTCTAAAAAGTAGTTTATTTTATTTAGATTTGTAATAGATATTTTATTTTCTACTTTTCTGACTTTTTTCTTGATTTTTATAAAAATAAACTTTATCCCTCATCAAAATAATGGTTTCAATTGTAAGTTTTTATAAAATTCAATTGAAATTTTCAAAAATTTTCTTTGAAAGCTTTTGATGTATAATTGTTTCTAAAAATTGCTACTGTAACTTCTTCGAAATTCAATTACTTTCTAGAATTTTTAACTAAAATTCTTATCTAACTCAATTATTGTTAATAATTTGCAGAAACATTCTTGAGAGTTTAATTATTTACAAAAAAAGAAAAGTTCACTTAAAATTCGTATAAAATTGAATTGTTTTCAATTGTAAATATAACGAAATTTTATATTACTCGACAGCTTATTAATTAAATAATACTCATGCATAAATTCAACTAATTTAAAAAAATTTAGAATTAATATTTTTTAAAAAACCAAATTTTCTAGAATTTTAAATTAAAGGTACTTACTCAAAATTCAAATTCTTAAAAATTTTAATTTGTAACCTTTTGAAATTAATGTCGAACAATTTTTACCATAAATTTTGCATTATTCAATTTTTTTCTAGAATTCTTAGTTTAAAATGCTTCTCTAAATTAATTTTTTTAATAATCTAAAATCCTTTTTTGTAAGATAAATAAATTTTAATAAAATATATAATAAAAAATTCTTAGAGTTAGTTTTTTAAAAAAATTGTAATGTGATTTTTCGAAAAAATTGAATTTCTAAAAGAATTTTTACACAATTCGAAAACAAATAAACTTTTTGAAAAATTATTTTAATTATAAATTTTGAAATTGATTGGTTTTTCAAAAATTAGAATAATAATTCTAATTTCAATTAGATTTTTGAAAAAACTTTAATTTCTAATTATTCTGTAGACATTTGAGATCTAAACATTTTTCTATAACTTTTTCAATATTCACTTATTTTTTAGATTATTTAACAAACATTTTTCTTCCAATTAATTATTTCATTAAAAATTCTTAAAATTCTTAAAAAATTGAATTTTTTCAGGAATGTTCTAAATTATTAAATAACTAAAAAGGTGGGTAAGAATTTTATTAGAATTGAAGTGAAAAATAAATAAATTTCTATGAAGAATTTTATTATTGAGGAAAAGATTTTAATTTTTTCAAAATATTTAATTAATTTTTTTTCTTATGTAGAGAATTTTATTGAAATTTTTCCAAACAATAAAATTTTTGAGAAGAATTGTATTAAAATTCTTTAAAATAATTAAATTCCCGCCAAGAATTTTATTATTCATAAAAGTAATTGAATTCGTTTGAAAATTTTTATTATTTATGAAAATAATTGAATTTTGGCCAAGAATTTTATTAAAATTTTTAAAAATAATTAAATTCCTGTGAAAAATTTCATAAATCATAAAAATAATTGAAATGTTACTAAGAATTTTATTAAAATTTTAAAAAATAATTGGATTTTTTCGAGGAATTTAATTAAAATTGTAATAAAAATATTCCAATTCTCATAGAAAACTTAATTAAAATTTTGTTAAAATAGTTGAATTTTTTGGAAGAATTTTATTATTTTTGAAAATAATTGAATTCCTGAGAAGAATTTTATTATTTATGAAAATAACTGAATTCCTGCGAAGAATTTTATTATTTATGAAAATAATTGAATTCTTGCGAAGAATTTTATTAAAACATTGGAAAGTAATTAATAGTAATTAATTAGTTAAAAATTGCATTTTTTAAAATTTTGAATCTGAAACTATTCAAAAATTAAAGTCGATATTTAAAAATAAAAAATTTAGCAATTTGCATTCTAATATTAAATTGAACACTTCGTAAAATTGGATAGTTTTGTTTATAAGAAGAATTTGGAATATTTGAATTCCAACTAAGGTTGAATTTTATCCAAAAAGGAGAGTATTTTTTTATGACATCGTTTCCTAATTTATGTCTTGAATAATCCATTAATTTCCTTCACTGTCTAATCTCGCATGAGAAAATCATAATTGATTCTAGGTACACAATGGTACAATTAAAATTAATGCGAGCACTATAATAGACCACAAGATAGCAATTTCTTTTTCAACCATCAGAAAATGTCAGTAAACTAGGTTTCCTCGAGATATTTTAATAATCAGGTGAAGTAAATAAAGAAAGTTATTTTACAATTCATATATACATGTGCATACATTTTATGACACACAAATTCCTATCACGAAGTCATATAATATATAAGCTCCTTTTGTAAACTAATATGTATACATCTAATCTATCATCAGTATATGTATAATTTTATATTTTATTCCCATTTTTTTTTTCATTTTCTAGAAACTCTACTAAGGCAAGAAATTTTACCGCACATGAATTATTGTAAAGGAACAAAAAAATCTTGAGCATGATTTCACTGAATAAAAACACGAATTTCAACTTTTTCGCCAATACTCGTTTTATAATTATCAGTTTCGATATATCTTGTGTATATGTATGCATGAATTCCTCGAGAAAATGTAACTTTCGTTGGAAAGTGTTTACATTCCCGTCACAGAAAAAAAACAGTGCTCCCTGATAACGAATACAAATCAGTAGTCAACCATATGTGCATTTCCTTATTCATTTAGATTTCACTCAGCTTTTAGAAAAAAAAGAGAAAAAAAAACCAGATTCGACGTTAACGATGGATTGTTAATTAAGAATCTCGCCTCAGGAAACAAGATGCAATATATTTACAAGTGCGGTTTATTCGTCTGTTGAAGATATTGCCCATAAAATTTTGTTACACTTTGAGTTTCTCGTTATTCACGGTCGCACTTCCCGAGAAATGTTGATGAGTGTTACATAAAAAAAAGTATATCTCATGCTAATTAAAGAAAGTCGGAAAATGGCAATTCCCTTTCTCCTTAAAAAAAAGCCCCCCTTCTTACTTTTTAATAGTCGATTGTTCTTTGCAAATTGAGTTTTCGCTTCAGGGAATATTAAAAACAATTCAATATCCTATAATCAAAGGTAGACGAATTTTCACAGATTTTATCTACTATTTTTGTGTTATTATCACTATTATTATTACTAGTATAATTAACATTACAATAAATAATAAAAAAAAAAATATTTAATTACATTTCAGAAATAATTGTGTGTTCATTTAAAGCATTTGGAATTTATTAATTTAAACTAACGTCAATACGGAATTGTTTTTGTTGTTGTGCTCTTATATAAAAGTCGTGTTGAGAAAGCATAACATTCACGATTCTCAGATATCATCGTATGCAGTCAAATCTTGACGCACTTTATTTCATCGCAAAATCTCCATTGTTCTTGCACTTCAAATGATATTCTCAAATCTTCCAGTCACCATGTATGTAAATAGCTAATTTAGTAAATTTCCCAACTGACTGGAATGTAATAGTTCAAGTTGATGTTAGAATTCAAGTCGAATTCGAATTTTAGATATTTTTTGTATTTGTATTTTTGTATTTTTTGACTGTATTTCTTCGTATAAAATACAGGACTAGAATCTTTTTTAAGGCTTTTAATTTTATTTAAATTTTATTTTTATACTAAGTCCAGTTAATATTTCATTATTATCTGATATTGAATATTAAATCAATTTTATGACTTCTTTAGATAATAATAATTCATAGAAATATTTCCAAACATTTTTAGAATATCTTGACAAATTATAGAGAGAAGTAAGGCAAATTTTGATAAAATTTAATTCTATAAATAAAGCGTGACAAATTTTCAAAATTTGAATTCAGTGAGTAAGATATAAACAGAGTTCAACAAAAATTTAATTTTGTTTTTCATGTTTTTTCCCTAATTTCCAGATGGAATTTTAACTTTTTCCCTGATCCTACAAAATTTAACAATTTTAAAACATAAAAATAGTTTTATTTTTCACAATTTTTAGTTAAAAACTTAATTGTTTTTAATTTAAAAAAATAAAACTTGTGAAAAAAATTTTAATTCTTCAATATTTGTAACTTTAAAAAATTTGAATCTTAAAAAATTTAATTTTTTCATGGAAATTTATTAAAATTCTTGAAAAATAACTGAATTATATTGAGAATATGTAAAGATTGAATTCCTAAAAAGAATTTTATTATTTTTATGAAAATAATTGAATTCTTATGAAGAAATTTACTAAAATTTTTTAAAATAATTGAATTTTTAGAAGAATTTAATTAAATAAAATTGTATTGAAAATAAATAAATTCTATTTCTATACCCTCATTCAGATTTAGTGAATAAGTTTAGTAATAATACTATTTTTGCAAGAAAAGTTTAGAAATGATTTTATTTTTCACAATTTTTAGTTAAAAAATGAATTGTTTTTAATTTTAAAAAATAAAACTTTTGTTAACCCCTTAACTGTTTGAGGAAAATACAACATGATTGTCCCAAACTGCCCAGCGGAATCTAATACTTCTTCAAATAGTACCTATAATATATTTAAATTATAACTAATTATTCAATTATTTTTTAAAATATCATTAATGACCCTTATAATGTCCTATAATATTGATATAAAGAAAAATATCTATCAATTTATAAACAAATTATATTTATTTTGAGTGATAGTGAACACGACCCACGGGTGGGTCGGAAACAGTTATGGCCATACTTTTTCACGACCCACCCGTGGGTCGGAAACAGGCAACGGGTTAAAATAATTTTATTACTTTAATTTTTGTAACTTTAAAAATTTTGAATCTTAAAGAATTTAATTCTTGCATCGAAATTTATTAAAATTCTTCAAAAATAACTGAATTATATCGAGAATATGAAAAAGATTGAATTCCTGAAAAGAATTATATTATTTTTATGAAAATAATAAATTGAATTCTTAAAAAAAATTAATTAAATAAAATTGCATTGAAAATAATTAAATTCTATTGAGAAAATTATTTAAAATTGAATTGCGAACAATTGTATTCCTATGATGAATTTTATTATTTTTATGAAAATAATTGAATTCATGGGAAGGAATTTATTAAAAATTTTGAGAAAAATTGAATTATTTACAAAAAATTAAAAATTCTTTAAAAGAATTCAAATATTTTTAATACAATTTTAACTTAATTCTGCTAAAGAATTTTAATTTTCTCCGAAACTTTAATAAAATTCTTGGCAAGAATTCAATTATTTTCAATACAATTTCAATAAAATTTCTTGATAGAATTAAATTATTTTGAAAAATTTTATCAAAATTATTTCAAAGAATTCAATTATTTTCGAAAATTTAATTAAATTCTTCGAAAGAATTTAAATTTTCTTTGAAACAATTGAATTTGTATTTTGAAAACTTTTATTATATTTTCTAATAATTTTTTTATATTATTTTTATAAACAATAAAGTGCTTCCCAGGAATTCAATTATTTTTAATACAATTTTATTAAATTTTCTCTAAAGAATTCAATTATTTTGAAAAATTTTAATGAAAACTTTTCAAATATATTTTAATAAAATTCGTCGCAAAAAATTGAATTATTTTCATAAGTTTTAAAATTTATTGACTGAATTCAATTATTTTAAGCACAACTTTAATAAAATTTCTTGATAGAATTCAATTGGTTAGAAGATTCTAAATTGTTAAATTTAAATTTAATTAAATGTTAATTTTTTTCGATGAAGATTAAAATCCTTTCGCGGAATGTAGTTTAAATTGTATTGAAATTAATTGAATTCTTCTAGAGAAATTTACTTTTCTTGGAAACAATTAAATTTTTTTTAAAAGTTGTAATAAAATTCTTTGAAACTATATTGAATTATTTTCAAATATTTGAATAAAATTCGTCCAAGAAAATTAGATTATTTTCATAAGTAATAAAATTTTTCAGAGGAATTAAATTATTTTCATTTTTATTATTCCAAATTCCTTAAAAGAATTCAATTATTTTCAAAAATTTTGATAAAATTCTTTAACCCTTCGTCAGGCGCATGGTGAGGAGTTTGCTTTTACCCAATTTTACTACTAAACCACCATTCTAAAAACTCTTTTTTTTCTTCAGTGTTTCCACTTATTCTATACACGAAATTTTATCCTCAAAAAAAGTTCAATTAAATTCTTATTTACTTTTGAAGCAAAAAAATTAAAATACTCACTTTTCGGTACTTTGTCGGAAATTGAGCATTGCGTATTGTAGAAGCGAATGCTTTCCATCATTGACAACTGGTCCACTCTCGTAAATACTTTCTTCCTGAGATCGGCCAGTCTCTTCCTGATGCCGCCACTCCTGATTCTCAGCGTTTTTGTTCATCTGATTCTTCTGATGATGAACGTTGTTGATCTGATTTCCAGTTGACACATGATTCGAAATCCTCGACGCAGACGTATGTCCTTCATGATCATTTACGTGATTGAAATTGGATTGGTTGTGCGACTGGTTGTGTACCATGTGAGATGATACGTGATTCGCTTGCGATTGAATCGATTTGGTGATCTGCGAGACATGATTCTCGTGATGAATTGCCTTGTGTAATGGTTTATGCTCGACCTGAAGAAAATAAAATTCAAAATTAAATTGATTGATCATAAACTGGACAATTTCTTTTTTTCTTTCTTGAAAATTCAAAAAAAAAGATTCTTTTTCTTAAATTTGAAAAGCAACAACAATTTTGTAATAAATCGTATTACTTTTCTCAAATTCGTCTAAATTCCAATTGATCTCTTAAACACGAAGAACTTGTTCCTCCACGCGATCGAATACCGGTACTTAAAACTCGCATGCCAGACTTCCATTTCTGACTTGTTTCATCGCAAGGAATGCGTTGATCTTACAACTTGGCTATATAATCTTTAATTCCGCGTTTCTCATCTCATATGGAGCATTATTTTGTAATCGAGTCGCATTACCTAATTACCGGATTCTATTCTGATCACACAACTATACTTCAATTTCACGAGATTAATTTACTCATTTACAGAAAATGAAAGCTCGACTTTTAAGGAATTTTTACCGAAGAAAATCAAATAAAAAAATAAACGATTCAGGAAATATTTTTCCAAAAATAAAAGAAAATAAATTAAATCCAGGCCTTGAGACATTAAGGCGCAAAAAATGTCATTTTAGTCGATTAAAAGTACAAAAAAGTCGAAAAAATCGATTATTTTAATCAGAGTTGTGAATAAAATTTGATTTTTCATTTCCTTGATTTTCCCCTAATTTCTAGAATTTTTTTAACTTTTTCTTTCATTCTAATAATGACTTCAATTCTCAGTTTTCATCAAATTCAATTATTTTCAAATAATTTTTTCACACTTCTTAACAATTTTTTTTTTCGAAAAACACGATTACTTTTAAAAATTGTATTAAAATCTCTTCTTGATAAAAATTGAATTATTTTTGAAAATTACAACTATATAACTCTTTTAATACTTGATTATTTTCTAGAATTTTTAACTAAATTTACTTAAAAGTTTAATAGATTTTTTAAATAAGTATTTAAATAATATTATTAAATATTATCAAAAACTTTTAATATTAAACCTTCTGAAATTTAATTATATCTAAACATTTCTATTGTACATTTCTAAAATTTAATTTTTATTTTCCAGAACTTCTAATCGAAATCCTTCTCTAAATCAATAATTTTTAAGAATTTTGAAAAAGCTTTCTGAATTTAATTTATTTAAAAAAAAGAAAGTTCACTTAAAATTCTACTAAAATTCAAATATTTTCAATTATATCTTACGAAATTTGAATTATCTAAAAGTATTTTAATTAAATAACAATATTCAAAAATTCAACTATTTTAAAAAAAATTTTTACAAAAAACTGTGTTTTTTAGAAGTTTTAATTAAAGTTACTCAAAATTCATATTTTCAAAAATTTTAATTTGATACCTGCTTCTGAAATTTAATTATATTTTTCGAAATTTTTATTATAACTCTTCTAAAATTCAATTATTTTTTAGAATTTTTAACTAAAATTCTTCTCTAGATCAATTATTTTTAATAATTTTCAGAATGTTATTCTAGAATTGAATTGCATTTAAATACAAAAATTCATTTTTTTATAATAATTTAGATGTTTTAAAAAATTAACAATCTTCTTTTATAATAATTGTAACTATAACTTTTTATGGACTTTTAAACATCTTACTAAGATGAATTATTGAAAATTTGTAGGTAACAATAAATATTTGAAAAAAATTAAATTTTTAAAAATTATAATAAAATAATTCTTAAAATAATTTAAAAAAAAAATATTTAAAAATAATTTTCAAAAGAAAACAGATTTTTCTATTACAAATAGCTGAAAAATTTCCAAATAATTAAAATTTTGGTAAAATTTTCTGAAAAAAATTACATCTTTAAAGATATTTATTAAAAAATAAAAAAACATTCGTGTATTTAAAGAATTTTAATTTAATTAATTTCAAATTAAAAGTAAATTTTTCAAAAAGTTTTAATTTTAAAGTTTAAATTTTGAATAATTATATGATAAAAACTTTCTAAGAAAGTAATTTTTCGAAAGTAATTCAATTTATTAAAGTAACTTTTAGACAACTTTTAGACGTAATAACAATAATTCAAATACAGGTTTAGTATTACCTAAAATTTTTTGTAGTTAAAACTATTAATTAAATTTTAACTATAAAACATGAAGATATCGATAACTCCGAGTCTTCGACTCGGAGTGATCGATTTCTTCATGTTTTATAATAAATTAAAGATTCCCCAGTGATAAAATTATTTTTAACTAAAATTCTTCTTAAAATCGATTATTTTTAATAATTTTCGAAAAAGTTCTTTGACAATTTTCAAATCCAATTATTTACAATATTTAATTTTACAAATTTTAATTATTCGTAAATTTTACTATTAAATATATATTAGAAAATAAAAACTTCAAATAATATAAAATAATTCAATTACACTTTTTCAAAAAAATTAATTTCAAAATTCAATTATTTCTAAAAATTTATGCTCTAATGCTTTTAATATTCAATTATAATCTAAAATTTTAACTGAAATCCAATTTTTAAATTAACTTTATTAGAAAATTCAACTAGAATTCAATTATATAAATACAAAAAAAAACAATTTATTGAATAATTGCATGTTTCTTAAAATTGAATTCTCATAAATAATTGTATCAATAAATTTTTAAATAATTGAATTCTTTTGATGAATTTTAATAAAAATTTTAAGAATAATTACATTTTTCGAGGAATTCAATTAAAATTGTATTAAAAATAATTGAAATTCTACAATGAGTTTTATTATTTATCAAAATAATTCCTAATAAGAAATTTATTATTTACCAAAATAATTGAATCCCTGTAAAAAATTTATTATTTATGAAAATAATTGAATGATTGCGAAGAGATTTATGAAAAAATTTGTAGTAAATAATGAAATTCCTATGAAATTTTTTATTATTTTTTGAAAATAGTTACAGGTTTGTGTAGAATTTTTTTCAATTTTTTTTTTTTTAATTGAATTCTTTTGGAAAATTTTATTAAAATAGTATAAATACCTATTAAAAATTATTGAATTGAGGAAAATTTTTGAAAATAATTGAAATTTTGCCAATAATTTTATTAAAATTTTTGAAAATAATTGAATTTTGGAGAAGAATTTAATTATTTCTAAACATAATTGAAATTTTGCCGAGAATTTTTAAAAATTTTTGAACATAATTGAATTTTTGCCAAGAATTTTATTAAAATTTTTGAAAATAATTGAAATTTTGCCAAGAATTTTATTAAAATTTTTGAAAATAATTGGATTTTGGAGAAGAATTTAATTATTTCTAAAGATAATTGAAATTTTGTCAAAAATTTTATTAAAATTTTTGAAAATAATTGAATTTTGAAGAAGAATTTAATTATTTCTAAAGATAATTGAAATTTTGACGAGAATTTAAAAAAATTTTTTAACATAATTGAATTTTTGCCAAGAATTTTATTAAAATTTTTGAGAATAATTGAAATTTTGCCAAGAATTTTATTAAAATTTTTGAAAATAATTGAATTTCAGAAAAGAATTTAATTATTTCTAAAGATAATTGAAATGTTTACGAGAATTCTTAAAAATTTTTGAACATAATTGAATTCTTTCAAATAGTTTTTCATTATGTATTTTAAAAAAATTATTTAAAAACAATTTTTAAAAGAATTGATTACAGTTACTTTTCACACTATAAAAATCGAAATAAATTGCATTTTATACCAAAAAAAAGTGTTATTTTATTGCAACATATGATAGAAAATTGGAAAAAGTCACATTTTATCAAAATACTACGAAAAAAGTGTAATTTTTTGAAACTAGTGGAAAAAGTCATGCTATCCAAGGACTGCAAATCGTAAACACGTATTATGTGCATGCAATTTTCAGTTGATGAAAAGCGAGGAAGTCATTACTCTCTCACAGCATAAATTCCTGGCTAATTTTCTAAAAGTACTGAGTAGAATGCAAGAGATGTCGACCCTGACCTACATAATCATTAATGCATCCAGATTCGTCGTATAATGACGCTTTGAATATACAGTTACTTGCTGTGATTAAGGAGAACGTTAAAAAAGCATTTGGATTACGCTCCTTTTATCTCGCAATATGCAACGCCTTAAGATCATTTTACTTGTGTCCAGGAAGAAAATATTCATGACCAGTTATAAATATCTTTACGGTGAAAATATTATAAAATCCAAGTTACCACCAGTAGTTCCCGTTTCTATCATTATCGTCATGCTGCAATGATTTTTATTCCTAATATAATTTTCCCCAACAATTTTTTTTTTTCAACACCTAACAAATTTTCGCCAACTGACCATCATCATCAAGAAGAACACTGAAAAAATATATAAAAACCATAATTAACATTAGAACATTTCAATATTGAAACTTCCGTTAATAGTTAATTCGAAGTTCATTCAGTCGAATTTTCCGCTAATTAACATCGTTAATTGAAAAATTGTAATTCTAAAAATGTGCGCATTAATTAAAAATACTTTCTTGATGAAAAATATTATCTTGATAAAAAAAAATTGCATTTAATTAAAAATTTCATTCATTATTCGAGTTCCCGGAATTCATTATTAATCGGAATATAAAGAAAACGAAGAAAACGAAAATGTTTGATATTTAGGAAAATTTTTTTAAATCTCCTGGAAAATACAGCTAATTAATTGAACTTCGAAGTCTAAATGTCACAGTAGTAACTTTCACTATATTCCAAGACATAATTATATGTGAAGTAATAATAATAATAAAAATAGTCGCATTTATAATTTCCCCGTAAAGTCAGCAATAAATATATTGTACCGAAATCTTGATATTATAATTTGAATATACAGTGGAATAAAAGTTGAGTAAGCAGAGAAGTTCACTTGAAGATAATGTATATAAATATAAAGAGGATTTCAATATGCTGATGAATGCAAGTAAATTTTCTTGCGTCAAGATAAACGTGCCAAATTAACAAATAGTAAACGTTTGCCTCATTACAACTAAATTATTATTATTATTACCGTCGAATGTAATGTGTAC